ACCCTAACCCTAACCCTAACCCTAACCCTAACCCTAACCCTAACCCTAACCCTAACCCTAACCCTAACCCTAACCCTAACCCTAACCCTAACCCTAACCCTAACCCTAACCCTAACCCTAACCCTAATAGTAGGAGGCTAAGATTCAGCTTCTATTTAATACTAGACCTACTTTTTAAGAGCACTATTCTCATACCTAGTTAACCTACCCGTTACAATTACGACTAGCCGATCATAATATAAGTCCGGGTCGGGATTTTTTATAATTATAAATCTATTAACCGGTAGCGCCCTTTGTTTTTACGGTTATAAAATATAAAATTAATAAGTAATTAAGTCTAGGTCTAGTTTTTTTACAACTATAAATCTGCCGAGCGGCGGCGCTCCCGTACTTTTATAGCTATAAAATAAGCGGCCGGCTGCGGGGGCGCCTACGTATATATAAAAGGGGGGGGTATAAAATAAGTAGGGACGGTCACGATCCCAAAAGACATACTATACTAAGGGCGAACAAGGCGGCGCAGGGGCGGCGGGCTGGCCGGGTCGGGGGGGCGGGCGCCGCGGGCGACGCTAGCCGGGGGCGACGGGGGGCATGAGGGTACGGGATTATGACGGATCAACTTTGGTTTATGCGCCTTAAAGAGATAAAGTGGACCTTGGCCGTTCTCGGAGATATCGCGATGGCGGATAATCACTGTATGGGCGCGCGTATTAATCGCAAGAGAAAAGAAAGGGGCTGGCGATGTGACGTATAATTAACATCGATATCGATTTAGACTAATCACTAGCTGTTTAGGCCTAGTCCTGCAATGTTGAGCCGCTTTGTAGGGCCCGAAGCAACAGCTCTTAAAGGGGGACCAGTTCTAGCCTGGGATGGTCTAATACCGCGTTCTTTTGAGTAATATCTTCCTTATTTCAAAAAATTGGATGGTTTACGATCATCTTGAGTCAAAAACTCTGCGTAATGGTACCTCTCAAGTTTAATACCTTTTTGTCGATGTCTGGTGCCACCTCTCTGTGGTAAAAGGAAAAAAACAAAAAAAGGATAAAGATCTATTTAATAATTCCTGCCTTGCTGAATGAAGGCCTTTGTAGCTGGGTGTCACCATCCCCGGAGTTGCTCGATCGTTCGCTTACCTAAGTTATTCCGACCCCTCAAGTCGCCGTTATGAATCGCTCTCTGAAGAGGTTATCCTATTGAAGGATGAGGCTGCGGTTTCCCAGGTCTGTCTGTATACTTAAAGCAACTCTGTCAAGATGATCTTTTTAATGAACTGATTGCTGAGTATATGTAGGGATACCTAGATCAATAGAGCTACAAAACTCCTAGACGCGTCATATTTTGAGGTGAATTCTTTTTGCTGGGCTTCAACCTCTTCGTTTACGCTTTCATAATGGACAAAATCGACGTCAACCCATCCACACTGGAGTCTCACCCCTGTTCTGATCTAAGAATAGATTGCGCGAGGTGCAAACGGAGTTTTCGGGGAGTAGCCACGGGTTGTTTGCCCGCCCCTTCGGCGAGGCTATGCTAATCGGCGGCATCCGCGGAGACCGACGAGTGTCCACCCACCCCTTTGGTTTTGCTAGGTATCACCAGGGTCTCCAGGCTATATTAACGATTAATCGACTCTCTGATTATAAGATGTCTTCTATGTTTCCAATCACACAAGCGCGCGTTGGATTGAATAAACTGTTGTGCACGCTTCGCAATTGCTGCCGTTTCTTTTTCAGTTTGACCAAACTCTTGCAATGGCTGCCTTGAATTCTTGGTTTCTCCTTCCATTGGTGATACTACTCATCACTTTGGTATGCTGGAGATGCTTGAGGAAATATTCTCCGGTACGTCTAGCAGAAGGAATGCCATTCAACGGGCAGCAAAACGAGTGCAGCCGAGATGATATGCTGATGATCATGCCTCAGAAACCTGCACCTTATCAAAGTCACCAGAGTCGCCATAAAGAGGTGCCAAGTGACTACAACAACATCCAGCCACTGGATAGCTTCGATTTTGCCAAGACTGAGCCAATACAGCTGCGACCATGGAAGCCCAAGTTCCACCTTACCATGGGCCTTGAGAACGCAACGTTCTCAGATATCCTGCCGCTTGATAATACACTGGTGGATCGGCTTGCTTTGCGACGCAGAGTTGTGGCTCAACATCGGGAAATGGTGACAAGTGCTAACCCCTGTTCGGAGAGTGCTGTCAAGGAGTTTTACATCTGGCTTGTTAGAACCTATCTCCCTCGAAGGTATCCAGATATTTATACCTGTGGAGAGGACATGCTTTTCGGTCCCGAGTCGACTGCAATGCCAACGAATCCGCCAGACAACGTCAGAGATGTACTAGGCCTGATAGCTGAGAACGTCGACGCCGAGTTTTTCTTTCTCCAGCGCCAAGGCGACAGCTACGTTGCACGAGCAATTATAAACTGCTACCCCTTCACTTTCAACCCGGCGCACAAGTTGAACAAGACCTTGGCCCAAATTCATGGTCCTATTCCCGGCTACGCCATCAAACTTCAGAAGTCTATGGACCGCTACTTCGCTTCTCTAGCAAAGGGAAAACTGGCAAAGCGCCATAATTGGAACATAGCGCTTGACCGAGAACTTTTTAGCCCGACTAAGAATCCCTTGACATTCCTGCCGGTGCCGGTGATGGAAAAGATCAAGGACGCTCTGGAATGGCTGGGTATCGGCTTCCCAAAAATAAAGAGCGGCGAGGTGGATGCTGAGCAAGTGACTCTTCGCTGTGAGAGGCAGACGCTCCACAGGATGATGGAAAATGAAGACACGTTAGTCTTTTCGTTTAAGACTTATCAGTACCCTCTAAGGCAGATTCGAGACGAAGGAGGTGGACCTGCATTGGCTGAAGCAATCAGGGGTATCAAGAGCGGTAGCGTGCCTCAGATTGAGTGGTACAAGGCGTCGATGTATTGGGCAGATGCTGTGGTCGACTACTTACTAACCGAGGACTCTATCTAAGTGTATTCGCCTTAGTAGACTTCAAACAGGATTTTGGAATGATAATGAACAAGTATTTAGCCAATACTAGGACCTCGTTCATGCATGATAATTGACCTAAATGGGCATATTAACCCATTGACGTAGCCGGCGTTTCCTACAAGAGTACGCATCTCAATCTACTACTACGCTACCCGCCAGCCACTTGAGAATTATTCACCTAGTTCTCAAATTCAACGGAAGTTGCATATGGTCACCGTGCAACGTAGCGTTTAGCTAGCCTGCTGTCATCCCTAGGTCTCTGCCAAGGGAGGTTCCTCGCCGGGGGTATCTTGCTTTTTGGGAAAGTACAACTATTTTCTTTCGGCACCTTTCTGGGCTTTCATTTCGACCACAGTTACTATTGCCTTTATTTTTTCTTTTTTTTTTTTTGGTTATGAACTATCTCGGCGCCTCTATGGACTGGGCGACTACGAAACACAGTCGTGATGCAAGGCCGAAACTTGCAGCCGCCTCGAGTTGCTATTAGGCAGCTCTGTCGGACCAACCCTTGGAACTAATCATTGAGCGCGGATAAATTCATGAGGGTATAGTTTTTATTGGCCTTCGGCTTATAGGCGTAGTGTTTCTTACGGCAAGTTCTGAGTCATGGTTATGAGAATTGCGCTATCTTTAAATGGGAAGTGCTCTCGAGCAGTGGATTGGCGATCTATGTCTCTTTTCTCAACACCGTTTGAGTACAGAAATCAAGTATCTTTTATTCTAATCGTAAGCTGCGTTTTAATCTATCTCCTCGGGAGGAAAAGCACAAATTCGTTTATGGAGCTAAGCATATGGTTACCCACAGAGGAAGATGCTGTTTGCTTGAATACTGTTGGCTTCCCCGTTCGATAATTCACTGCTTATTCTATCTGCGAGCTGAGCTTAGGAAGATGGACACCGGACTCGTGTATAGAGTAACCTAGGAACCACTGCCTAACATTTGCTTAAATCAACCCTCACTAAACATATTTGCGGGGAACTGGAGAGATTTCCTTGAGAAATAAGATTTTCCGGTACAATCAAGCTCAAAGAATCTGACGACCTCGCTGGCTTGGTTTGGGATATCGTGATCTACCCCGTCTGCTAGAAAACTCTCGAAAAGGCCCTTGCGGCCATAAATATATCTTGTCCAATGAGTTTGCGGGTTGTTCTCCTCAATCCGCGTTGGTTTGAGCCCTGTATGCAGAATGGTGGTCCAGAGTTTGATCTCGTTGTAGTAGTTCGTAACGTTGACGATATTGTCAACACTTCCGTGAAGGACCTGCATCTTGGGCCGTGGCCCCTTGTACTTTGGGTATGCTTCATGTACAAGCTCCGCCCATTCTTTGCCGGTTCGGTCAATCTGACCAGTTGCGCAATCGCTATTCCATACGGCAAACCCGTCACCAGCGTAGCAACCAAAAGGGACGCCAGCGAAGGCAGACCCGGCGGCAAACAGCTCTGGATACGAGCCGATCAAGAAATTGGTCATCATTGCGCCAGAGCTAATGCCTGTGACGAAGACGCGGTCTTTGTCGACGTCGTAATTGGATAGAGTCCACCGGATCATGCTAGCTATTCCAAGTGAGTCTCCTCCCGCATTGTGGTGAAGAGTCTGTGTGGAAGAGACATCCCAACAGTGATCTGCGGTCTATGGTGACGATGGGTAGATGGTGATGAAACCCAATTCATCGGCTAGCGGACGCCATGGTTTCGCGGCAAAAGCATCCTGGGCCGTTCCGTGGCACCAATGGGGATAGACCAGAAGAGGATCTGAGGGCCGAAAGGAGTCAGGGACGTAGAGGTAGAAGGAGACATTGGTAGGGTTGGGCCCAAAAGAGGTGATTTGCTGAAGCTCCGCGGCGAGGGCAAGTGCTGCAACCCCGGCCAACAATGAAATGATTCGAGACATCTTTCTGGGCGATATCTAACTTCAATAGGAACTGAAACTTTTAGATTGCAAACCAAAGTTGAAGGATATTACCCCGCTGCGCTCTCAAAACGAGGTGTTTCCGTCTTTTTTCCACTATAGACTTGTAACCTGATATATATATATTTAATGATAAGAAGTGGACTGATTTAGACGATACGGTGCGCGCAGTTGAAGCTCTGAGGTTCCTAAGACGGCGCGCTGACACTATTCATTTTATATTCCGTAAACGAATTAACGACCGAACTTCGACGTTCCGTATTAGAATGGGACTAGCAATCCGCTAGTGCATAGAGCAACATGTCAGGTGCATAGCCACCGGCGGGGCGCCGGGGGGGGGGGCACCGGGGGCAATCTTTGTAGCCGGGAAGGGTACACCGCTATTAATAAGGCGCCAGGGGGGTATTAATAAGGTAATTTTTATAGCTTTATAATAAATTAATAATTATTTATATATTAAAAGAATTAAAAAAGGATCTTAAGTATATTAAGCTTAGGAAAAATAAATTCGAATAATAATTATTAATAAACTTTATATATATAGTTAATCTCTTTATTTAATACTTTATAACTTAATATATTTAAATTTACTTTTTTTAAATTTAACATATTTAAAATCTTTTTTTAATTTTTTTAATATAAAATTAATTATTAATTCGCCGTAAGGTTATAAAAATTACCTTATTAATACCCCCCCGGCGCCCCGCTAATAGCGGTATACCCTTCCTAGCTGCAAAGATTGCCCCCGGTGCCCCCCCCCCCCGGCGCCCCGCCGGTGGCTGTGCACCTAATACAATACCAGCCTACCCCCTTATTGCCCGCATTAAATATTGAGACATTCGATGATAAAAAGGATTAAGAGACGTAGGGATTTAGAAAATTTAAGTCCATTTACATGCCTATTCCCTATCTTAATAGTATCGAAGAAGTAGCTAACATGAAATAAACATGTACGAGGAGTTCCCGCTTTAAAGTGTAAATCTAATATTAACCTTAGCTCTCTTGCGGTACGTAGCAACCTGTTCGTTTAGCTAGAAAAACGTTTAGTAAAGTCTAAAAAGGCTATGACTATGTCCTACCCGTTGTTTAACTTTACAAAACTTGTCGCGACTGATCGTTAATACCTTTTTCCCTCTCCTTTCCCGGCTGATCGTACCCGGCTGGTTACTTAGTTTCTTGAGTCTCGCCTACGCTGCTGTCATTTCTTTGAGAACTCTGTTATTAACAGGTGCCTGGCACCTACCCTATATCACCTTGCGCGTAAGTAACGCCGGCAGAAGCTCACACCTCACAATCACTTACGGTGGTTTATATGAGTCTTTTCAGCAAGATAATTTGCTTTTATTATAGAGTGGAATACACGACAGTCCGCATTGTGTAGCCCACTGGTGGTTCAAGAATCTTGGCTTTTACCGAATTTCCCTTTGCCTCCTGAACAGGTCGAAGGCGGCTAAGCAAGATCGCCGCTTGTATGAGTCGCGGGACGCATCGGGCCTTGTCTCTTAAGGCCCACAGAGCTGCTTTAATTCCCTGGCTTCAACCCATTTTCTCCATGCTGCTAACTCTGCTGCAAACCCTGGATAGGATGTGGTATTTTGCCCTTGATGGAGCGCAAAGCCATTTCCTTAGTATCTAAGCGTCGTATTCGCATACAACTATCCTACTGCTGGCGTGTACGTAACGTGGAAAACACTCATTCTCATCTTTACTTGGTTTTCATTTCATACACGCAAGCACAAAAAGGACGATATCGTCGACCTATCCTTAAGTCGTAGCTAGGTCTTAGTAATAGCTACTGCCTCTATTTCAACTAAAGCACCTTAGATAACCAACGCGTCAGTGCCACTGAGGCTACGAGACATAAACAGGGTTACGCATCTGCCTTTAATAAACTCCCGGCACAAAGAGATCGGGTTTTAATATTAGCAATATCCATAAATTCACATTCACAACCTTATCTCCAGACAAGCCGTCGTACAATTTCCGTCTAGTAATTATCTACTACCGTCGTTCACAGCTGTCCGAAATCAGCTGTTCGTCGGAAATTTCCTCATTACGCTGAAAGATGCGTGATACCCACGAGGGCGCTCTGTTTCGACGTTCATTCAGCTTGGCCCTGTGAACAAGCCACCACTGAAGAGTCATGGCCGCCATAGCGCTGTTCCATATAAAGGCCACCATCATTCCTATCGAGAATGACAACGAGGTGGATATGATGCTTGTCCTACAAAGGCTCATCACTACAAAGTCATCAATACCATCAGGCAAAGCAAAGCCCGATATAAGGAGTACGGCCTAGCAAAAGAATACATCGGCGTATCCAATGATCTTCCGTATCCGGTCCCACTACCTGTCCAGGTAGCGCCACGATCTAAACCGCCTCTCAATATAGTACAGACCTATTGCGAACGTCGCAAGAACCACTGTAGCCAGCCCCATGATATGGGGAAATAATAATTAGCGTTATTACTGCAATTTCAACGCGCTGCCTACCCCATGTTCTGTTCGGAAATGGTCCGACAATTCCATACCAAACACAACGCATACCATATCAACAACAAGCGGGAGGAAAAGCACTACGTAAAGAATGATCTGCCACTGTTCGATCCTCGGTTTGGGCAACGGTCGCTCTATAAGTTCGCAGCGAACGATAATAAATAACAACACAAGGATAATTAGGTATACGAAGAAGAAAGGAAGAGTCATACATCCCACTGTTTCCTAATCGGCTATGCTCAGTCCGTGATTTAGCATCAACTTAGAATGTATGCTAGTCATTAGAATCAGGAAAAACTTTAACAATGTATTGACATAGTATATGTTTTTGGAGAAATCGATCGAACAAGTGTTTCCAGAGCTAGTAATATGAACTGGGCATGTTAGAACTTACAAGCCAGCGAGCTGGCTTTGGGTGATATTTCTTTCGAGTAACTCCTTCAACCCAACGACACCCTTCTCCAGCTAGTAATTAGATTGTCCCATTAAGATGTCGATTTTTTCTTACAAAAAGTCGGTAATATATAGCTTGTTCTACGAGCGTCCGAAGCAGTCCAGCTAATTTAATTCTTCCTCTAACTTTGAAAACCCGACCCATTGCGAAGTCTTAGTTAATAACAGCCCTAGGGGGTCGGTTTGAGGCTTTGATTGAGATGCATCTAGTTGCGCGGCAGGCACAGTTTCGTGGTTCTAGTTGGCTAGAGTAATATCCGTCTTGACCACCCATCCGCTATGACTAAAGCTGGAATTCCGAATCAGGCCTCCGCCAATCTAGATCGCAAACGAGATACACGGAAAGCATGCTAGGGACAGCAAGCGTTGAATTCGAGAAGGCATGGCGCGGGTGTGTCTTGTGGTCTAATGAGGAAGATCTGTCTAGGGACGACCTACTACTAAGTAAGTAATAACTATAGAATCTTACCCCTCAGAAAGGGGCAGCAGTCTCAAGACTACGCACTGATTCGTTCAGCCATGTTTTGAGTTAAGCTCTAAAGTAAGACGGGCGTCCGCGGACCGCCGACAAAGTAGATACTCATAAGTAGCACAAGCATCGACAGCGAGGCCTTGCTTAATCTATAAGGGTGACACATATATTCCCATATTAGCTACATATATAGCGAGGTAGCCACCGTAGGCTAGCGGGGCATGTCTTTGGTCCTTTATGTGTGTTAGGTCGTAACATAAGGCGCGCCTTTTGGCTGTCAAAATTCAAACCAACTAAGCTTTTATAACGCCGGACTTCGCATTTCTGAATCTATACCGCCTTTCCCCTAACCTATCTTGAAAATCATACAATAAGCGGCTCTTTGCAACCCAATTACGTTTTGCTTCCTGGTCGGTGTATTAAAATAGCATCCGCAGGAAAAGTCTATCGCGCAAAACTTGAGGGTAAGGCCGGAACACTCCCCGCTCCGCCAAGACGCTAGTGACTAATACCTTAACCTAGATATCTCTACTATACATTCATTCATCGTGGCCGCTACGGCAGAACAGCTACCAGGGGCTACCATAGGAGCAACGCCCGAGAGCTTGGCCGCAACGCTGCATTTCGAGCCATCATCGTCACCAGAAATATCGAAGACACTGGCGGCCAGCTCAATGCGGCGTTTCGCCTATCCTCTGCTTGCCAGGACTCCTGATGGGGCGATCGCAGGCCTGGCTATTTATTTCTATAACTACTCGACATGGTCAGCGGCGCCGGGACTCTGCTTGGAGGAGTTCTACGTCTTGCCGGAGTTCAGAAGCTTAGGCTACGGCAGAATCCTTATGAAGGCGATGGCTCAAGAGGCGCGTGACGCGGGGTGCGTCAAGATGGAGTGGGTTTGCCTCGAGAATAACGAGCGTGCGTTGCGGTTTTATGGCAAGCTGGGTGCGAAGCGCATGGAGGACTGGGTGGTTTTAAAGTTAACCCAGGAAGTCATTGCAACGTTGGCAGAAGAAATGTAACTTTGTGCAGGTATATACTCGTCGTTAAAGTACTGAAAACTTTGGTAGATGGAATAGGAATATTTTCTAAACTAACTTAATATTGAGGTTTCCTCGTGGCTAGAGTTATAGTTGGGACGACTTATTAGCGAAGATGAAGTAAAGCTAGAGGGCCCCCGTGGCGTCTAGTCAGGTGTCAGATTACAAGGGTACCAATGGTTTCATTACTACAGCGTTGGTCTTCGGGCCGTCCGTGCAGGACCTGGCTTCGCTCAACGCACTCAACACTTTAAACTAATCTATAATAACTTGAAGCTTCGTTCTCGGGGCCAAGAATGAATTCGTACCTACCAGGATAATGAAATCAAACTTACTCCCCTTAAAACAATCGGCTTCTATGAACTACTCAGGAGACCTCTTGAGCATACTTTAACCTTGTCGTCCTTGATAAAGCGGTACAATGTATTGATGTTATAATTGAGATCTCGCTCGATGTCATTGGAACATTCCGTCAGATAATTGACTATAGAAAGGTTATCAGACTGATTCCAAGGTATGAAGTTCAGGCCGTGTAAGGGTAAGGGGGTAAATAATAGATTAAACAGTTATCAAAAGCTGTTTGCATACGGAAACAGACGTAAAGAGTTCAAACAGGCCATGAACATTAAGTTCTGTGTTACTGGGTAGATCTTAACCTAAAAGAAATAGAAAAGCTGAGGAACGAATTTCCTTACCTTCTAAAGACGTTGAGCGTATATATAGGTCGCGGTTGCTCCACTAACTTCCATATCTTTAGAATACGCTCTGTACTCCTTCTTAGTGGCCCCTCTATATAAGAACATACGGCCTTGTCCGCCTCTGCAGCTATGATCGCAACGCACTCTTACCATTCTTCACGCAGTTTATTATTAACAGTCTTCCAGCACTCTCCGCTCAATCATATGTAATCATCGTCCAGTAACAAACTCGATTACTTATTATGTCAATCTGAATCTAAACTACTTTCGTCCTCGTAAACGGATTACGGAGTGGCTCAGCATGGCGCCAAATGCACACAGCGCACAGACGGTATCCTCTGTCACTCGGGTGACCAAAAGTACTAGAGTCGGTAGGGAACAAAAAACTATGCAATACAGAATGTAAATCGAAGAAGGAAAACACAGTTTTCTCTATATTCTTGGAAGCTAGCCGTTGGACATGGTCAAAAGGTGCATGGACGTAATTTCTGGACTCGATGCTTCCTAGGTCTGGTTGCTCATCCTACTCAAGCTTAGCGACTCAGTTCATTTTACTATCATAGGCTCGTTATTCGTAAGAAAAGCTCAAGGAGTGGTAGGTGTTTAAGGATCGATCATCGCTTCAGTCAGAAACTTGCATACATAAATCAGCCGGGCGACTTGCCAATAGAGTCGTCCTGGAGACGCAGTATATGGTTCGAAAGTCAAGTTATCAACTTGTTCCGGAGGTTTACAAAGACTATCCGAAAGGGGGGAAAGCGATAGCTAATCAGTGCCATGGTGGTTCCTCTCTGCTCAGTCAGGCCAGTCGCACCTAAGATCAATACCAAAAGAATCTGTTAAACTTTTCAAAGGCATTAACCTGCTCGCGAAACAGGAAAATCCCTAGACGTTAGTTCATCTATTAAAGATCATTCTATATTTGCGAGAATTTTACACCGTATCGATCAAATACCCATTCCATCTACACGACTTGGCTCCCACAACGATCATTTAGTCGGCCACGCTGTATCAAGCCTCGCAGGACTAGTCATGATTCGGAAAGACTCCAGTATGATGGTGGATCATCTCAAATCCCTTCGCGTTTTCTCGCTCAACAAAATGAAGCTAGCGATAGAATGAGTCGTCAAGTTCTGCGCGAATTCATTTCCAACGTTACCTGGCAGGAGATATATGTTAGTGCTCACCATGGTCGCTCAGCTTTTGAGATACTGGCCCGCCGCGATTGCCGACAACGTTTTGCCGAATTGATAACCTTATGTCACGCTCTGGAGCAGAATTTGGATATTCTGACGAACGTACAATCTCTTTTCGACTGAGGACATGTCTGTTGTCTATTATTATAGCCGCGATCTTTCTTTGACATATCTGCTAGCTTAGAATCTGAGAAAATGGAAATTGTGCCTCAGTGGGGGGATAGAGACCAATGGCTTTGTGCTTACCTTTGAAGTTGCTGGCGCGTATTGATAGAGAGCAGGGCGACACTGACCGCTGGCAAGCTCATTTGAACCCCCGTGCCGTAAAGCTTGGCAACGGAGATTAGGAATGCCCAACGAGGGCCTTACAAATCCGACGCATGATGGCTGATTGGTATCGAGAGGTAGCTCACGAGGCGTAAGCTCAGGAACAAAAGGGTCATTCCGATGAAATATCCAATTCCCTGAGAAACCTTGTAGTGGAATGGGGCAATTGGCATTGAATTGGCCATTTCTCAGTCAGGAAAGTTGTCGTTCTGGAATTGTTTACAAACTCCACAATTAGGTAAATCATTTTCGCCAAATGTTCCTGTTGATTTCATGGTCCCAGTATGAATATAATCTTGATTTAAAAGAAATATTTATTGGAATTTTACCACTCCCCTCCTCTGCCCCAATGAGCCCATTCCGACATCACATTTGCGGAGTCTTTTGATAACACCACTTGGCTCTTACGAGACGGTTTGACTCGAGACGCAAAACCGATGCCAGCTGCATCAGTACCTTGAAATTGCTAGCTTGATACATTTACTGGTAAGAAGCGCGGTAGGTATCCCAGTAGCTGTGCATGCGAGTATCCTGACCAGCGGTGAAGTGAGTGAAGCAGTCGCTACATAATGGTCAGTGTGTGCTTTGTCGACCATAGTGTGGATGAAAACTTACTCGTCAGAGTAGTCCATGTAGTTGGTGACAGGGTCGGTGCCGGCCAGGTTGGGGCAGGTATCACGGCCGATCTCGCAGTTGTAGGCCTCCTCAGCCTCGAAAGGGGTGTCAGAGACATAGTCACCGTCACCGCCGCACTGGTATCCCTCGAATGTGTGGTAGACTGATGAGGAAGTTAGCTTAAATTGATGTTTTTCCGATCAGCAAACCTACGTCCAAGCCAATGGCCGACCTCATGGGTCGCGGTATGTCCGAGGTTGTACTGGGACAGGCTGCCACCGGGGACCGATGTGGAGAGGATGACAACACCGTCGTAGTAGAAAGCATTGGAACCGGTTGTGACAGTTGTGGGGAAGTAGGCGTATCCGAGGTAGGGGGTGCCGGGAAGGAAGTAGACGTTCAGGTCGGCATAAGTACCCTTGCGGAGCGATTTCTTCATGGCGAGCTCAGCGGTGTCGGAAGCCCATTGGCGGTTGACGGTCCAGTCTGCACCAGCCTGTGCGAAAGACACATCGTGGGGGGCGTAGGCCTCGTTGAGGACATCCAGCTGAGCGTCAAGGGTGGCCTGGGTAAGATAACCACCGCTGACCGAGTTGGAAGTAGCGATGACGTGCCAGTAGACATTGACCGTGATAGGGCCAAGGCGAGTGGCGTTACCCTCAACACGAGCGTTCTCCTCCTTGAACTGAAGGCGCTGGGCAACCTCGATCTGCTCCTCGGTCGGGGATGGGGTACCGCAAGAACGCTGGGCAAAAGCGGTGGAAGCAGCCGCAAGGGCGGAGACGAGGAGACTCTTGAACTGCATATTGAAGAAGAGACCGGACACCTGATTGTAATGGCTTACCTGAGGTGGGATGAGGATGAAAGAACACCTTGATGGCTGGTATTTCGACAGTATATATAACTTCTTCTTCGACTGCTTTCTGCTGCTGAGCTCACATGTGACATGCCACCCCAAAGTCTGTATCACTACCGCCTGAGCATCTCGAGTTCAACCTTCCTCAAATGGAAGAAACCAAAAGTCTAGCAACATCATAGCCAGCAGGCTCATCGTATGTAAACTGGGGCCATTTCAATACTTTTTTGGCTGGTGCTCTCGAAGGTGGCTCCATGACTAGGGAGTTGATTCATGCTCAAAAAGTTTCACCTGCTGAGTTTGTCTTGTTGCAGGCCATTGAAATTAACGACAGGAACAAACGACCTTGCGTGATAAGCCGGCTGGGCGGCATATTTTGAATTGCCAAGATGAAATGCGGCTTTTGCTATCTAACAGGCAACGCCAAGACGGTGACTGTAGCCAAGAAAGGCACCAAGTCCAGTGTCCCGTTCGTATCTTGTGCAACGGTGTGATTAAAGCTAGCAGATGCCTCTGGTTGAGTTTCCTCTTACGCCAATCGTAAACAGGTCATTGGCGGACGACGCGCAAAAAGACTATTGCAGTTCCCACTGCCAGCTCTTGGCTCTCTTGGCAGCCTTGGCAGTTGACTATCACCGTCCCTTTTTCTAATGGGGATTGGTCGATTCAAGCTTATTTTTATGATTTTCGGGCGTTGCCGACCAACGAGGATGTGACCTTCCTTAATTTGACCTCTGTTCCACCTCGGATGCGAGGAAATCCTTTGAAAAACCCCGCGCTGCTCCGCCCACATCCCGGGAGTTGCGCACCGCCGTCGTCCCCACATCTCCGAGGGTCACTCAATCTGCCGATTGTTCCTCCCGCCTAGTCCCGCTAGATCCCGCCGGCTGCAATGGTTGTTCGATGACCGTCTTATCTCTTATGAACAATCCCACCCACATTGCAGGAAGCTCGAGGTATATCCGTACCCTGACTCTTATCTTTCTTCAAGGGAAGGAAGCACGTACTTCTGTACCCATCGAGGCACATATCCTCAAACACTTAGAATATAGCAACGCTGCAGATATAATTTTTAGAATTCTTCGACTTGGAAAAAGAAATAAAGCACTTTGGTTATTACCTTGTTACTAGCTACTTTGTAAAGAAACATGTCGGCTTCAGTAACTATTGCACAGTCAGGCGTCACATATAACTTTATTGCGCCACTTTTAACTGTGATCATCGTAGTCCACTTCGGTAGGCCTATAAGAAAGTTTGAACTACATTAAAATCACTAGTCCTATGTACTGTTATATTGAAAGCTTGAAGAACTTTATGCGTTCGTGCATTTCGTAAGCGGATTTGCCACCTGTTTTTTAATCTTTTAACTAAAAGCACATAGTAATGAGGATATAGGGAGAGTAGAAAGTATTAATTATCACCTAGACCTTAAGAGGTAGAGACATTAAATAAAAAAAATGTGTTATGTAAAAGAACCAAGTTCGTGGAAAGCCACATATAGCTTGTCGGCTAGACGTATTTACTAGCGGAGATGCTTGATTATAATCCTAAATTTAGTTTTATCCAAATACTATTCTCATATATAAATAGAAGACTGTAAGAATCTGTATATTCAAGTAAAGAAAGATTATAAGTAGAGTGTCATAGGCCTTGATTTTCTAGTGCGAAAGTGTGTTTCTGAATTACGGGTCGAGAACTTTAAGATTTAAACTAGTTTGTTAGTTATATACGATAAATTATATATGGTCATAAGGCACGCTACTATGTAGAGAACTTCAATCTAAACTCAATATTAACTCAAAATTGATGTATATGAATAATGATTTAATGAGCCTTAATATACCTTTTATTAAGATCAACTAGAGTGGCTTCTAATCGTTTGCTTAACTTTACTTAGTCTAGATATAGTTCTAGGCGCTTAATACTTTACATCTAGGTTTAAATAGAGAACGTCGTTTACAAAATGCGTATGGCAGGAATGAGTATACGCTCTCTTGGAGTTTCTTCCCTTTAAGAGCATTATTGACTGGAGGCTGAATACTCTAGCCTAGTCACTTTCTTTCTGCAGTGGGCATTTAATGCAATGCCCTATCTAGTCGCAAGAAGTCGAAATCTGTTTCGCATCGCACCAAAAATCATCATGTTCTGTTCCTTCTCCACCTTCAAGCGATGTTAAGTTTTGATATTGGATGCTTGCCAGGTTTCCCTCTGTTGAATGCTTGGATGCGCCAGCAATGATTTCTGTTAGAAATTTGTACGGTTGTACCGACGACTCAATTATGACATCGACTAGTGCGAAACCTGCATACATGCGACCGAATGGAAAAAAGGCAGGGCGTCCGAGGTGGAATGCTTATATATGTCCAGGATATGATTGGGCCTCTTGGAAACCACTTTGAGCAAACCAACGACTTGTCCCTATCTTTCGAAGTGCGGGGGAATCATGGTTTTTGCTAATACAACATCTATAAAATTGATGCCAATCACCCCCTTGGTCTAGAAACTTAATCTGCATGCACCTATTCCTGAAAAGCACAATGGGTATCTCAAAAACACTGCTTGGAAAGGCCGCCGTGCCGGCTGTCCTCCTTTTACTCTCCCTATACATCGTCAAGAGAGTTGCACTCTATTTCAAACTTCGACACTTCGGAGGGCCTTGGTGGACTGGCGTCAGTCATTGGCCTCATAGCAGGGCAATTATTAGCCCCAATTGCCACGAGTGGTACGCCGAGATGAACGAAAAACATGGTATGCACAACCCCATGCTGGTTGCCTGGGACAATGGCGATCGCATCCCCTTTGGTAGCATGTCTTGCCTTCTGATAGCTGAATAGCTTCCAGGTCCAATCACTCGCATTGCTCCCGGAATTCTAATCACATCTTCGCCTGAACTTTGGGCCCATGTCAACCGACACCCTGGTTACAAACGCTCTGACTGGTATTATCACGCTTGTCGAATTGAGTATCAACGTGATAATGTCTTTACCCAGACGGATAATGAAAAACACGAGAAGAGAAGGAAACAGATGGCCCCGGGTGTATGTGTCTTAACATTAATCGTGTGAGAGTGGGCTAGCGACTAACCTCAAGCCATTGTCAGTACTCTGGTAGAGAGAACCTAGACCTCGAACCTACCATTGACCACCGACTTGAAGAGCTCCTCGATCTCATCAGATCTAAATATCTCTCATCCGACAGCAAAGTTGTACCAATGGATTTGGCAAAGAAGATTCAGTACTTTACCCTGGATGTCATCAGTGCGGTCGGTCTTGGGAAAGCTTTCGGCATGCTACGGACTGATAGTGACGTTGACGACTACTTGAAATCAACCGAGGAGGGCTTGTCCACCGTTAGGTTCGCCTGTGCTGCTGGCATCAGCTGGATAGCTCAATCACCCATCATCGGCAAATTTATAGCTCCTTCGCCCACTGACAACAACGGCTTCGGCAAAATGATTTCTGCATGCTTCCGCTACGTCGAGGAAAGGACCAAAAAATCCACAGATGAGAGGTCAGACATGCTTTCATCGTTTATACGCCATGGGCTAAGTGGTGATGAGCTGAAATCCGAGGCACTTGAGCAAATTATCGCCGGTTCTGATACAACCGCTGCCGCCATACGAGGGACACTGCTCCAGATCATAACAAACCCTAGGGTTTATGCAAAGCTACAGCGGGAGATTGATGAGGCAGTGCGTGATGGGAAAGCTCCAGCCTACGGCGATGGAATAATCACTCTAGGGCAGGTGAAGAGACTCTCATATTTACAAGCAGTAATCCGAGAGTCTTTGAGAGTCTGGCCACCCGTCCTGAACATTTTTTCCCGAGATGTCCCAGCTGGAGGTGACACTGTTGAAGTCAATGGGGAAACCCATTTTTTACCTGGTGGAGTCTGCGTGGGGTATTCTGGTTACGCGATGCACCGCAGCGAGGCAACATACGGTATTGACTCGGCAGCATTTCGACCTGAGAGGTGGTTCGAACCGGATTCAGCAAAACTTGCGTCTATGACCCAGACCAATGATCTCGTATTTGGTCATGGCAATTTCATGTGTCTTGGAAGACCAGTGGCTCAAATGGAACTTCTCAAGACTATCTTCGAGGTGAGTTGGAGGCTCTAAATTACGCTTCCATGTATACGGTTTTGTTGAGATGTTGACTATTCCTAGGTACTGCGCAACTTCGAACTGGCTCTGAATGATCCAGTGCGTCCGTGGCGGGCAAAGAACTGTATGGGCCTATTCGTGATTTCGGACATGTGGGTTCAAGTTACGGAAAGGATCTGAGACATGACTATTCTACAAGCATCCGCGCGCGTCTCGTTAGCTCATGCCTCTTGTACATAAGTACTATGAGGTTTGCCCAGACTTGCAGTAGTTTCATGTTCATACGACTTCTCATCGGCTTTCTTCAGCGCTTTGGATAACGTCGCTAAGTCAATACACGGCAGATGTACATATCTTTGCCATCATTTTTTCCCTTGGTACTAAAGAGATTCTATGATACTGACACAAGCGTATTTTCAAAGAGTAAGCTTCTATCATCGCGAACTAAGCCCGAGATAAGTCTTACGAGCTCCCACGATTTCATCGATTGTTGAATCAATTGAAACTCTTCAGCGCCCCACAGATGCCCAAGTCCTCCTTCAAAATGGCGTTATCCCGACCCCAATCCTCTCAAACAAGATGCATGCTTTGCTGCCACTCGAACTACTAACGGTGGCGTTTTCGCTACACGTTTCAAAGTGAGCCACATGTTCAACTTTGCCTATTGAAAATGTACATTCACGGACCCATTTTGATTTTAGTATCTATTTGAGGCCGTGTATTGAAGTTTACCTAGGTATTCTCACTAAACTGTGCGCTTTTCGCATCAGTGTGTATAAGTCAAAGAAAATAACGAAAGAAAAATTACGCGTCCCACCATCCGAATGGTGACTGCTTCCACTTCTAGAAGTAAACGCGGCGGAAAAGTTTGCCCGCGGGCGCAGCAGGAGAAGCTGGCACAGGCTTTCCGCCAACGGGGGCTGGAGGAGGGGCAGCGGCAGGTGGCGGAGCGGGTTTCCCTGCGGCCGGAGCCTTGGGAGGAGGGGCGGCAGGCGGAGGTGCGGGCTTTCCACCTGCCGAGGCTGTCGGGGCTGCAGCAGGAGGCGGAGCTGACTTGCCCGCAGCCGGGGCCTTCGGAGGAGCGGCAGCTGGGGGGGCGGCGGGGGCGGCGGGGGCGGAACCAGCCGGCTTAGAAGCTGCTGGTGGGGCGGGAGCTGAAGCGGCCGGCTTAGATGGTGCCGGTGCCGCCGGGGCTGCTGCGGGTGGAGGAGCAGCGACACCAGCTGCGGGAGCCGCGGCAGCTGGCTGAGCGCCGCCTTTCCCTTTCAGCAATCCTGCTGCAGCTCCAAGTACAGCATTAAGGGGATTTGCCTGCTGTCCAGCCGGGGCTGCGGCCCCGGCTGTGGGAGCTCCCTTGCCTTTTAGGACTCCGGCGGCAATTCCCAAAACTTGGCCAATTGGGTCGGCAGCTTGAGATCCAGCCGGGGCGGCGGCACCAGCCGGTTGGCCACCCTTACCTTTCAGCAGACCTGCTGCTGTTCCGAGGACGGCGCCGATGGGGTCGGCGGCGGGAGCTGCAGAAGCAGCAGGTGCCGCGGCAGCTTGCCGAGCCCCTATAGCCGGAGCCTTTGCTTTTCCAGCGGTTTTCGCCTTCGCTGGCGCTGCAGCACCGGCAGTAGTCTTGCCTGCAGCCTTTTTGCCCGATAGTCCTCCTAACAATGTGCCGATTGGGTCGGCAGCAGCGGCTTGCTGACCAGCAGGCTGCGCTGCTCCTGCTCCTGCTCCTGCTCCCGCTGCTGCGCCGGCGGCTCCGGCGGCTTTACCTCCAGCGCAGTTTCTAGAATCAAGTCAGCTTCAACCCTGAGAATACAGAATTCATCTTCAAGTCTATTTGACTTGTAGGTAAGATAACAATGTAACTGTACTGACCCTGTGATGCCTCCAGCCTGTGCCCTCACGCATTTGGCATTTTGTCCTCCCTTTAACACAACGTCAGTCAACGTTTTGAGGCTGAGAAAGGGTTTTTCCCAGCGATTTCATACCGAAAGCAAGCAGTCCAAGTCGTCGAAGCAGACAGCTCCCTGTTGTGCGGAGACATAGCTGACGTAAAGAGCAGACGTAACAACAGCGAGCGCACGCATGGTGATGTAGCCCTTTCGAAGAGAAGTTGTTCAAGTCTGGTGGATTTCTTTCGTCTTCAATCCTGGAAGAGGGGGAAGTATGATGTGATGGTTGCAAACACGAGCCCGTCTGGTCGTATCAGGGGTATTCCCTTAATTATATAGACAAACAGCCATAGCTTCAGACCAGTTTCTGCATGTCAACTCATTCGCAGATAGATGAGCAGAACTCAAAATCTTTGCTCCCTTCAAGGCCGAGGCACTTCTCGGCGAATACATGTGTTGTCTTTGCCCCCAAATACTCGAGGCGTGCCTTCCAAACGTCTCAAGAACTGTTTGACCGGAATGAGCCCCGCGTCCTCATCGAATCAATGCCTGTGCAGGTCTCAAAATTCCGACGATAGTACTCATGTGAGCGGTGGCTGATCATCCCAGACAATGGGCACTGTAAGGCCCGCTCCCAGCTTTAGACAGCAGTCACGGCATGTCGACCAACTCTATCAGCTGGGAAGGCGTTCGTCTGAATTAATTGACAAATTCACTATTCATTTAGGGCTCGAGCTACCATTGAATGCACCTCTTTGACTTCAGTCTTCAAACGTGAAAACGCGCCCCTGCATGGATGTCTCATCCCAGCAATGAAATGTCAGTGCCTGTCACACCAACTGTAGCATTGTCAACATTTGTCAATCACAACATTTTCCTCAATGCCGGTTCTCATATTTCCCCCAGAAGCCATCAAAGTATTGAGTCTTCATTCACCGAGTCACTATTTTCTGCCCGTCGAAGGGAGCGCTGTGCCCCGTCAGCAAATCTGGGGATGGGTTGTGATTTGGATTGTGCTCGGATACGGAATTTATCATTGCAGCATCCAAATTAATTCGACAAGACTGCATATTGTCTCGGATTCGTCTGCTTTAAAGCTCCATATCAACAAATGACGGTCAGATCTCGTACGACTGTTTGGATCGTGCTCTTTATACAAGGAACTGCAAGCAAATGCCCAGCAAGTCATCGAAACAAAGAAAAAAACGACTAGACGGATTTCTCGGTCTCACGTATCCAAGAAAGAGCTTTTTCTATTATATGATCGCACGTATAATGATGTCTATTGCGCTAATTAGGGTGCCAAATTGATTGGTGATTACCTGTCCCTCATTATCTCTATGTTTCGCGAATTTGAGTGCCGCAATGTTCGCCTGCTCCCAGAAGCTGCTTATGACAACGCCTTCCAGGATAAGGCAACATCTAATATGATTCGCTATTTGCCATGTGTTCCATTTCTATCCCGGCTTTGCTTTTCGTCTTTTGTCCAAGACTACCATTGTAGTATATATCTATCGGAAACCTCAATATCTATTTCTCTACTTTTTACTCTAGTCCCTTTCCAAGGACGGGGACATGGCCCATTTTTTTTACAACTTCTCACACCGGCGAATTTGGCCGGGGTTGCCACTTCTCGCCGCCCAATTTGGCCGGTCTTTGATGCTGTACCATGTTCGGTGGACGGCGAAATTGGCCTGAAAATGATCGATCCTTCAAATTTCTTAGAAAAACAACACTGATTTGAGTTTATTTCAATGCGGAAAAGATTTGTAATACGCAGCACTCTTGGTGAGCATATAAGACGGTCTGTTCTACTACCATGACAGGCTTGCATCGAACTTGAATACACAACTTGAATTCTAAATCGATTCTTCCTCATATTCTTCTTGAGACATTGGACTCGTCCTGCTGTATTTAGTTATCTAGTCACCTTCTCGAATATGGTTGTCGCTCTCGTTACTGGAGGCAACGCCGGCATTGGCGAAGCCGTTGTCCAATAACTAGCCAAAATCCCAGACTATCACGTCATTATAGGATCCCGCAATCCCCAATCTGAATCTCAGCTCGCCCAATCTCTCAACAGGGAAACTGCTCAGTCTCCTCTGTCCAGCTCGACCTTTCTTCTGACGACTCGATCTTCAAGGCCGTCGAGTCCATCCAAAACACCCATGGGAGTGATGATGTCCTCAACACGCAGGCATTCTTATTGATACGTCCCCTGAGGCATTCAGCTCCACCAGAGACCTTTTCAGAAAGACTTACGAAACGAGTGTCTTCGGAGCGGCCGTTCTGAGTGAGGCAGCTCTCCCTCTCTTACTGAAGTCAAAATATCCCCGTATAACATTCGTCTCATCGCAATTGGGCTCCTTGGAGTCGTCTTTGGACGAGAAGATGCCCTTCTACACCGTAGACTTCAAAGCACATGACGGCAGCAAGGCGGCTATCAACAGCTTGGCTGTTAACTTTGCCCGTATACCTACTGAAGGATGTTGGTGGGGCTTCGAACGCTGTCTGCCCCGGCCTGGTTAAAACGAAATTGACTAGATGGATTGATGCCGGTGCACCGACTTCTATCGGTGCGGAGAGAATTGTGGAGTTGGCTACCGCAGCTCCGGGTAGACCGACCGGCACGTTCTCGAACATAAAGGGTCTTCTGGCTTGGTAAACCTAGTGGAGATTTTGGCATGGCTACATGTACTTGAAGTACTTGTTGGAGTTTTTTTCAAGTATGATGCAAGATAGAAGGAGCAGAAGTTTCCACCAGTATTCATGCAAAGCGGGCTCTACCACATAGTGTTACAGAATTGCCGTAGCCAGATTTAGGAGGATCCCTATGTTGTCGGCTCCTGAGTTCCATCTATCCAGCGTCTCTGCATAACTTGCATCACTAGCTTGTTGATGACTTTCTAAAAGCCCTCCAAAATATGCTAATTCTTTCCTTGTTTTGGAATATTCTTCAAAGCATCTGTTTCTTCTTTCCACAACTCTCGCGTTGTGGCAACCCATTTGATTTTGTGGCATGGAAGGGACAATTCTCTCCATGTGTCTAAAACAGCGCAGGAGATACCGACTTTGACAGAGGCTACCTGAGCTACAAGAAACCAAACGCAGGCAATTCTGAGTCTCTTGTCAGCGAACGTGCCCCTCAACAACACAATGGGGGTTCTTCACCTCGTTCGAGACTCATTCAAGACCCAATCTTCCTATGTTTTTGAGCTCTTGGAGTCTACACTGCACGGTGTATCAGTTATTATCATAAACTGCTTCCAAAGCGCCTGGCCAGCGTTAGTGACAAAACACTCCATCAACAGGCCGACATACCTCGTAGGCTAGCAGCATACGAGTATTGTAGTCGCGGTCCTCTGAGGTGCTGCCTTCGCCACTGATAAGACGCATGATTATGTAGATCAGTTCTGCTTGAAGTGAGGCGAAGATGTCTTGTCTGTTGTAGTTCGTCATCTAGAAGATTCAGTTAGCATTTTGAACTCACCAAGAGAGGCATAGTGAATTGTTTCGACCTCAATTAGATTTCTCTCCTGCTCCATCCGTATCGAATGCCATAAAAAGGGACTTGTGACCATATTCCGAGAAGCAAAGAGAATCGCATGCCCATACAGTTCGCCAAAGGCTCGGGAAGATGGCTCGTGTCCTGGTATTGGTGTATGAAAGGTGGAAACGTTGATCTTCGCAGCATCATCTGTCTATTTGATCATGTCTGGGCTGCTCTGCGCGACCTGATTCACGCAGCCGATGAACTGAAGTGGAAAGATGATCCAAGATGCATCAGGTATCACCATCTCTTCATGGTTAATACAGTGTGACATTATCTGCCGGCAGGTTTCGGGCGTCGTGGTTAGACCGGTGACACCATTGATTCGTTGCTCCGGTCTATGAGCAGATCCTTGCCCTATCAGAGGGAAATCTCCAAGAGTGAGCTCATTCGTCAGCTCAAAGGTTTGGGACAGTGATAGTGAGTCCCATTGAAGTTGTTCATCAAACATAGAGGCCTCCGATGTGAAGGGAGGATTAGGATTAGTTAGGTCAAAGGTGGAAAGAGTCGGGACCAAGCCATGTTGCTCGACAATTTCTGTGCTGTCCTCGGACCCATGACTCTTATTCCCCGGGTAAACGCAGTCTAGTCCTTTCTTCGTGCAACGTGTACAACGAGCCTGCAAGCTGCACTTATGTTTCGCTGTACTACATTCGCGGCAGGGCTTCGGCCGATTCCGGGGCCAGGTTCTTGCGCGCCGACAGATGATACATGGCGCTTCAAGCACCCTCTGGATCAATCTCAACGAGTCAGTTCATGTGTTGGAAGGGCGGTAGGTGGGGTCTCTGGATATGGACCTTGGCTAAGAGGCTTACTGCATATATTACAGAATAGCACACCAGCCGGTGCGCTGTTCGTGGAAAAGAACAAGTCGAGATGTTCGGAGCCGCTCATTTTATGTAAAGCGTAGTATATGAGCGACGCCCTCGCGAGGAGTTTCGCAGGGAAGCCTTCATGTCAATCCAAGTATTCAAGTGAATCAAGCAGCGTCTTCGAGCGAATGACTCCAGCAAATGATCTCCCAGTACGTTTGTCAGCAATTTGACTAGAGACTAAGCTAAGATTGACGTTTGATCCTACGGAGATGAGCTCGAATTCCGAATACAAAGGCTTAGGCAGGTGTCTGACCGATATCACTCGATCAAGTTACGAATAGGTATCGTAGCAGACTCAAATGCTTTCCAATGGTGGGAACTCATATCATGAGCAGAATCAAGTTTTTCACGGTCGCTCTCTTCCCTCAGCACTAGAAGCTTCTTTCCCAGCGATAATGAAGACCGCAAGAGGAATGGGCACTGGCTGAAATTAGATACCGACCATGAATCATGGGCCAATTGCATGAGACGGGCTGTACGCAAAGGCCGGGGGCTTGTTGTCGTCCAAACGCGCAACCGCGGATGGACAAGCACGAGTAAGGGGTATTGTTGCCCATCATTGCCTGGACGGACAGCAGTGAATGGGGCTAAGGTAAAGCGACAACCGAGACAGCCGACAATATTCCAACGATGGTGCTATGTTCCTCACGTGTTGTCTATCAGGAGCACCAGCCAAAACTGTGCCACTCAAAATCAGACGAAGTGCTTCCAAGGCGGGGCCTATGGCCCTGGCCAAGGAGCTGTTTGAGTTCAGTAGTACGCTAGAGCCCAGAGGTGACACTTGCCACCTGCTGTCGTGTCGCTTCCTGAGCAGCCGGATTGACAGGAGCACCGGGCGGCGGGGAGATGATCAGCCAGGAGCGAGACCGTGGATGAAGGATCCTTTGAAGCTTGGAGGGTCAAGAGGGTGTTACAGGTGCATAGCAGCCCAATGGTGGTGGTGGAAGAGCCCGAAGGTGGTGTGGCAGGATCGGCGGCTGCAGTTGATGGTGTTGACGAGAATGCGGATTGACAGGGGCAGGTCGAACCCAATGGGAAGGGCCGCGGTAGAGAGCAGTTTGGAATTGGGCGATGATCGGTGATAGCTGGACAGACAGATGCGTGTAGTATCACGACAGGCGGCAGCCCGGAAAACGACGGTCTTTAACTGTTAGAAGAAAAAAGACAGCGTAGATGTTGAAGTGAGCTCATTCGGGTGAGGAGACTTGACTGGTCTGAGGATTCGGTCGGTCTTTCAACCCCGCAATTACCCGCCCGGCCACGCTCTCATACTCATAGTACGAATACTCAGTTACTCACAGTCCATGCCCACGTCAATCCACCTTGACGACAGACAACGGCTGACGGCTCTAGGCCAAGCTGCCGGTGTTGGACACACGACGTCAGGAACGGTGTGTCGGGTGCTGGGTAGCAATACAGGAACATCAAATGGGGAGATTGGGGCCATTTGAAAGTGAAGCTGTACGACCTCATCGTGTGTGCGTCATGCAGCAGCAATAGCAGCGGCAGCATCGCGGCAAAGAGAGACAACAAAAAACAGGATCAAAATCAGCAGGAAGGGTTCAGGAATAGGAACGGGACCATGAACAGTATAAACGCGTGACTGATGTCGGTGCAGCGGCCAGCGAGCCTAAGAAGCAGCAAAAGAGACCACGTCCCATCTGGAAATAATAATAAGCCAAGCGATTTCGAGTGTGGCCCTCTCTCAAGCGATCCTTGACCGGCTGTTGGGTGCTGCGATGCGGTGAGGAGGGCTGGAGGGAAGGGAGCTGGAAGGGCGGAGAGAAAGGGGGCCACATACCGGCACACTAGGGGATGAAGGATCGGAAAGGCGGAAAGAAGCCGGAGACAAGTGACAGGGACATGGCCTGTGAATGAGGTGAGAGTGAGTGGTGAGCTGAGTGGTGAGTGATGAGGAGATGTGGGCCAGACAGACCCAGCTGGCAGTTTTCCTCCCACGCGTTATGAGAGGTAAGAAGTTTAGGGTAGAACAATGAGACTGAGCCAGGAGGAGACTGGTAGGACTGGGAGTCTGGGAGTGGAAAGTGACAATGTTGGTGGTGAAGCGACTCCTCAACCCACCGGCCCCGTCGAGTCTCAGCTGTCAAGTTCACGAATCATCCCCGTTCCGTTTGGCCAGTTCCGGCCCCATTCGTCTTGTCCCTTTTGGAGTGGCCAGCTGCAGCGAGGCCCAAATGTGCAAAAAGGCGCTCAGAGTTTCTTCCAGAACCAATCGCCAGGATGTCGCCTCATCCTTAACGGTCTGGGCTTCCCCTACGGATACAGGGGAGGGGTGACTTTTCGGTTTTCAGGGAGTGAGATCGAAAAGAAGACGTGGACTAGTCACCGCGACTGATTGCGACTGCGAATGCGACTGTGATGAGAAGCTGGCCACTCTACCTACGAACTGACAAAGGCGCGCGAGGGGCAGAGTTTCGCTCTGATTGCTGGGCTTTCCCTCTAATTGACCCGTTGATACGGCTTGGGCAATCGACACGTTCCTCACTGGTTCATTTCCATGTTTTCCCATAGATAGTGATAAGGTGCAATTGAGAGCCTATACTGTCCGCCGTTGTATATCATATCGAAAAGCCCCTCTCATCCCGCATCCTACCCCGTCTCTTGATTTCCCTTTCATCCTTCCTCCCCGCTCTTTTCCTCTCATTTCAGCCAACATAGCGTGGCCTCACATTCCATCTCTTACGGCATCGCAAGGGAGAGAAGGAGTCAGGGGTAGCAACACATACCAGACGCTCACCTGCATTTCACACCGTCATATCGGTATCTCCCTAGACTGTTGTCACAAACGATAGACATCTCCATCTCAATCCCCTCTACAGATACCAAGCGAGAAACCAAGCCGCAGGTTTCCCAACCTCTGTATCCCCACATCGCCTTCGTCCGGCTGCCGGCCGTTGTTCGTCGTCCACTTTAACAACAACGGCTGAACATCCCACGCGCCACGATCCTTCTCGGTGCCACGAAAGCCATCAGCATCTCCGGGGGGTTATTGTTCAAGTCTTGACCTATTTCTGTGACTTTGTGGGGGCGATTTGCAAACCCGTCCTCGGTCTCCTCCAACCCTTGTCACCCAAGTCGGTACTCGCTTCCGCTTCTGTTTGGAACTGTGACGGTGGAGTTGTGTTAGGGGCCGCCTCCTCTCCTTCACCGCATCGTCAACAGCGAGGGACCCTGCCCCGAAAAGCGCCCCGAAGTGCCCCGAGTGCCCTCCAAGTGGCTCCCCGCAACAGCAAACAAGACGGGGTCATTTTGGCGGTGGACTGGGCTCCCTCTGAGACCAGCCTCCTCCCTGAGTCCTGACGGAACGCCCTTGACCAAGCCAAGCCCAGATCGTAGTACCCTGGGATCTGTCGTCACTTAAGAAGAAGGGAAAGCTTCACAAATCGACTAGTGCCGCCCGCACCAACACTACCACACCAGGTTACCGCCTGTGTGTGTCTCTCTCACACAATCTTCCTTCACCTCGACGCACTCACATATACTTCCACACACATCCACATCACTTGCTCGGTGAAGACGCCGGGCAGGTGACTGAGATATATCATCATGGCCCTCACGCAGACGGTCACCATTATCAACAACTCGGGCAAGATTATAAGTACCGTAAGTCTTTTTCTCTGGCTCACACCCGTTGCATTTCCCCCCACCGCCCCTCACCACTCCCATGCCCACTCGATCCAGCCCTTGAACTCAGCCGTCAGAACTGCGTACAACAACATTCGACATGCAAACAATGCAGACGCACTACCACTCTCAGGCGAGCGATGAAGCCCAATAGCTGACGTATCATCTTCGCTTCTGCAGGGCAAACACCTGGCCGGTATCTTCAAGGAAGCCAAGGCCTCCTACCAGGAGAAAAAGGCTGCTATCAAGGCCGACCGAGAGGTTCTCAAGCGCGCCCAAACCTTTGACACTTCTCGCGACCTCCCTCCCGAGGCCTTCGATCGCCGCTACTCACACGATGATGGCCGCTCTGTCGCCAGCTCCAGGAGGAGTCACCGATCCAGACGTTCCCAGACGAGCCACCGCGATGTCGAATACTACCCTGGTTCGAGACCTGCCCTTACCGAGAACAACCTCAAGACACATTCCGAAGTCTCCAGCGTCACGCCATCAAGAGCGCCGCCCGCCGCCTATCGTACCCCGTATGCTGAGACAGCTCCCCTTGATATGGCCTTGAGCCGCCCGACCTTGCCACATTACACCACTGCCCCAACGTGCAGCGACAGCCTTGCAGACTCGGCGACGATCCGTGGCTCCATGGTCCCTCGTACCATGTCCGCGCCCATCATAGCCAAGGGTCGCAAGGAGAAGGAGATTGATATGGACCTCGCCTACGGTAACATTCCCCCCGATCTAAAGGATCGTACCGATTTGGACCCCCTCACCAAGGAGAAGGAGGCCAAGACTCTTGTCTCCAGAGTCGAGGGACTTCTCGACGAAGCCAAGTGCGCGCATCACTCGGCGACCGCTACCATCGCTCATCTTCAGGGGAATCCCGATGCCGCCGCCGCTGTCGCCCTGACTCTGGCGGAACTATCAACGCTGTTGAAGCAGATGTCACCTGCCTTCTTGTCCGTCATCAAAGGAGGCTCGCCGGCAGTTTTTGCTCTTCTCGCATCACCCCAATTTCTCATCGCCGCCGGTGCAAGCATCGGCCTGACAGTAGTCATGTTCGGTGGATGGAAAATTGTGAAGCAAATCAAGGACGCCCAGGCCCAAAAGCAGGCAGCCATCGCCAACGCCATGGCGCTTGAGGCACAACCCGCGCCGCAACCCATCGAGTACGCATACAATGATTACGGCCAGCAATACGACCAGTATGACCCTTACCAGCAGCCAAGGGATGGGAGCGTCCGGGATGGAAGCGTCCGGGAGGGTAGCGTACGGGAGGGTAGCGTACGGGAGGGCAGCGTCGTTTACGACGAAGCGTACGTTCTTGACCCTCGGCTTGATGAGGAGCTCAGCTCTATCGAGAGTTGGCGCCGCGGCATCGCGCCTGCCGGTGAGGATGAGAGCGTCGATATGGAGCTCATCAGCCCCGAGGCCGCGCGTTCGATACTTGGAGACGACACCCGTACTGAGAGAAGTTTCCGGACGCAACGCAGTTCCAAGACGCACCGCAGCTCGAGGACGGAGAGAACCGAAAGGTCGGAGAAGTCGCACCACTCTTCCAGGTCGCACCGCAGCACCCGTGAGTCCGAGGTGTCCGAACGCAAGAGCAGCGTTGCAAGGTCTGAGATTGCGAGATCTGAGAGGGACGCCGAGAGTGTCGCCAGTAGCCACCGGAGTCACCGCAGCTCCGCATCTAAACGCAGCACACGCGCGCCAACGCTGGCGATTGAGGACGGCAGCCGCCAAAAGGAAGATGAGGCCATCGAAGCGGTGCTTCGACCCAAAAGGAACAACATGCTCAAGACTCTATTCAAGAAGAAGGAGAAGGAGCACAGAGATAGAGATGAGAGGGTGTCCGCTCTCGTATTTTAGGATGTGACCATGAAAAAGACGCTACAGATGAAGGCAATGAAGAACGGAAACGATGCATACGGCTTGGGCGGTTTCCCAGCCTGGACGGAGTTGGGATCGTAATTGGTACGCAGGAGGGACGAGACGACTTGGAATAAGCCCTCATTTTGCATTATTGTTGGGGAAGGACACATTAACCATTCCAAGGGGCAAGCATACTTACAAACATTGTTACATCATCTTTGAGCGATCAAAGGTTTTCGATTACAGAGCAATAGATAGCATCGCAGCAAACAGACATGAAACTTACTTTGGGGTTTTCATCGTCGTGGCCTGGCCAGGTGGCGATGTCTGCGGCACTGACTATAAAATCCTGGTCATCTCCTTGTTGGTCAGTAACCTTGAGCGGGGGGAGACTTATGTTTTGATCGATCACGCCCCTGCTACTCTGGGAAAGGCATGGAATGCTTCTGAGGCTGTTCGAATACCGGGAATGGCCGGAAGCAGCGAAGAGGCGTAGGGCTGAACCGGACATGGACGAGATCGGGAAGCAATATCAGACGGTCAAAAGCAAGTTTGATCGTCAGCTGACCAGCGCGGCGTTCTTCAGCGAATAGCGACAAGCGGCTTGCGGGAAGACTAGAAAAGGCAAAAAAGACGACGGCTTCTTTCGTTAACGAGACGGCACACTGGAGATGCATGTCAGCTTTTTGTTCTTAGTGCTAGGCCAAGTACTCGGGTTTTGCGCCAATGCCAGCAACGACCATACCGGTACTTGGGGAATCGCAGTCACAGCGCACAGTTTTCGGTGTCTTCATCCAGCCCCGGTGGCGGACGGGTCTTTGCTTCTCCCCTTGCAGCACTTGACTACCGACATCCCTAGAGATTCGAAGAACCGTATACTTGGGACTGACCAGATGCAAGGGAGTTGGCAAGCAACCGTGGTCCATCCTTTGTCTGTTGACAGGTCATCTTCCAAAGCCCGAACTTCTCAGCCCCAATATATGGGAACATCCAAAGACGCTTGATGCTCTCTGTTGGGAGACATCATTCAATCGCCCAGTGCCTGTTGGTGTGCAATGGACGGAGACTCAGTCATAGCCCCCAACTCCCAGCTGCCTCCTCCTCCACCCACATCTCAATCTCCGTCATCTCACCTCATCATCAACCCTGCAGTGCGTTGGACCTACCACGAGTTACGTCCCATCTCTCATCTAACTCTCATCCTCCTTGGCCCCATGAGGCAGTGTCACCCTAGAAAACTCTCTGGATACTCCCGGTGCGAAGGGGAATACAACCCCAGCTGCGTCTAGATGATGACAGAGCGCCTCATCCCACCTCGTCAAACAAAGCCATTCACGATTGCAAGTGCGATCAAAGGCAACCACCGACGGCCGTCTTCGTCTATCAGAAGGGGCCAGCAAGGCTCCGGGGTTTCTCTCGAGGCATATCCCGGCCGCCACATGCAGCCATCGCCAATGACGCACAGCCGTAACCCCCACCATTGGTCGGCGACGCCAGTCCTGTGCCATCACCTCGAGCTGAGCCAACTTGGCTGCAGTGGCCAACCCTGAAGAAGCGATCAGGCAAGGAATTTGTAAATTCAAGTGCATTTCAATGCAGGTCGCATCGGCCTTCCCTTGTTTATTATTTGTACGTCTGGAGATGGAGGGCGGGAGGAGCCACAAACTCCCATCATGTCCGGCAAGTGTTGGTAGCTGTGTTTCCCCAAGCCTTGCGAGACAACATGCGAGTTGTCTTATCAGTCCTTATTCCGTGCTTGCTTTCCCTCAATTCTATTTCTCTCTCCGCTCTGTACTCCTTGGATTTTCTGTTCTTCAGCAGCGGTTCCCTCACCGTTGTTTCCCGCTCACCCAGGGCGCTTCGAATGACAACACAGATACCTTGCACATCGAACACCATAAAGTTGTTCAGGTCTATATTATTCAACTCTTGCCGTCTTGCAGATTAATTCAACTGGCGAAATTCAACCGGCAAATGTGTCTGAGACGTCTATTCAACCCCTGCGGCCCTTTCCAACACCGACTGACATCCCTACCTGATCGCGGAATCGTCTCAAACCCCTACCAATATCTTCCTCAGTCCTCAAGCCTCATCCGCCTGTTGGACCTGCCACGATGGAAGGCAAAACCGACAGCGAAGGGCTCGGCCTGCGGCAGAATGCCTTCCAAGATCAACATAATATCCAAATGACGCCGTCGGCTGAATGGCATTCCAATCGCCAATTTGCTCGAAAGCCGATCAACGGACCACAGACGCCGACAACACCGGCACCCATCAGCAGCCCGTACGGGCGTTACGGAGGAAGCCCGCCGACGCCCTCCGCCAAATCATCACAGCCATCCTTTTCCGAACGAGCTGCCGGCGCCGCGGCATACTTCCCAGCACCGGCCAGCGGAAGTAGTGCGACTTCGCAGCGACCAAGACCGGCGCCGTTACAGATGGACACAGAAGAGTATTCAAACTATTCAGCCTCCTACTCCAGCCTGAGCACCCCTTACACGGGGGGTCTGTCAACTGGGGGTCTTCCACCCAAAAGACACATGACCGCGCGCGTCGATTCTCGGTCTTCAGCAGCTGGTCTACTCTCGCCGCCATGGCATGGCCCTCCGCCTAATCGACCACAGCCAATGTACTATCCCCCGGAACAAATCCAACTCTTCAACAAGTACTGGCACACGTCGTGGAACATGTACTTTTTCCTCTTGGCCGGCATTGCATTTGCTCTAGGTCACCATTTTTTCTACGCCGGCCTTGACGGAACAGAGGCGAACGGCCAGATCCGCATGCTTCGCTACGGTGCCGCCTTGTCTTTCCTCAGTAAAGCAAGTCTGGGTTCGGCTGTGATACTCGCCTTCCGACAGAGGGTATGGATGACGGTCCGTCGAAAGATGCTGACCCTGGCTGCTGTGGATTCGCTCTTTGCCGCCGCCGAGGACATGACTGCCATTTTCAACATGGAAGTCTTTCGCCAAGCTAGGATCGCCATGATCTTGGCCATCTATGTCTGGTGCACCCCTCTCGTTGTGGTCCTCACCTCTGATACTCTGACTGCTCAACCTGCCACAACGCGCCAAAACACGTCGTGCCCGTCCGTCCGCACTCTCAATTTTGAACAGGAAGAAACCAGTGATTTCCGCACAAGGACGAAGATTAATAACCTATTTGAGCTTTCCGCCTCTCTGTGGAACACAACCAGCCATAATCAATCTGACGAGCACTTCTTTGACTACTGGATTGGGACGAGTTGGCAATTTGAGGAAATATCCACTTCGGCGATTTTGGGCAAGAAGCCGCTCGCGCGGACGAATGCCAGTGTCGATGTTTGCGGCATGGGCTGGAACTGTACATTCACCATCCAGTTCAAAGGCCCCGGGTACAAGTGCGAACAACTAGCCAGCGGCGTTGGTTCGACACCCAAAAAGCTCAACGGCGCCGACGTGCCTTTCAATATGAGCATGCTTGCTCCAGTTGGCAACCATACGTACATTGCCCACGCCACCGCGGGCGAGTACCAGAACCCTCAGATGAATGACACTGGTCCTGAAGGCATCCCCAATACGCCGCCTCCCTATCCACAAAACCTCGGCGCCCTCCGTACGGAACCGGTGCTCTGGTTCGGCTTCGCCGAGGTCGACGAACCGTCCGACCCCCAGCCGATGGACCCTACTTTGCCCGAATGGCAAACGGCCTACACTCCAAAGTTGTTTGGCTGCGAACATCGTGAGACGGAATACGAGGTCGACTTTGGCTACACCGGCCTTGTCCAAAAGACCAATGTCCGGAAACGAACGTTCCTTGACCGCATCGCCGACACTCGCTACCTCCCCGGTGTCGACGCCAAAGACGGAACAGCGGACAACACAACGGCGACGCCAGAGTCAAACTACATCTTCCCAAAGGACGTGGCTCGCTACCGCAGAGCCATGGCATACCACTCCATCGGATACCAATTCCGCCAATTCATCAACGGGACAATCTTCCAGCCCAATACGAACGCCAACACCAAAGTCCTGCAAACCCGCATCCTCGACCAGCACAACTACCTTGTCGTCAAAGACTTCATAAACCAGGTGCAGAGCCTCTACGAAGACATCCTCATCTCCATGTTCTCCCAGCCCCGTCTCCTAGCCGTCGTCTGGGCCAACGACACAAGCGAAAAGACGGGTACCCGCCTGGGCGACAACCACACCTACCCCTGCACCCGCGAGCGGACCGACCTCCGCTACAAGTATCACGCCCGCGACCTTTGGGCCGTCTATTCGGTCGCCATCCTCCTCGCCATCGTCGGCGTGGCTTTCGGTCTCGTTGCCGTCCGCGAGGAGGGTCTCGTCCGCAACACCCGCTTTAGTAGCATCGTCGCGGCAACCCGCGGCCCGGGTCTCGAGAAGCTCCCCTGGGCAACGACGCCCAATAGTGACCACCGTCCCGTGGCTGCCGCCAAGGTCGGCTACGGCCTCGTGCCCAAGGATCCGCACGCGGGAGGGGCCGAGACTTATGGGTTCGGGCTGGAGGGCGACGTCAAGCAGCCGCAGAGGGAGAGGAACCAGCGTGACGAGTCGGGGAGGACACCATCAAGGTTGGGGAGTCCCTTTCAAAGGCGAGCGTTTAATCGGAGGTGGTCGAGATTGAGCGGATAGGTTCAATGTCTCTCTTCAATGTCCAAGTAGATATCCCGAGATTCTCGTCAACAGAGTCTTTCAGCGTTTGTTTTCCACTACGTCATGTGCTGTTACTTTGTTAAGTTCATTATTCTCCTTCTCAAAAAATCACCATAAACATGTTCAATAATTAGTGCGAACGGAGATTAAAAGATGGCAGGGAAACTGTCCACACAACACAAAGCAGAACGAGCTAGACGTCCACAGATCCTTGATAACAAGTGATTCCATTTCAAAAACAATATTTTCCTCAGCCTCGAGACACAATATGCAAGTCGTCGGCCACATGCAATGGACGCAAACCAGCGTAATAATCGAAGTGCCATGAACCGTTTCGTTTCGTGCGGCTGCCGCCTGATATCTACATTAACCCATACAACAACAAGGTGGTATATGCGCTCTGCGCGGCCCGGAAATCCATGCAAACGCCCGCCTTTCCTTTTCAAGCCCCGCCTGTGGCCATCATAAACGCCAAGAACATGAAGATGGAAATCCATCCAACCCCGCCCTACCAATGTCATTATGCCATCATGTGGTTTCCCCGTGGTGGATGCTGTTTTACCCGTCGTAATATGCTTGTTCGTGAAAACTCCTATTGTCCCGTCTTGATATTCCTTCGTCATTATAAGTCTTCGGCCAGAAGGGCGCGAACTTCTGGCTCGTTGAGGAGTTTGCGTTCGCCCAGCTCCGAGAGAGGTTTGCCGTCGCGGACAGCACCGAAGTCGAGAATCTAGCGCAAGTTGGTCAGCATAATTCTGGTCAAGATCTGCGAAGGTCAAATTTACCTCGACATAAGTCAAGCTGTCTCGCTGGACAGCGGCGACGCAGCGCCTCTGGTCAAACTTGACCTGCCAAACACCGCTCAGGTCGGTCAACAGATCTTGCACGCACTCACCGGTGCGAATGTCCCACATCTTTACCGTCTTCTCGCTTCCAGAAATGACCTTTCGGCCATCATGTTGAAAACACGTAATCGCGCCGGTGTGGGCTGTGAGTACATTTTTGCATTTGCCATTCTCTGGGTCCCAGATGCGTAAAGTGCTGTCGGCGGCTGCCGATACAAGTCTTTCGTCGCGCAAGTCAAGCAATCCGACGAGTAAGCTGTGCCCTTCCAGAGTATGCAGGCAGGCACCAGTGTTCAGGTCCCAAATCTTGACTAGCGAGTCCATGGAGCCTGAGATGCATCGATTACGTTCGTGGTCGAGGACCACGCTGTAGACTTTCTGGGAGTGACCATGCAGAACGTGAAGCGACTCGCCAGTGCTGATACGCCAGACGCGAACGGTACTGTCGTAGCTTCCGCTGACAAGAGTGTCCCCGTGTGCAGAAATGGCACGCACGGAGTGTGTGTGTCCAGAGAGCGTTCGGATGAAGTAGGGACAATCAGCATCGTTGGCTGGAGGGCCGGTCTGGATGTATCTGCGAGAGCCGACCTCAGGAAGACGCCAGACGCGGAGTTGGCTATCACGGGATCCCGTGATGATGAGCGGCTTTGGCGGCATCATGACGGGCTTTCCGTCGTGCCCCTTTCCGTTCTCGGTAGGCATGAGGATCTGAAGGCATCGGACAGTACTAGTGTGGCCGTAGAAAACCTGCGTGCAAAGACCCTTCTCGATATCCCAGACACGGACAGATCGATCGGTAGATCCTGAGACGAGCATGTTGCCTTCGTATTGCAAAGCCCAGACACCGCCTTCATGGCCTTCGAGCTTCTTTCGTAGCTTGCCAGTATTGGTATCGTAGACGTGAATCAGGGTGTCATCGCTTCCAGTGATAATCTTGTCTTCATCAAACTGCAGGCATGTGATGACATGGCGGGGATGGGCAGCGAAGGCAACATGCCCGGGCTTGACCTTTCCGCTCGTCCAGCTTTGCCGAATCATGTAGTGGCGACGATAAAGGGACTTGAAGAGGTGCAACTTCTGGAGCCCCGGGATGCTGGTCTTGGGATTGGGCACAGCAGCCGCGGCCGCATTGGCAGCTGAAAGCGGTCCCTCAGACTTGTGCTGCTTCACCTCGGACTGCATCGCATCCAACCGCGCCACGTCCTGTCCGCTTGCTCTACGTTTCGATCTATCGGCGCTGGACAAGTTGAGTGCCCTCTTGCGTTTAGAGCTGCGAAGCCTACTCGTTGAATCAGCCTTGACAACGGATTTGGTGAGTTCGTTGTCAGCCGAGTCCAATCGGCTTAATGGTCGCAAGTCAACCTCGGCCCCAGTAACTCCAACGGGATCTTGCCAGCCCCAACCCTGAGCAATAGCCTTGTCGAGCTCACCCGGGGGGAGCGTGAAGCCATCACGGTCAAACAGCTCCTTCCACCCAGTTTCATTCGTGTCCACAATATTGCGCCAGTGCTTGGAGACCTGTGCAGCTCGGCATAAGTCGCGGTGGTCGAGGAACGACAGTACGTGGAAGCTCAACTCGAGCGGGAGCTGCTTGAAGAAATCGCACTTTAAAGCAGGGGTGACAACGTCGGCGACGAGGCGGAGTGTTTTTCTCGGGCATCGGCGGAGGAGGTTGTACATGAGGAAGCTTTTCATCTCGTTGGGCATGGCATCAAATCTCTCCATCATGTTGCGGGTATCAAGCATGGCGGTGTGAGCGTCGAGATTATCGGCTTGGAAGGAGCTGTCATCGACGACGATGGACATGTCGGAGACGTAGCCACCCTCCTCGGTGGTCTGTGATTCATTCAACCAGGCCTGGTCGCGGAAGCTGACATTTCGTCGGGCGACGATGCTGCTCTGAGGCGACTCTGTATCTTCATCATCGGAGTCTCTCGAATTCAGTTGAGCGGCTGCTAGTGTAGGCGAAAGTCTCGGACTAGGCAGGCTCGCATCCTGTGCAGCCACGGCGTCGATGGAGGGTCGGTGTCCAACGGCTCGAAGAGACTGCTGAAGCGACTCGTCGATGTCCACAAATGGCTCGGGGTCGGCATCAGTGATGGGTGGAGTGGCGACGTTGCTGCTGAAGACGGTGAGTGCATCGCTTCCGATGGGACTCTCAGCTTCCTGCAGATTTGTTTGGCTCGGTCCCGACTCGGGAGGAGTATGACTGGAGCGGTTCAGCTGAAGGGTCCGGGGTCGCGTCACACGCTCTGAGCTTGAACCAGCGACTTCGGACGTGTCTGGGGTAGCCAAGTAGCCGGACGGTCTGCCCCTCATGAGCTGGCGTCGGAGGCGTTGCGAAGCGTCCTCGGGTATGGAGAGACCTGTCGGTCTGGGGTTCCTAGAGGGTCTCGAAGGCAGAACGGGCGACGCGTTGTAGGACGGCGAGACTTCCCTTTCCCGGGGATTCGAGCGACGAGATCTTCTTTGATGGGCATCTGAAGGCGACTTGGATGTGCGTCTGGGAGATTCTTGGCTCGACTCGTCTTCTTTGAGGAGGCCTGCGGGTTGCCTTTCGGCTGCAAGCGGTGCTTTGCGCTGCTACAGGAGACAGACAATGTCAGCAAATGCGGCGGCGAAGAAAGACACGGAACGACAGGCGTGAGGGGCATACCTTTTTCGCAACAAAAGGATTGTCGACTGCGCCATCGGAAGAAGAGCCCGAGACGCTGAAAGAGAAGTTTGCGAGTTCGGGGGGTAAAGGCTTAGAGGCGAGGGGATACTCCTTGGAATCGAGTTCGTGGAGAGGACGAACTTCGCGCAGGAAGACGGGCGGAAATGTGCGTTTGGTAGTTGTGGTGGTGGTGGTGGTTGTTGTCTCTATGCACTCGGAAACGGCCAACTGAAGGCTTGTCGAGTCGGATCCATGGATGGAGGAGTTGTTGCCTTCGTCAACGGAGAAGGAGACGGTCTGGCTGGAGCGAGGCCGCTTCACTTCTGTGGTGTTGATCTGGGGACCGGGCGAGGGCGTCATGATGCCTCTCGCGTGGTATAGGGCCTGATGCGAAGGGTCAAGCGGGGTGGGATGGCAAGTGAAGGAAACTTGGTGGTGTTTGTGTCGGAAGAAGGGGGAGTTGTCGAAGAGGAGAGGAAGGGTAAGGTTTAGGGTCGGGATCGGGTGCGAGTGAGGGTTGGGGATTTCAAAGGTGGCGGGCGGGATTACGGTCGCAGGTCGCAGGTTGCAGGCACGGCTACGGCTACGGCTACCTTGCTCTGTAGGTAGTCTGTACTGTGGAGGTGGAGGTGGAGTTTTTTTTTTGGTGGCAGCACCGTGGACGACCAAGGCGGGAGGGGAGCCCGGGTGCAGTGCGACGCCGCGACGCCGCGAGAGCGAAATGTACGTAGCGGTTGCAGACGACAGTGGAAAGAGTGACTCGTGAGTCGTGAGTGCCCTGAGGTGCAGTGCAGTGCGGAGCGGTCCAGTCAGATCAAGGAGGTGTGGTACCTCAATCCAGCGGAGGAGAGACACCTCACAACACGGGGAGGCTCGTTCCAGGTTTTGACTACCATTGCCTGCCTGGGTGGACGAGTACCCCTGAGGAAAAGGTACTTCCCGTCAGTGGAGGTACTTCCAGACCTACCTGCTATAGTATGGATACTAGAGGTCTTGAGGAAGGCAGGAGGATAAGGGTGGGTGCACGGCACAGCAGAGGCCCGCGGCACACACCGCAACGGATCGAAAGTGCAGAAGCAATGCCGCGATACCGCAATGCCGCGATGGAAGGGCAGGCGGGGCAAGTCAGGTAAGGCAAGCCGTCAAGCAGGCGTCGGTCAATAGCGAGATGAGACGACTGTTGGCGGCGGGGAGAATAGAAGGTTTCCAAGCTGAGGTGCGGGGGATAAGGTTGGCTTCCAACAAGTCTACCGTAAGGAACCTTGTTTGCTGGTGGTGAAAGCAGTTGGATCGAACTTGGTCCGGGCTTGTTTGCAGTGCTGTCGTCTTTGTCGAGACCTGGATAATCTCGAAGCACCCCCTCCTCTCCTTTGAGCCTCGGGCGCAACTTTGGTTGATCGACTACTGCGGTGTCGAGGCAGCAGAAATTCAGAATGGGGTCCAAATGCTTGGGGCTTCGACTTAATGAGTGCAGACTGCAGACATGATCAAGTCACAGCAAACACCAATTATGGGGAGTGGATCAGGTTGGTGGGCAACGCTCGAGCGACAAGATGAGATGAGATCGCAGCGTGGCCGGCAGCATGGAATACCTAAAAGAAAGAGCTGAAAAGAAATAAAAACTTTTTTTTTGGGCTGGTTTGTGGTCCGCTCGCATCCAGCTGGAGGTATCTCTCAAGACAAATTTGGCCGACGAGGTACATGCTTCATTCCTTCCATGTTCCCAGGCACACTGGATTGTTAGTGGTCTCCACTCTCTCAGGACGACGAGCGTCACTGGGCCACACTTGGTTCGGTGTGTTGGTTTGGCAGCGGCTACGGATAGGAACAGCGAGCAACTCAGGGTTTCATACCTGACCTTGCGGTATCCATACATTAGGTACCGCCAGCCAACACTGAATAGCAGTGATCATGCGCTGTCTCTGATGTTTTTACTAGACGGCTTGTTTTGCAGATTTCTTTTGTTATCCGTTTACCTCGATACTTGGATGATTAACGCTCAAGTCTTCTACGAAGACCTACACAAGGTAGTTACAGTGTGTGAAGAGTGCCTTACAGGTCCACGTATCCGTACGTGTCTGCCTGCTCCCGATGGCAAAGTGGAGAAGCAACACGTGAATTGAAGTGGAGGTAAGGTACGAATACGGATAGAGTGGGATTCCAGACTCCGGGGCCCGTGATTCCTTTCCAGATTCGCTCAACCTCAGGCGTACGCGCCTTCCTCTGTCGCCTCCCTCTGCAGTGACGACTCTGACGAGTGAGTGGCTGCAGGTATTGGTGGATCCCCCTTTGATTCCATCAAGCGAGGGGCCTCCCTGCCCCTGATAGATGTGGAGGTATCTGATCCGGTGTTTCAAGCGTGCAAGGTACTCGGCGCCGCAACAGACTCGATTGTCATCCAAGGACTTGTACGGGTATTCTTGGGTCGTTGTCCAATAAGGTATTTCCAATACTGCTGGTAATCGGTAAGGTGGTCATCCAAATGCTGCTCGTGTGGGCTGCGGACTCGCCTACCTTACCTCAGTGTACGTCTTCCTTTCCGTCGCCAATCAGCCTTGCTCTGGTTTGCTACGTTCATGGCTTCGCCGCCTTTGTCTCTTCCGTTCTGCCAGGCCCCTTGTCTGCACGCCATCGGCAGAATGGCTGGAACTCCGCTGTCTCGCTCCCTCTATCGCTTTTGTTGCGAGAGCAGCCAGCAAGACGTCTCATGCCCATTTCAGCAAGTTGCAACAAGAGACCCTCCCGTTGTCAGTCGTCACCATGAATTGTTCCCCTTGTCATGGCCGCCGCCGGCTGAACTCGAGACCATCCATGTCAAACCCAGCCCCTTGGTCCGCTGGCCCCAGTCCCCCTTTCGCTTCCAATCCTTGCGGGCCTACTCTCCTCATTCCCCCCAGTCACATTCTCGCAGTTGCAACTTGCCAGTCACGGTCACCGGTCCAGGTCCCCCAGTGACATTTGACATTCACGCTCGTCCAATTCTCGCGTCGACTTTGGCACGCAACAACCGCGGCGCAGGGCTGGCCATCTAAATTGCTTCGCCTGTCCACCCCCCGCTGATCTCACGCCCAGGCTGGGGGAGGCTGATCGCGTCTATACCTTCGCATTAATGCAGTGTTCAGTACGGATAGATCTTGGGCATGTACAGAACCCCGCGAACGCGTTACTACCTAGTCACCCGTGAAGCAGTGTCTCGTCTCATGCCGCCCTCGACGCTGCGATTCGGTTTCGATAAACACACCTATTGAACCCTTCCACCCCTAAGGTGCCTCCAGCAATTCTCCCACTATCTATACATACATTCCCTTATCAATGAACGGGCCAACGCTCAAGGCATTCCATCGCAAAGTAGGTAGCGCACACACACCTATGGAACGGGAGAGAAGAGAGACGCCAGCGGCAAGCCACTTACGAGCCAACAGCCATTGCCTGAGAGCCATGTCTGACAATCATGGATGAAAAGCCTATCCATGTCTAAACTGCAACCACACTGGCATATAAGGCTCATTGGATTGCAAAAATTGAGAGCCGCCGCATGGGTGCGTCTCCTGCGCTGCGAGGCATTGGACGACATCACACTAACCGGCGTCTAAAGACCAACAGCCATAGGGATGGGAATATCCGTAGGCGCAGAGACTAATAACAGCCATGGTGAGTTGCGGTCTACATCAAACTACTAACCTCATCCCTCTACATTCGTCTTGAATATGCACCGCCAAACTGAAATGCTTTTCCCCGCGCATAGCTCTCGAGTGAGTTTTCGAGTGACACTGCTTTCTATCCAAATAATGGAACATGTCGATCAGGTTGTTCTGGCGGGCTGCAGGTTCCGCTTCGTGACATCAAGAACCCCTTTTCAATGTCAAGGCGTTCTGCTGTATCGTCAGCACTCGTGTTAGTTCTTGGCCCTGATGCGCATCGTAACACTCATCACACACCTCCCTCGGCTGACAACTTGAGCCAAGAGACGCTGGGGAGTCATGGAATACTTTACGATCCGTCAGCAAGACCAGCGATCGTCTCTTCAATGCCTCGGGATGCTGTGCTGCATTTTCGAGCTCCCTCATGTAGGCCTCTCGCCGAATCCATGCCCTTTTGCTTCCCCGAATCCCTCATCTTCCTGTCTCTCCCCTGTTTGCCGCCGTCCGCCCCGATCCGGCCTAGCGCTCTCTTGTGGCCCCCGGCTCCCGGAGCACGCCCAGAGATCCCAGGAATGTGAAAACTGCAACCACTTTGCAGCTTGGGAACCTTTTGGGCCGCTTGGCGGCAGAGAGTTTCGGAGTTGCTGCAAAAGGTCGGAGCCTCGGTGACGAGCCAGCAACGGGCTCCGCATCCCTCCAACCTGGCTCCATCTTTGTTCGCAAACCTCGGTTTGACTCTTCAGGAAACCCCCGGCCTGTTGGCTGGCTCCGTCCAGACCAACCCTCCAGGTCATCATCTTGGCCATGGACATGGGATTAGTCGCATGGCAGGCAGCGAGACACTGACAAGTATAAGCGTGGCTGCTGCCAGCACTTGCTTCCATCCAGCGAGAGTGTAAAGATCCTGGGCATCTCAGTTAGCATTGCAGACTTTCCAATTATTGGAATAATTGTTTGGATCAAATCGTCATTTTCATCATTCGTAAGCTAAAAGCCCGGGCCTCTTGGGCACGTCATGCCGCTTGCTTGCAAACTCATAAATCGCCCAGGTCCATCCTTGCTATGCAATTTTGTCCCCCAAAAATGCCTGTAAATGCATGAAATAAATATTGATAGTCGCCGTCATTGTATCATTCAAGTATCATCCAATACCTATGAGATGTACACTGGTAATCGGCTACCCAAAAGCTCGCTCTTCGATACTTGGACATCTTTCTTGTGGAAATCGTGTAGCATGAGCCAACAAATCATGCGGAAAACAAGCGTGCACCAAATATCCTCGTGGGTGACGTGCTCCTCGCCCAACTCATATAGTATGATTGGTTCTTCATCATCTATCGTTTCGACAGTTCGGGTACTGAAGTTGGTCTGGTTTCGTTTCCTGAGACCGCCGAAACCCACAGCGGGTTGTTCGCGCCTGTCTGATGATTCTCGAGACACTTCGACTACCTTTCTCCGCACCAAGCGGAAGTAAACCTCCATTAGCTTCTCCTGCTTGAGTTCCGGTGGTGCGGCGTCGATATCTTCGAATCGAAGCTGACTTCTTACTCTGTTTTCGATAGTTGAGGTGCTGCCAGGAGGTGTCTGCGCCGGCTTTTCCGACTTCTCGTTAAAGCCCCCGAGGACCTCCTGGATATGACTGCGTAACACATCTTGTACCATTTCACGTCGTGCGCTCTCATTTGCCCCTTCAGCGTTCCCCTCGAAAACCGAGGACTTTCTTGTCGGTCGAGATATCTTGGCCCTTGCCGTCAGGATCTCATCTGTGTCGTCGAGAGCCTCGTGCAGAGCGTCCATGAGGGGCAGGCTTGGCCAATTGCCAATGGCAGTATGCTTCTTAATCAGCCCATTGATCTTGCGGATATTCCTTCTAATAGCTCGGCCCACGAGGCTAGGACTCGGCTGATCCGAGTTCAGCTTGTTCATTTGCATAGTGTACGCATCCAGCAGTCTGGTCAAGGAGAAATTCTTCGTGTCCCATCGATAGTGGGTCGGGTTAGGCAGTAAATGGAACGCACTTTTTTCGATGTGAAGCGTACGTCCCAACATGCCCACTATCTCGAAAGCGACTACCAAAGAATGTTAACACTGGAGAGTAGTTGAAGCAGTGCGACTCCAGCTTACCGGGAAACAAATGACCAACCCTGGCCGTCGACGTTGTGGAAAAGTAGTTGACAGTGTTGGTGTTGCAGCCGATCAAAACTAGCGTTTCGGCGATTTCATGGTTACTGGCAAAGTTCAAGGTCGACAAGTCGCGGGGCTCATCGTTGGGAAACTTTAGACGTCGATTGTCTGACGTTGCCCGGTAAATGGTTGGGAGGAAGCCAAAACAGAGCTCCTTGGTCTCGTCCACGGGTATGACGCGGTTGTTCTCGAATCGATTGCGTCCATGAACTTGAAATGTGAACATGATGCCAAGATCACTGACTTTCTCCCCCGTGACAGTGTAGCCATTGCCTTCTGCTCGGTATCTATCATTGGTCCTGTTGAACTCGACCCAGTAAACGCCAAGCATAGCCAGCATTTCTACCATATGGCACCACGCCGTTGTGGCGTAAGGCTTCTTGACGTTGGTCGGCATTGTGTCCCAGCTCCTGCGCTTCTTCTGAACGGCGACCGTCAGAGTATACTTGTCGCTGACTGCTTTGAGGACATTATTGACGTCTTCTGGACTCTCGAGCTGAGCAGGTGCTTTTGGTGGCTCCTGGTAGACTGTGCCCTTGTATTGTTCCTTCTGCCATTCCCTAGAATCATGTTCCATTTTTTGCAAGGCGGAGAGCAGCGCCACCCACGAAGCCCGCTCATTGTCGGCCGTGTGGACTGACTGCTTGGCGAGCTCCTTATCGGAAACGTCCGTTTGGTCTCGGAGTTCTGACCTGCTGTCTAGCAAGCTCTTTTCCGAACCGTCGATGAATATGATGGGCTGGTCCTTGACGGGGCCCTTCTTGTTGGTGGGAGGGCACAGGAAAATGACGGGAGCTTCGAAGAGAACCTCGAATCGGAACTCGGTGAACTTGATCTTACGCTGCTTGGATTCGGACCATTTGCCTATCACCTTGCTGCCACAGCTTGAATAGCCAGCGGCGGAGGCGAAGTATTGTTGGGCGACTTGTAGGAGGGAGGCAAGTAAGGCGACGATGGAGATGACGAGAGCGACAATGGCAACAAACAGTTCCTTGTCATCATCGTTGATGTTGTCGTTGATTTGCTGCAGAGTTTGGTTGAATTGTGCTTCGCTCATGCCCTCCATGGCCATGATCTGGGTCCAATGGGTTCACCTGCGCGTCTAGTTCTCTATTTGCCGTCGTTTGCCGAGCCTCGCGGGTTTGGGATTCGGAGCAACACAGCTGAGCGCAGCTGGAGGTTGGTGCTTTCGGTAGTGGGTGGGATCGAAGTACTCAAGACAGGTCTATCTCGGCGAAGGGAGCAGATTTGGTCAAAATGAACGAAGCCATGGGTGGCGTGAGGCAGCCCAAGTTGCTGATAGAGGAGCGGGTTCAGCACTGGAGAACAGACGCGGGAGAAGGAAGCCGCGACGTTTGTCGGATCGAAGTCGAAAAGAAATCTTGACGAGACAGACGAGGCTGCACGTTGAGCTAGCGCGCGATGGCGGCACAGCCGCGACCGGGAAACAGGAAAGAGGGTGCTGGTTGGAACCGTGGGATGCGATGGGATGTGCGACCAGGGCAGTGTCTAGGTCCCGTCTACTCTGTACGGAGTACGGTCTACGGATACCTACCCTACTCCATGGTCAACAAGCGAGTGTTCAGAGTCCAGTGGCAGCTTCAGCTCGTCTCGCCAGCCATGTCCAAACCTGGAATCGTTTGTTACCGTTTGTTACCTGCTTGCCGGCCCCATGGCCAACCAACCCCCTCCCCTGTGTCAGCATGGCCCCCTTGTCTTGCCCAATAGCCCTGTCAGTCGCTAGCTCGTGGTTTCTACAATAGATTGCCCTCCGTACTTTGCTGTGCAACAGGCAGCATGATTTCGTGGTGGCTCCACCGTTGCTGATGGCGATGCAGATGTAAGGCAAGGCGATGCGATGTATGTTGACGTGGAAGAGGGACGACGGTGCGGGAGGGGAAAGAATCGGTGAACTGACGTTGAAGGTCGTCCATTTTGGGGGCAGTGCAGTGCGGACGTTGAAAAAGAGGCGAAGAGCGTGGCTAAGCTGCTCAGCTTCCATGTCGCTTCCATGGCGCCTTTGCCAGAACTAGTGTAGGAGCGGGCCGTCGTTCGAACCACAGGTCTGCGCAAAGTTCAATGGGCTATTTTCAGTGCTTGTTTTTCCCCCTCCCCAGCCAGTGGTTACCTTAAGGTAGGTAGGTACCTTATTTCAGACTGCTACCCCGTCCGGTCCCCCGCTAGGTATCCCGACCTTATTGTTAGTGTTAACGGTAGTGGAGTGTCTCCAATCGCAGATGACAGGCAGCCGTGTTTCAACGCTGTCCATCTCCCACCAGTCGGCCGACCAGCCCTGGTCATTGAATGCGATTCTCTCTGCTATACGTTGGCGGATACGAATGTACTACAGAGTGCAGATTCAGCTCGCATGATGTGTCGTGACAGTCTTGCCGAGGCAGTGAGCTGATGCCTACCTTAAAGAGATGATGGCCGAGTTATAGGGTCGTGATATCCGTGTAGCAGTGGGAACTCCCCGCTAAGGATGTGTGTAGGTCAGAGAGCTTATTATAGGTGTGAAAGAAACTGACGTTAGTACTGCCTCTCTGTTCTCTCTAGATTTTCGTGCATTCTACAGCTATGAGAGTTTACGGGGTCTCGGGTTCATAAGGTATGGGAGCCATCAGGTATGGAAGCCAAAATCAAAATCAGTAGCCGGTGAAGGATCAGCCAGCGATTGGAGGGATCGCGCTCACTGGCATTTCTGTACATTGCCATGAGCCCTTTGTGTAAGACTGCAGTAAGTCGAGTGAAAATCCTTCCCGTACAACCTGGTGCTTACTTCTATCAACCTGAGAACCCCTCATTCTGCGTCCCATTCTACTCGTGTCAGGTAGTTTCAGCAAGTCAACTTTCCTTTGAGGACAACCCAGAGAGTGCTTCGAATCATCACATCGCGCTTCACTTCGTCCGGCAATTATGGTCTGGCCATTCTCTCGTCCTTATCCTGAGCATAAAGCAGTCGATGTCGATGGCAAGACATTTGACTATGTCATCGTGGGCGGTAGGCATCTTTGGTAACAGAAGAGGTTCGCGATGGCTAACCTCACGCAGGCGGAACCGCCGCATGTGCCCTGGCCTCTCGACTCACTGAGGACCCGAGCACCAGCGTCCTCGTCATCTGTAAAGGCGTGGTCAGGGATCACTGGATTGACCGCATCCCCATTGTTGGAAATGCGAATGACGGCAAGGGTCCTCAGATCGAGACATTCTGGTCTGAGCCTGACCAGCGGTGGACTGGATGCAAAACCCGGACATTCAACACTCAGGCACTCGGCGGTGCCACCAGAGTCAACGGTTTGATGCTCACACGAGGCGCGCCTGGTAATTACAATCAGTGGGCTGCGCTTGGAAATGATGAATGGAGCTGGGACAAGTGCGAGCCATACTTTAAGAAGATAGAAAACGCCGCTTGCCATCCCAACGCCCCCCATCGCGGCCATGAAGGTATCGTCATACCCCAAAGACCGACTGAGCTTCCTCCCTCCCTCTCTCTCTCTCTCTCTGTGTGTGTGTGTCTGTCTCTAACAACCGCTTGCCCTTGGCAGGTCCTCTCCACGTCCGACAGAACCCTATGATATTTCCTATAGACCAATAGTATGTTGAGATGCCCATAGCACCCGAGTATTTGCTCACCTATGGCCTTGACAGCATTCAAAAGGCAGCAGGCGACATGAACATCCCCGTCCAAGATGACGGCAATGACCCAAACGCCCCGGCCATGGGTCTCTTCACGACCGACATCATGATAGACAAGTATGGCTACCGTCATTCCTCGTTGGCAGCTTACCTCCCAAGGTCGACGGTTCATGAACGCGAAGGCAAACTCACCATCTGCACTGGTGTTGTCGCAACAAAAGTTCAGACGAATACAGATGGAACAGAAGCTACGGGTGTCTACATCTTAGATCACCTCAACAAGAGCCCGCCAGGAAATGCTTCGTGAAGGCTCAGAGAGAGATCATCATCTGTTGTGGAACTCACTTCACACCACAGCTCTTGATGTTGAGGTACGACTTCATCGAGCCACCTCCAACACGATCAATCCTCACTAACTTTACACAGCGGTATAGGACCAAAGGAACAGCTTGCCAAGCACGACATCCCACTTGTACGTGATATGCCAGGAGTTGGCGCCGACCTCCAAGACCACGTGACCTTCAGCATCGCGTTCCACACCCGTCTCATCGACTCATATCTCCGCATGTTCAATCCTCTTATTGGCATTTGGCACTTTATCCTCTTCCTCCTTTTCAAAACCGGCATGCTGGCGACGTCTGGAGCGAGATTGTGTGCCTGGTTTCACACGAGTACCATTGATGAGCCCACGATGACTATAAAACATTACGGCAACGGTACCGATGACAAGCACGACAACACAGATGCCCTTCGACCAGAGAATGTGCCCGACATTGAGCTCCTGTTTATCAATGCTTCGTACGACTTTGAGAAGGGCAAAGGATACTGCGCCTTTCAGACGACGCTTGTACAACCATTCTCAAGGGGCAGAATCGAGCTCGCCTCGTCAGATCCCCTGGCACATCCGAAAGTGTTCCATCACTACATCACAGACCCCCGCGACTGGGCAGCGGCGCGCAAAGCCGCCCGTTTCTCGATGAAGTATGTGGAGCGCTTTCGACAGACGGATTATCCGTTCAACTCTACTTGGCACCTCGCACCCGGGGTCAAGGCTAGGACGATGAAAGGTGGGTGGCGGGATGTGACGGACGAGCAGATTGATGCCTACATCAGGGAGCGTTTGCTCAATATCTACCACGCAACTTCAACATGTCGTATGGGGACAGGAGAAGAGGATAGTGTTGTCGGGCAGGATTTGAAGGTCCACGGGTTCAAAAACTTGCGGATCGCGGATGCAAGCGTCTTCCCGAAGGTGACGAGTGCCCACACTGTGGCGCCGACTTACATGGTGGCAGAGCGATGTGCCGACTTTATCAAGAGTGATTGGGCCAAGGAGATTTGACACCCTGTGCTTCGCCACAGCATCCAGCAGTATAGAGCGTCTATTTCACTGACATCACTCATCACTGGAATGCGACACGGACCATGTCGCGTAATAATCAATTGGTATTGCTAGAACCCAGCGCAGTCTCAAGAACCGCCGCGGCCCTCATTATTCATAACTTGGCTTCCCCCCCACGTCCATCCTCTAGTCACAAGAGGTGCTCGTCAAACCACGCGACGGCCTGGTAAAAGGCCTGCTCCTTGGCGTATTTTTGGATCTTCTTGCTCAAGTCGCACCGGACAGCAAAGCCGTGCTCGACGCCGGAGTACAGGTTGATCTGGTAGGGCAGACCGGTTTTTTGCAGAATCTCCTCGGACTTGTGACGCTTCTCGGAGGGGAAGATGCTATCGGTTTCCGCGGCGGCGATGGAGAGGGGGCCGGTGATGGCGGCGAGCTCGTCCTCGTCGACGAAGCTGGGGTGGGCCAAGAAGCCGACCTTGATACCATCCTGGTAGTGGCGGACAACATACTGTAAAAGGACAAGGTCAGGAACCAACGCGTGTACAAGCTGTGGAGGTTGGAGAGACGGAGCTTACCTTGGCGCCGAAGCAGTAGCCGAGAGCACCGACATTGGTGAGACCCAGCTCGTTCTGCAAGTACTTGATGGAATCGACGATGATGGGGTCGACGGCCTCCTTGTTGTGGGGGTTCTTGCCGTCGCTGCCCTCGTTGAGCCATTTGAAGAAGTCAAAACCCTCGGGTATCGGCACAGGGAGCTGGTCCTTGTTGAAGAGGTCGACGATCAAGGTGGTGTAGCCGTTGGCGGCGAACTGGTCGGCGAGCAGCTGGGAGTTGCTCCAGATGCCAAAGACGTCGGCGACGTAGAGGAGGCCGGTGTTCTTGTGCGCCTTGTCGGCGGGAGCCTCGGCAAGGTAGCCCTCATACTTGCCGGCAACAGTAATCTTCTTGCCCTTGGGGGTGCCTCTATGTTGATGAAAACGTGGTCAGTGAAACTCTCGTGTCGATCAACCGAGAGATTGGCTTAGCATTTAACAACAGACAGGTCATAAGGCTGACGTTGAAGATTCACTCAATCAAGCTTTGTTGGAGGGGGACGCGGGGAGGGGGAGGGGGAAGGGGGGTAAGCGTGGCGGGGTAGGTGGCTTGTTACGGTATTGGGCGTGTCTTACTCGTGCTTTACACCGACGGTGCAGCATTTTCCAGGAGGGTTGGAAGCCATTTCGACTGTTGTATTACTGGTAAATAATACTTGATGGTTGAAAAAGACGATATCACAGGGGAAGAATAAAGAGCGAGGCCCCCGCGAGCTTAAGAGTCTGAAGCTCGAGCAGACCTGGGAGGGGCATCATTGACCTTGGAGGGACCCACGGATGCTCAGCGCCGGGGGGGTTTTGGGCCGTGGTCGTGAGGAATTACCAAGCAACGCAACGGGATGCTCTCGAGTCTCCATTGCCCATTGCCCACATCGGAAACTACCTACTCGCCAAGGCCGGCTTTCTATTCGCACCAGAGTGGGCCGAGATCCGTTCCGATCCATCAAAATGGCAAAATTGCGAATAGACTGGACTGTGTTTGGCCAGCGGTCTTGAGCAAGCCGCACAGCTGGGAACTTGGACGCTACTCCCCCCCCCCCCCTGTCGATGAGACAAAATGGCACCTTAATGGAAACACAAACTCTTTCGGGCGCCGGTGCCTGTCCCACTCCGCCGAGCTGCGGTGCCTCGGTTTTTTTCTGGACAAAAGCCTAGTTCTTTCCCACCTTCCATTGTACCAAGCAGTACGGTTCCGAAGCGGCAATCTGAGCGGCGGCGGTAGCGGACGTAAGCTGATGCAACGACATGCTCAGGTCCTTTTTTTTTTTTTTTTTTTTTTTTTCTTTTTTTTTTTTTTTCTCTTTTTTTCCCCCCCGCCCCGCGCCTGCCCTCCCTCGCTCTCTCTCGTGGCTGTGCGCTCTGCACTCTGTGGTGTGCGTGCCTGTGCTGTTTTTTTTTTTTTTTTTTTTTCCTTTTTTTTCTTTTTCCCAGTTTTCCCCCCCTCCCCTTTCCCCTTGGCCAATTCTGCTCTCACGACCGCTTACTACATCTCACTTGATTTGTAGCGAAGAGTCACGGTGAATGGCCCCGGCGGGCGCGGGCGGTGCATGCGATTGTCGGGAAATCGCCCCTGTCTATCCGTATCTGCAGGTTGTTTGCCGACTCGGTGTGCGGCCCGACGCTTGATAACTTCAGCGTCCGGGGTTGAACCCAGTCTCGCGACCTCGCACGTTAAGCAGCAAATTAGTAATTACGTGAACAAGTACCTCGTCAGCTGCCTGTTGTAGAAAAATCCATCGCACCCCATTCAGATCAAGTTTTAAGCTTGCCCCTACCTAGAGAACCCAAAATGGATTCCATGAAGTCGCGTCCCTGTTGTAGCAGTTGACAAAGACATCAGCGAGGTAAGGGGCTTTAAAGAATTCTGAGCTGGCAAGAGACTTTTACAGGAGCCATTTCTCGTTGTTTCCAAATCAACCAAATATTACGGATACGAAGAATAAACATGGGTTGTATTAATATGATAATTCTCCTTATACATAGTTGCCCAGGCACAAAGTGCATCCCAGTAACATGCGATGTGGACTGAGAGGAGTCTAGAGAACATTACTGACATCTTCGGTGGACCACGCTCACCGAGACCGGCTTAGTCATACCCTCGCCAACCTCGAAGAATGCCCCGAGTCCTCACCATAAATCGGCAGTCATCCCACGGCCCAGCCCAGTACGTCACTGCCATGCTGCCTCCCGTCCCCGTCCAGATCCAAGTTAGCGTCCCCACAGCGGTCTCATTGTCTTCTGCCGCGCTGTGCCGCCAGGTTTCCCTGTCCGGCCACCAATCCAGCCGTTCCTGGAGATCGCCCGCTCGGCAGCATTTCCCCCCCACGCGGCCTGAAGAACTGCAGACTGCAAGGCTGGCCATTGCTTGAACCACTCCTTGCGCCAGATCCTATCGCAAACTTATCCAGCGAATCCTGGCGCATTTTGTTCGACAAGACCTTTGCGATCCACTACAATCGCAGCCTTGGTGTGCGAATGGCGGCGATACTTCCCTTCCAACACAGACAGTGAAGGGCTTGGGAATGGCGGCGAGCGAACACCACGATGATCGAGGGGCCGACGACGACAAACATGATGAGATTTCTGCACACCCCTCCGCCCTGCCTGCAGAGCCGGCCGAGGCATTCCCGCCTATGCCCATATTCATTCCTGACAATAGGGCACACGACGAGGGCATCTTGAATGCCAAGAACGATATTAGAGTGTCGCACATACCTCTCCCTCCGTTGCCAAACGTGTCTGCGAGCGCACCCCCTACCTCGACCCTCCCTACCATACCCGGCGGCCACTCCGACGAAGAACAGTCTTCCGATGCCTCGTCCACGCATAGCAATCCTGAGAAGCACGACTCATCCAACTCTTCGTCGACATCCGAGCCTGCGACCACTGAAAAGAAGGAGGCCGAGCAAAAGGACGGCGTGGCACCAAAGTCGAGAGCCAGGGCCGGATCGAGCTCCGCATCTATGAAAAAGAATCAAAGCCATGATAATGTTAGGAGATTATCTGCCGCAGGGATACAGCAACTCACCGCCCCCGAAGCCCTCCCTGTCGCAATCGTTCCCGACGACCAGGCGCTCGGAAGTCAAGACCAGCCGGTGCGCTTCCCCCTCGCGGACCAGCTCGAGGCGATTCGGCAGTCGATACTCAGTCAGCCCGACTCTCTGCGACCCAACGGCCCCGTGACGGATGGCGGTAACAGGTCTCGATATCAGAACGAGTCAAGGCGGCCTGTCTCGGGCAGAACGCTCTCAACTCCTCCGACCAATCGACGACAATCACAGTCGCAAACCACGTCGCCCCGCCGAAATTCCTTCTACGCCGTTGCTCGGCCACCACCTCTCAACCTTGATGCGACCAGCCACTTCAACGCCATAAACCCTCAACCACCAACCCAGAACAAACCGCCGCTACCACAAATTCAAGTACCGCCGCCATCAAAGTCACAACGAAATGATCCTTTCCCGCCGTCGCCCCTTCCCCCCTCGATACCCCTCCCGCCCATGTCTATACCTACGCACCTCCAGTTGGAACTAGCCGCCCAACGACCGAGCCCTCTGTACATACACCACTCGTACACGAATGATATTCCATATGAGTCCTACGTCGTCAAGTGGGAAAGACTCAAAAATGTTCTCCTGCTGCCGACGTTCCTAGAGAGAACGCTCTACTTTGGAGCGCTAGCCTGTCTCGATGCCTGGCTCTACAATTTTACGATTCTACCCATGAGGTTCACCATTGCTCTTGGGGTATTGTTCAGATGGTGGGGTTATATGGCTATCAAGGAGGCACGGTGGATGGTTGGCTTCGTCTGGTACGGAATGGGCAGAGTATGGGCCAGAGCACGAAGGCCTAGAGCAAGGAGTGCTGTGCCCGCTCGAAAAGGAGATCCCGATCACCTTGCCAGCCGCGATAGGAGTCAGAGCCGGCCGCCCGGACGGAGATCATCCACCCCAGCTACGGACATGAGATTTCCTGATAACGTTCCTGCCATTCATCTCGACTCAGATCCTAAGACGAACGGCAACGGGGTCGTTGAACATGAAGTCAAGTTGAACGGGAATGGGCATATCACTCATAAGATGAATGGACCTTCCAGCCACCATCATCCGCACCCTTCGGGTGCTAGAGTACATCGGCATCGTAGGACGAAATCGATACCGTCCAATCTGTCTTCCTTTCATAAAGCCGACCTACTGCAGGGTGCCGTCATTCTTTTCAGCTCGCTTTTTCTCATGAAATTGGACGCCAGTCGAATGTATCACTTCATTCGAGCCCAAGATGGCATCAAGCTTTATGTCATCTACAACGTCCTTGAGGTAGGCAAATCCTCACTCTTGCAAAGATCTCCCACTGACTCATTCAGGTCGGGGACCGCCTTCTCTCAGCGCTTGGGCAAGATATCTTTGAGTGCCTTTTCAGCTCTGAAACGTTGTCTAGAAATAGTTCTGGTCGATCCAAGGTGCTCTTGCCGCTGGGGATGTTCGGACTTGCCCTGGTATACAACGTCATTCACTCTGTCGCACTATATTACCAGGTCATCACGCTCAACGTGGCTGTCAATTCCTACTCAAATGCGCTGCTGACCCTCATGATTTCCAACCAATTCGTTGAGATCAAGAGCACAGTGTTCAAGAGATTCGAAAAAGACAACCTGTTCCAGCTGACCTGTGCGGACATTGTGGAACGTTTTCAACTCTGGATTATGTTGTTCATCATCGGCATGCGAAACATTGTGGAAGTCGGTGGGCTCTCTGTCCCTGGAGCAGGGTCTGAAAACAGTGACCTAGGAGGATCTGGTGCAATGCCTCTCCACAGCCCATCGATTCTTCCGTTCAGCTTCACGATTCTTCCATCTTGGGTTTGGTCCGGGGAGGTGTTATCTCCCTTCCTCATTGTCATAGGAAGTGAGATGTTGGTCGATACCATCAAACACGCCTATGTGAACAAGTTCAACAATATTAAGCCAACATTCTACAGCCGTATCCTTGACATTTTGTGCAAGGACTACTACACTAACGTAAGCATTCCAGATATTCTCCTTGCTGTTGGTTAAGAACTAATGATCCTGGCAGGCATTTGTTTCGCCTTCGCTGACGAGACGGCTTGGTCTCGCTGTTATCCCGCTGTCCTGCTTGTTCATCCGGGCTTCTGTCCAAACGTATCACATGTTCCTCTCAACACGTATAGCTGCGCCTATCGCCGAGTCCACTCAGACATCCCTATCTGTCGAGTCCGCAACACCATCGTCGCCCGCCATGGTGGCAGCACTTGACCGTCTCGATACATTGCTTCGGGATGCCTTAGGTCGGGCCGTCTACGGCTACCCCTACGGCGAGCCAAGTGTCCAGAGCAGGGCATGGTGGACCTGGACTAGTGATGACGTGATTGCGGCGGTGACCATGATTGTCGTCTTCTTCATCGCCTTTCTGGTTCTTCTGATCATTAAGCTCCTGCTAGGCATGGTTCTGCTGCGATACTCCCGGAACAGGTACGCCAAGATGAAGCGTAAGGAGCACATGGTGGCAACTGGGCAAGAGGAGCGCGAAGTTTATGATGCCAAGGGGAAGAGAGTTGGTGGTTATGGTCAGATCGAGGTCACGGAGGACCGGCGGAGATGGATTCACGCCGACGAAAAGGAGGGGCTGAAAGGCGGCAAGGGACGAATTCAGAAACCAGAAAGGCCGCAAGAAGGCGACTATAACGGAGTTCATCGATATGAAATGGTTGCGAAGAGGATTTGGTGATGGAGTTTTTTGCAGTCTGGCATCTGTCACATAGCATCACACAGCTTGGGGCATCTCGGAAGACGTGCCGCTTCCCTCAGTTTTCTGTTCCTGAGAATTGATAGCCTTGGTTCATTTGAGCAGAAAACGGGCCCCCCCCCCCTCCTCCCCCCCCTTTTTTGGCCGTCGGGACCATTTCGAGAACCCCGAATATGACGTATAACCACACAATACGAACGTAGAATCAATCACTATCCCAATCAGGAGCGCCCGTAGAACTAAAGTCATCCCGATGCTATCCTATTCCCAGGCCCTGACATTTTTCTACCTCTTGATAGGGGAGAACGGAATTCTTTTGGCAAAGTGTATACAGCTGCCGAGGTATCCCTGAGACATCTGTCTTCATCCAAGTCAAGCGTACCCGAATGAGGCATTCAACGGTTGCCGGAGACCATGGGCCTGGATGAGCTCGAAGCGAACCAACTGCCATGAGAAAATCGCACCAGACAGCTCAGAAATACCCCGGGCGACGACGACGAAGAATACGGGCACGGTGGTGGGCAGTCACACGGCAAGATGACGCGAGTGTTCTATGAGATAGTGGAGCAAACCATGGCCTACAATCAGCCACTGCGAAGCATTTTTGAGCAATCGCGGACACAGCTGTTATATAAAGTTGTGTCATAGCGTTGTCTTTTTCGAAATTGCTTTGTAAGTAACTAGAGCTTGATTGATACAAAAGTGCCATGTGAGCTGATCTAGATTGCCTCAGGTTCAAACCAAAAAAGGAGCTGTGCAAAACCAAGCACGTTCGCAAATTCCATCCTCACTACCTTACACCACCACAGTGGTTGCGGGCTATTTGGCTTGCTGGTTAGACATCGGCTGTTTACTAGATGAGAAGGGGAGATTTTATATTCCACCACCCCTTTGAAAGTGATACTCATGCGGCACCCTGGATGATCCATGACAGATATTGTGCATATACTAATTCATACGTGTTTCGTTTGTAGCACAAGAAACTGGTAGTGGGCAATCCGCAAAAAATACAAAGCTGAAGAGACGCGTGCCGCGGATAAAAAGTTTGAGACCCCTACGTAGCGTAAAATAGCCCGGAAGATGAAGAGCGACTACTACACTCGGGCAAAGTTGAGGATATTTTGTGACTGAGCACAATCGCGCACAACTATAAAGTTTACGAGCTAGAGGTACAGGGTGGGACCGAGTTCAAGGCCCGGGACATAGGAAATGGATTAAAGATACGAGCAAATGTCGCAGCTGCCTTCTGAGGTTGACCGCAGGCCAGACGAATCGCCCTCAACTTCGCAGACACAAGAGGGAATCCATGATGCAAGGGGTTTCAGCTTCCTGCATTTCAGAGAAAGAGAACGCCCGTGTCTACGGTCCCAGATGAAAGATTGTAGCCAAAGGAGATTCGACCAAGCGGTCCTTGGCCGAGAAACGAAAATGGGACAAATGGTCGAACAGAGCATGATTCGTGCAGGACCTAGGGTATTAGTCACCATCTTGACCGGTTTACTTTTTGGACTTTCTACAACACTGACTTATGTCCAGAGATGAATACCTAGATACTAGGTTGAAGAGTCGAGGAGATTAAAAAAAGGCATACAGGACACTGCCGCTCTGTTCGAAGTAATACCTATGCATGAGTGATCGAAGAGGTAATGCCAAACACCTAACTCGTCTCATATCACTGTGTTCCCAGCAGCCTCACTTATCTGCAGCGATTGAAGAATTGGAAGAGGAAAGCAGAACGACGGGCATAATTTCGGCGAGATCTGCAATGAGCAGCGGGATGGGCTAGCCCCTGAAATTCATTCTTGGCAATGTGCCCACAAAGCAACTTAATGAAGCACTGACTTTTCACAGAAATTCCGAGAGTGCTTTGAATAATTTTGGGACAGGACAGTAGATACTAACAGAGTCCATTGCTTCCTAGAAAAATATCGAAAGGAGTATACCGCGGTGGTCTGGCGGCTGCTTAGCTTGGTTTTTGCTTCCGTATTTGATCCAGGGGGCTTCTGGACTGTGGAAAAGCAGACAGTAACCCGAAAGTCTCTGAATAGGTCGCTTCATGGGGCCATAAAGTTCTCATTGGACTTTGGCTCCATTTTGTATGCTTTGTGAAATTCAATTCAGTGATGACCACTTGAAACAAGCATCGGCAAATGGGCGAGAGAGAATGGCAAACGCTGCTTCTTGAATTAATACGTGTTGGAGCATTTAAGTGGCTTGGAGAGGTATATTGAAAGTGCTCCCGGGTGGAACAATGCATTGTGACGAGGATAGGTCAACGTGATTCGCAAGCAGTAACCCCAGGCAGGAGGCTGGCCGATATCCTAAAGCCCAGTGCTCACCCACTACGAGGGAGTTGAGGCCAGTTTATCTTCGTTGAGACAATCCAGTTTGCAAACGATCCCAAGTATCTCAGTGCCAAGTCAAAGACATCGGTCATTTGTTGCCGGGGATACAAGGTGAGTGCTTGTCCGCGATGCTGGGACCTGACGAATCTCCAGACTTCAACACTTTCCCATAAGCAGGAGGAGAACAACGAGATCTGGCTCGAAATCTATTGATGACGAGCGAGCAAGATTGGGAGGGTCTGGGAAGGAGGCGTTGAATCATATTCATGAGAACATTAAGAAGGTGCTGTCATTCGGCTGTGACTGTGACCCTTTCCTTGGTGCTTAGCAGGCACGAGCCGGCTCCGGGGCCTCCTACTGGAACTGTTGCTTTTTGCGTCGCGGCGAGTCGGTAACACAGTCATTCCTTCTCAGGGCAGGTGCGTCCTTGCCCATGAAGCAGAAAGTAACATGAACTTCAACATTGATAGTTGCCATGTATCGTCGTGTCCTTCAGTCACCTTTGCTTCGTTCCTTCCACCACCGTGGCGGTTGGCATGTTCCAGCCCCTAGTGTCCATATGAAGTCCCAATCTCGGAGCTATCTGGCCTCAACCTCAACAACACAGCTCCGTCCACGTTCTTCTTCCATAGCAGCCACTTTCAGACACGGATCTCCAACTATTTTCCTTTCTGCGCCGGCCGCCACTGAACCAGATCGATTCTGATCGCAAGGTTCTTCCTTCAGTCAGGCAAATACATACGCAATCATCTTTGGGTTTATCACGCTCGTCCGCCTCTCCAGCAACTCCAAAGAACTACATTCATCGCCCATCTCTGAGTCGAGAGCCCAAGTTCTCAATGGATGCTACAAATGACACCGATGCTCTAGCCCCTGCTGCCGAACCAAGAACGCCGATGTCGACTCCGGCATCAGGTCCGGCGTCCCCTGGCGTGACACCCGCCCACCAATGCAGACAATGCCGTGCTTCCTTCTGCCAACCCCTAGGTTGCGGCCATGTCTACTGCAACCAGGTATCAACAATAGCTCTCTCTAGTCTTCAAGTCCTTCCAGAATGCTTGCTGACACTCCCACTTCCTAGTGCGTTGGCCTTCACCACATATGCCCCGAGTGTGATCGCCACACTATTGTGCCTTCCAAGCCCTCATCAGAAGTAAGTGTAACTCCGCAGTTGGGTGCTTCATGTGTTGCCCTCTTGCTAATCATGGGATCTTCTCCGCTTCTCCAGAAATCTCCTCATGCTAGGGAACAATCAGACGACGGACTTTTCAGCCCTGTCTTTCAAAAGCGAATCGACAACCGAATTCGTACAATCTAGTATATCTCGCTTTGTTCTTTCTGGGCTTCTGCCATCGTAGCTATCCTTTGCATAATTGCTATTGCCCTTGAAGCGAGTTCAGACAGGTCAGCTTGAGACGAATGGTTTCAGTGGCGGTATTTGTCTGAGGCTGGTGCTTGGTGTCTAGATTGGTTTGCGGGAAGTTTGACCTTGGCTGAGTATGATTACTGGTAGCATTATCTCACCCTACGACTAATACATCTACATCTTTTCACGACCTATGATGCGCTGCTATCCTGTCTGTATTCCACGTGCCATACAATGCGGCTACGTTTCGCAAAGGCTGACAGATGGGGATGAAGTTTTCAGCCACTTGTGCACGTTTCACTCATTATGATAGACGTTATCCTAAAAAAAATGATAGATCCCCGCCCGGTAACGCCTTTGGCCGCTCCCAGAGCTGCGCCCCAATGCTCAAGCCCAGTTCAGAATCGTACATGGCATCTCACCCGCCTACCGGAGGCCGACGCCATCGCCTCTTGACATGCGTTCCCAGAATCGTCGGAGACGCCATACCCTCCCCACACCCTTGGTCTCCTCCCACTTCTTGATGCCCTCTTCTCGCTGGCGTACCTCACCCTTCCACACGCCCTCTACCCACTTCCTCAAGCCGTCCTTGACCTTCTCCTTCTCGATGGCGCGGCGCTTCGCAACAAGAGCGGGCGCAACTTGCACCATGCTCATGCCGGGAACACATTCCGGAGGCAGCACAGCCCGCTCGACGAGGGCTTCAGCTGAGGGCCGCGAGGCCAGGCGTCGTGACAGTCGGATGGAGACCAGTGAGCGGGCGAGGCGGCGCGAGACGACCGAGGTGTGAGTCAGAAAGATGGAGCGGGCGATGAGCTCCGCCAGAGAAGGGCGAGAAGGGGAGGAGAGCAGCGGTGGCAGGATGGCGCGCGTGTGACGGAGCCGATAGTGATGGAGAATGGGCGAGAGGGACAGGTGACGCAGGTGATGATTGGTCTGTGTCATCAGCAGAGTTCAGCATAGTTCAGCAACGACGGGGTCGGTCAACGGAGGGGACAGCAAGCACGGGCGGGATGGAATCTGGCGTGAGGGTGGAAAGAGGTTGGGAGGTAGGTAGGTAGGTCAAGGCAAGAAAGCAAATAGTCACTCAGTTGTGGGAACGCCTACCCTCGAAGTTGACAACAGGTCATTGACATCCAGATAGCCGAGAATGTGCAACATGATCTCGTTTGGAAGTTCGGAGATGGCACCCGTGGGCTGATACGGAGGCCCAAATAACGCCAGACAAGACGACGAAGAGGCCGCTAGAAAGTACTGTTGGTGATGATGGTAATAGTCATCCCCGTCACGAGCCCCAGCGGCTGCTTGGGGGTATGGTTGGGCATCAGCGACCGCCGGATACGTGGAATCGATCTGGGAGGAGCGGAGGGTATGACCCGGGCTATGATCGCCAGCGGGTACAGGCAATGCGGGAGACGAGTGTGATATAGCAAGCTGGCGGGTCGAAGAGAGGAGATGGTCTGGGGCCATCTCGTCGTGCATTGCGTCCATGGCTGACTCGGTCGCCTGCAAGCGACGAGATGGTGATGACACCAATAACTTGATCTGGGCTCCGAAAAGTTCAAGCGCAGATGAGACACAGATGTGGAGCTGTGCGAGCGACTGCTCCAGCTGGCGGCTGGCGTGGTTGTTCCAGTCGTGGTCAAAACCTAAGATATCTGTTACTTCGGAGAAGAGGTGGAATTCTTCGGTTCGGAGTGTGCTCCGGAGGCCGGGTGGGCGCCAAACCAAGCACAAGAATCCGTAAACAAGTTGCGCAGGAAATGAAGGATAGACGCGGGGATCGGCGAGGCCACAATGGGAGGAGCGGGGGATGGAACCGAGTTCTTCAGACGACCTGGGCCTATGAGCAAATTTGTTGCGTACCTACGGCGAGGTAGGGTAGGTATTGAATAGACAGATGCGCCGAGAGCGAGAGGACCAGACGAGTCGGGTATCGCGCGCCTCAAAATGAAACAGAAAAGCTCGCGTAGGCAGATGTCTTTGCGCTTTGTGTTTTGCGTGTTGCGTTTGCGCGCGCGTGCTGAGAAGAGGCTGGCCGCTAGAGGCCCGGCCGGCGACCGGCAGCCTACCGTAAACGCTTGGGGGGGAACCACGGCGTGAGACTAGGTCCGTCGGAATGATGAGAGCAGCACGAGTCGACCAAAGACGGACAACCCTATGCGAGGCTGGCGAACAGCGGGAGAATGATCGGGTAAGGCTCGAATAGCAAGCAACGGCGCAAGGGAGGGAGGACCGGAACGGATGAGGGGCACCGAGAATAGCTAGGATAAGGTAGGTGGATGGAGACACAAGCGATGGGCCGAGGGCATGGGGGTGTCTAGGCCGAAGGTGAGGCCAGAGTTGAGACCGACGACAAAGATGGCGATGGCAGGGGCACCTTTGATGCGGCAGGAGGGCGGGAATCACAGAGTACAGGCTGGTGAGTTGAGGAAATACGGTTGTTGAACTGGGAAGGAGCGCGACATCGCGGAGGGGAAGGAACGGGGCTCGACGACACAGCTCACCTTCCATTGGCATGTCTTGGTGTGTGCCGGTGGGAGCAAGAGTGGTGCATCTGCAGCTTGCGCCTCCATCGTTCCAGGCTGCGTCACACGGTCCAGGCAGGACCAGGAACAGGGGGGGTGCGTGCATGCGACCCACAGTGCGCGTCAACGTCGGTCAACCGTCAACCTAATGCCACAAGGCTACCTATATCTGTACGTAAGGTACATGCAGCTGGAACTCGCCGAGTCTCCGCGTCTCCGCATTCAACGGCAAGAACTGGCACTGTGTCTAGCGCCGGAAAGGGCACGCACTTTCCCAAGCCACCCATCGACTGTCCCAGCACAACAACAACTCGGAAATGCGCCCCTCCGCCATTGTCCAATGCCTGTTTTCACAAAGAAAGACGTTCAAAATGGCAGTTGGCGCTGATTGGAACGGACTCCGACACCAACGCCGCCACCCCGTATCTTTCTGTCTCACAGTCTATCTCAATGTCGGGGTAACTTGGCAGTTCTAGCATCTTCAGGTAGAGAAGGGGCCCAATTGACGAGAGGCATCCACACTCAGGTCCTAGAGGCAGCGAGAGAGAGAGAGAGAGAGAGAGGCTAACCTTGGGGAAAAAAGGTCTGCACGAGCTCTTGGGGTAAAGAGAGAGTGGTCCCATCGGGGGTGAGGTCGTTGACTCGTTGGCCTGGGGCTACATAGATCGACGGGAAAAGGAAGCTGAGGCGTCTTCGGCTTCTCTTCTGCCTCGTGCAGATTCCGGCCACCTCTTTCCTCGTCCCGGTCGCCACCGGGCGCGCCTGTAGCAGATCTAGCCGAAATGGGGCGGTCGTTCAACACCACCACTCGCTACTACAGTCGGGTCTACACCTTGCTTGCTCCGATTGACCCACTTTTCAAGCTGCTCCGGGTCTGGGCTTTCCACCGGCGCGAAGTTCCAACGTCCGACATCCCCAATTCCACAATTCCACAGTTCCACACCCGTTTTCAAGCCACACCTCAGTCCAACGCCTTGCCGTGCACCTTTCCATTGCCTTTGTTCATTGGACAATTCGGACTACCACGTCTCTGCTTGAGACATCGACTGCTCATGTCTATGACGGAAGCCAATCTGGCATGCCATCAGACTTGGAGCCGCCGGTGATGCTTGGTTCTATCGAACCATCCCTGAATGACGGCTAAGCCTGGTTTATGGACAACACCTGGCCTCTCACCAGGCCGGCAACTGCTTGCTCCGGTTAATGGCACATCCCACTTCTCAGAATGATCCGAAAAAAGAACCCTCTTTACCGCCTCTGTTCACCGTGGTACTTGCACAGATCCAGCATTGGGCTTCAATCAACTGACCTCTGCTACAGCCTGAGCAAGAACCCTGGCCCTGGCTGCGTCGCCCTCCCATTCTTTTCGTCCTGGTCAAGCTGGAATTTCCACGAACTGCTGTCAAGGCCCTCCGTTCTATGCCCTTGAACCATGCACTCCCGCAACGGACGCCCGCAGCTACACCCTGTTCCCGCCATGCTCTCAACTACAACGACAATGGACAACGCAGACCCTGAAGGTCATATTCTGGGCATTATTGGAGCACCTGCTGCATGCCGCAGGAAACCACCATCAAATCTGCAAGGACAGACTTCTTACGAACCGGCCAAGGCATACATCAAACGGCATGAAAGATGCAACTCCTGGACGGACGAGGCTGTATTCTTCGCCACGCCTCGTCGACTCCTCCCTTGCCATCAATCGGAGCTCAAAATGCATCGAACCATATCAATCACACCCCGTCGCACGGCATGAACGAGCCAGATGGGTGCTAGCATTGACATCGTGCAAAAATCAAAGGCCAAGGCGCTTTCTCCCACGAGATGGACACCAGATTCTGCCACCAGCCGTCTGCGTCGTTGTTCTTGGTCCTAGCTCCATACGTGTACCCTGCCGCCCGTTGGAACTCTTATTATTGGAGCACATCGCGTGTTGTCAAGAGTATTTGACTCCTGTTGTGGTGGTGCGGCCCATATTCCCGGCCCAACGAGTTTGAATTTGGCCTTGGCCAATCACACCCTCTGGTGGCCTTCGTTGCGGCTGCAACGGAAACGCGTCTGTCCTGGGCGGCCAACGTCAAACGTATCCTGGTCACATCGTAATACTTCCTTTGTCTTAACGTCGTCTCTTCCCGTGTGGTGCTTCACTTTTTGACAGATTGACCTCGTTCTTGTCATCCCTCAATCGAGCATGGCTCAACAATCGACGGAGTAGACCTGGCAAGCAAGGATTTTGCGGGAACCAACATCGGAATCATTGATGGTCCTGGAACGGGATGCAGCACGCTTTCAGCTTGTCTACGTTTCCATACCCTACCGTCTCGTGGCACCCACGAGTAGCGCGCTGACGTGCGCTTCTTCTGCCTGTCATTGGCCTTTATTTGTCTTCTCCTTTCGCCAAATGCACCCAATCACGTATCAAATAATGGTGCATCGTTTCTTCAGCGCATGATTCGCAAAAACCCAGGAATTCGGGTGGCCTGCAGACATCTTCTGGAAGCCCGGGATATCCATTGGCCTTAATCATGCATGCTTCTTTAGGCTCATCCTGTCAACATCGAGTTCCCTGGGTGTTCCCCAGTGGTAATACCCCGGCACTTCATGATAGGCAGATGATTTGAAGCACTCCTAGTGGGTTTCCCAGTGCTACGTCGCTTCGTATAACCAGCTTTCCCACCGTCAGAATCTCCATGGTAAGGACGTGCTCAACATCCGTCCCACGGCAAACGGGCCGTCCCGTTTGCCCATCAGCTCCCACTCAAGGCCACGGTTAACGATGTGCCCGTATCAGAGGGACAACCTCACCGATAGTCAGCTCGGCGCCGACCGCGGATCACCCGGCCTCGTAATTGTACTGGCCGCAGTTCTGGCCTCCCCCCCCCTTATAGCCACCCTCTCCCCTGATAGAGTTCGACATCCCCGCCGGCAAAAGTCGTGACCAGGTCACTCTCGAGTGGTGCGGCTGGTCTTCCAGTTGCTGTTCCCAGTTAAATGACGCCCGTGTCAACGGAACGGTGGCATTTTGCGGCAAAGTCTTTCGAGCCTTTTGGCCTACACGAACGCAAGCCTTTCCAGAAGCGGTCTTCTAATTGACAGCGCATCGGTGTCCTACACAAGGGACTCCCTACTTAGAACCCTTGAACAATTACAGAAGGTGTGTCAACGTCGAGGAAGGCGTTCGCGGCCCCGCTCGACCCACTCACCGTTCATCCATCATGTGTGCCAAGCTAGGCCTGAGTGAGTTCGATCGAAGTCGATGATTTGCTTCTCACCTTCTCGGAGCACCAGAGCCTGGTTTTGATTGTGTCTACTGTTCGAGGAGACCGGACAATGCACTCCACATGCCGGATAGACAGTTCGTCTCAGTGGCCGACAACACTTATGGACATGCCATCGAGTTACTTCAAGCCACGGGTTTGGATGGAAGAAGAGATGGCGCCGGAATATCCCTATCAGAGCCAACAATGATAAGCCGTCAGCTGCGGATTGTAACGAGAGCTACATCTGGTGAATGAGGTGTCGCCGGGGAACATCGTCCGGTGGATTCGGCAAGCCACACGTCACCCACCAAGGGGAAAAGGGTGAAGGGGCAGATTGGAGCCGCGATCCCGCATTTTTTGATCGGTAACCGACGCTCGTTGCCAGCCCATAGCCGGGAGAGGGAGTGAGTACAAGACCTTTCATCAGGAGATACCTTCAACGTGGCTTGGGCCTGGGTACATGTACCTTCGTTGGGGCTCTGATGCAGATCGAACGCAATGCAGTGTGGAACATAGGTCATGGCCAGCAGCCGGCCGCCACGTTGTCCTGCCCGGGGCCCTAACCAACGCCCGAAGGCCTTCATCAAGACCGTTCTCGACTTGGTCATCTCGATTGCCCGCCGTAACCCAAGGCTACTTGGGCGACAAAGCAAACGGACCGTCTATGTTCGGACAAGCCAGATGGTTCATGTGAGGGGATAGGTCTGCGGACGTTCCCAATCTCCTCGACGGTATACCCAGACTGTTATTAGCCCGCATGGCCGGTGAGATGGTTAAGCCCACCAGTGGGTGGTAGCATGAGACCTACATCATAAGGCAAGACAAAAGCAACGCCCACCCCCTCCACAGAAGCAGACCATACAATACAGGGGTGGCCGGGACGACCGATTATTCGTCAATGACCAGGTTGATGGACTCAAGAAACGGGCATCCGGCTCAGAGAGGTCTGGCCCTGAGTGACAAAGCTTTCTTTCTGACGTGTTGAGATCGATGTCGCCTGCATGTTGAGCTGGCCTTGTCCGGGTTTCTTTGCCTGACCTTGCCCAAGTGGCTGCAAGGATCCCTGAGGTTGCAATGCCAGTTCTCCTTCCTTGATCATTGTGCCTCGTCTGAAGTATTCGAGAGTACTAAGAGTGTCTCCGGACGTGTTTAGGCTCAAATACCTTGGTGGCGAGGGAAGCAGAGGATAGGAAGGTGGCGGTGGATATGTCAACCTTGCATCCATGCCACCTCGATGACGTTTCATCCTGAGCGGCAGGCAATGCTCGGCTGGTCTCACGGAGCGGGCCTCGGCCAACTCTAGTTGCTTGGAGGAGCCTTTGCTTTCTCAGACATGGCCTTCTCTATAGTGCTCTATCCATATGTCAGTAGTGTGGGGGAACCAATAGTTTCAAAAGCAATGCCGCACCAAATAGACAGTGGCTCAATGGTTCATGCCAGTTACCATCCTTACTCCCCTCATTTGCCAAAGCCCCTCCAAGGGAAGCGGCCAAGTATCCATAACCTCCACCTTGAGCTGACATTTATCTTGTGTGGTGGGGACGAACCATGGCCCGTGGGCAAGGAAACAAGAAACAAAACAGCAACCTCGGGCCTTAGGTATGTATGTGATAGAGGACCCCACAGCGGCCGCAAGCAGAGCGGGCAGAAGACAGCCTTACCTTGAGCTGGAGGCTAAACGCTGCCCCGTCACTTCATTACTTACAAGCTGCAGCCCGTAGCGGGAACACCCCCTTCAAAGAACCCCCCAAGGGTTCTTTGTTCAGGGCTGTACCTGGGAGATGAAATCTGCACGTCTTCTGCATCAACGCATGCGTACATACAAGAAAAGCTCGTTAGGAGTGGAGAAGTTCCGCCTTGCCTTTCTGATTTTTGCGGCAAGACGCATAGTAGCGATGGATAATAACTCCCGGGGAAAAGGAACGATCCTGCGGTGGGATATAAAAATTGTGCCTGATGAAAAGATATACTACGCCGCTTGGGGCTCAGGACTTGCGGGCTCAAACATTGAAATGGACGCCCAATGAAACAATAAACAAGGGAACGAATATGCCACACACCAATTCATACCTGAAGTTTGACAGGCACAGAGTGGCCTTGTTGCCAACGCCTCATTATGTCCACCCAAGCTGATTTCACAGCATTCGTGTTTACCTACGTTGGTTCATGTACCACATTAGACTAGATCCATGTTTCCTATTTAGTACCGCCTTGCAAGTCGTCTCATATCTGAACATCTAAAATGGTCGAGAGTGGAGATCATAATGTCGAGCAAGGTCCCCTGCGAGGACATTTTCGAAGCTACAATAAACGTGGCAAGCAGATATCCTCCGCTGGCCGCCAGCCTCAGCCTCGAGCTGCAGGCTGGCGGCTGGCAGGCCAGTATATGCGTTTCAAGGTTTGTGTCGGCCACAGGGGAATAATGACGAAGAAGTTGCCAATGAGACTCGATGGACCAAACGGGGCGGATCCGAGATGTAAAGCCATGATAACCACCAAGAAATAAACAGATTCACTGCACGCCTTTGCCGCTTTTCTGCGAGTTGTTCATATCGATTATGAAGATATGGGTCGGTGGTCATCGTTCATATGGACCTCAGTGGTGTGTAAGTGGAGGCAATGGGCAGTGGTTCACCCATTATTGCTCCCACGTCTCGAACAGGGAATAGTCGAACATGGCCATGACAGCGGCCTGTTGAATATGCATCATGTAGGTGCTCATGTGAGAATGTACGTGTATAGTGTAGCGCGATGTAGTGAAGTGTATGCGTATGGAGGCATGTATGTGTGCCAGTCCTGACAACACATCGTGCGGGTCCCAATGAACGGCGTCGAACTGTTTGATAAAGTATAAGTTAGCCCAGCTGCCCCTCAGACTAACAAGATATGACTATGAGACATTAAGCTGCAAAGAAAACCCGAAATGACGGGTACATCGAAGTCAGAATTCGCTTTGTAGATGCCAATCACGAAAAACATCGAGGCGCGGAAAATCAGAAGACGATAATTAACAAACCTTCAAACCTCGAAACGGCTCAAAAAGAAACGAACCACCTCACCTTGGAGTCTTTCCGGTCAAGCAACATCGAGAAAACGTACCCCCATTACCCACACCCCCGAGCCGGGCCAACGAAAAGAGACCACTGCTGCCCAACCGCCATTGCGCCAAACCGTCAAAAAAAAAAAAAAAAGAGACTTCTCGATCGCGGTTGCGAACGACACTCTTTGTCTCTGCCGAAACGAGCTGCCAGGCGCACCACTGCCACTCATTGCTTGCTGGGTCTTGCTGCTGTTCACTGCTGCGACTGCTGCGGCCATTTCTCAATAATACTACAGTCTGCCTGGTCAGTTCCGTTTTGAACCATTCTTTCTCGATTTTCCTCTTCACACGCCCCTCCTTTACCACGGCATACATTTTCGTCCATCCCACGCATCTTCACCCCCATGACAAAAAAAACCCCCAAGCCAAAAGGCTACCCCTGAAAAAGAGGGACCATCATTGGACACAAGTGACCAAAACAGCATCATTGTGTACAGCATGGTATTGCATATGGTAGGGGAGGGGGCAGGAGGAGAAGGGGGGCGACCAACTTGGAAGAATTGGAATGGGAGACGAAAAAAAAAAAAGAAACATAAATAAAAGATGGCTAACAAACCTTTTGCCTGGCTGAACAGACTCACAAGGATTCAGTACCAAATCTAGCATTCGTGACTTCATACCCCCGAACGAAACGAACCACTTCTACTCCTCTCTCGGCTCTGCTGCTACCGCTCCTCCTCTTCCTCTTTGTCTCCTCCATTCTATTCTCCACCACATTGCCCATCGAAAAGCTGGGTACCCTCTCTAGCTAGCCAGACGGAACGGCCCTTCAGGAAAAGGGGGAAAAACCAACATCGAAGAAGGAAAGAACAGGAAAAAGGGACGAGAGAGAAGAGAGAAAGCAAAAAGAAACAAGAGAGAAGAAGACATTAGGGGGCGGTGCAAGAGGCAAAATGTGTTACTTTTATCAAACACGTTGGTCCTGCGGATATTGGAGATGGGGTCAGTTCAAACAGCAATGCAACAAAGAATACCGGACGGGCGAGACATGCGGACTGAAGCTGGTGTTCGAAACCATCACAAATCCAGACCGATGCAAGCTGTGCTACGATATGGACAAGAAGTATCGTCGGTTGCACAAGATGGAGGGAGACGTCGAACGATGGTATCGCGAAGGGAATCGCCAGGCGACTATCGAGCGGACGAACATTGAGATACAAGATGTCCAACGCCAGATCCATGAGATGAGCACTTCGCATTGGACCAGAGTGAGTACGTTGACCTGAGGGTCGTGGATTGTCTGGCTGCTGCTGGGCGGTTTGATCATGGTCCATGGAGGGGTTCCTATATGGATGGGTATGTTGCATCTTTTTTTTTTTTTTTTGGTTCGGCTTTTGCTTTCCCCTCACTTTCCTCTTCAAAATTTTCTCCATATATCTATACCCCTCGTTGGCTGGGCCTAGATGGTGGGAGTGGCGGAATTGCTGCTCAGGGGTAAGCCGAGTCGGGGTTGTGTGCGTGTGTGCCAGTACCGCTGTTTTCTGACTTGGCTCTACGACCAGTGGTTCTCGAGCCTCCCTTATAGAAGGAAGACGACGATATGACGAAACGGAAAGCAAAGTGCGCGGAAACAATGGTGCGGAAAATCGATTGACGAAGAAGATTGAGGGAAAAGGGGCAAGGCATGTCTTTGACATCTGCGGGATTGGAGAGGTTTCCTGTCGAATCCTGGCTTGGGGGCATTTCCAAGTTGAACCACGTAACGGCCGTTCATTCGCTGATTCTGCATCATTTCTGATTTATTTTTTTTTTCTTTTTATTTCCCTTCTGCTCTAGTTGAGCGGGCAGACGGAGGTTTCAATTTTCCACAGACAGAATTTTGAGAGGCTACAGAATACTGTATACTTTGTTTAACCAGGAGAGCATTTCAGCATGGTTAATTTTGTCCCCGTTTGCTGGCAAAGTGTTGTGTGCGTCCGGTGCCCGCAAGAGACCGCTTCGTGTAGGACGCGTTGTCGCGAACCCGGTCCGCCGCTTAGACGGCGACAGGGACTTGATTGAAGAGCCACTCAGGTACCTAGCTTAGTATGCATGTCTATCACAAGCTTTCCTTGGACTCCTCTCTGTCATTTCGAATCAGCTCTTGTCCTCTGCTGTGGCCATACAGAAACCCCTTTTCGCAAGCTCGAACTGAATGTTTCGGACCCAGAAACCCAGAGAAGTTGGATTCCGGAAATCGAATGATGCCAAAGTAGAGAGTGACAGTCACGCTTCAGGGCACGCCCAACCAAGGAGGGATTGATGAAGAAAGCTCTCCCACTTTTTTTTCCTGCACGGCTGCCCATCCAGCAGGTTTTGGTGTGCTTATCAGGTAAGTAAGTTGCAGAAAGCGGACTCTGCCGGCGAATGAGAGTGGCATGCGACAGCCAAAAGCGAAGGACAGCAGGCGGTGTTGCGTCGATCTGTTCTAGGTACAGCGGAAGTACGGCGAGTAGTGACCCTTTGGCAAACATCCAGGCCCCCCTTGCTCCTGCTACTTTTGGTATCTCGTTCTTCTATAGCAGGCTTGTAGAGTTCAAATCCAAAAGGCACGTCATTAGTTTTCACGCGTCGCCGTCAAGCAAGTGAGGCGAGACCCCGCGGCTTTGGATGAGCCCCCTCAAAGGCTCCCGCGTGTGCCCCTCCCATACTCCTTGTGGGCAGAGCACACCGGCAGGCGTACCTGTCGTCTGACCTGAGGCCAAAGTGGAGGGAGGAGCGGGAGGAGCAGAAAGAAGGGCCTAGCGTAGGAGAGAATGGGGACAGAGAGGGACGAGAAGGGTGGTGGGTTGTGTCGGGCTTCATGGGATGGGACTGGGAGGCCGCTCCATCTGGCCGCAGCACACCACCCCTCTTCATGCCGTCCATCCCACTTCACTTCCAAGGTACCATTTCCTGGACTTGTCTCCGCCAATGAGCCAGGGGAACCGCACAGACTCCCGCACAACCCTGAATGGCGGGCATCGGAGTCTTGATATGAGCCTCCAAATGCTTCCCTATTGTCCAGAGTTGATGTGCTCGTCCGCCCCGAAAGTCGGCCGAAATCCAAGCCATGGGTGTCGCTTCCAGACATGGCCCGGATTAGGATGCAACACTCCATGCCGAAGGGTCCACACTAGAAAAGGTAAACATCAGCCGGAGGTGCACGTGGCCATCTTTCAATGGGCTAGGCAACCCATGGCCTGCCGCTGAAGAATATTCGAGACGCAATCATTGGCCCGCCATGGTGCGAACCAGGGGGGCTCCAAAGTGGGATGGAGGGAAATTTTCATTGATTAATTCGTGGTCTTTTGGGCCCATCGTGTCCACCTTTCTCATAGCCTCGTTGTTGCCCAGATGTTTTATACAAGGGTTCTGAACTAAGTGCAGGGTTACGACATAGGAAATAGAAGGAGGGGGAGAAAAACAGACTGACGGAAAATGCGATATGTGAGTGACTGTGGATGCTTCTCTGGATGTGTTTGTGCTTGCTCTGATTTTGTGTGGGTGGGTTTTTTGCAAGCGTGTGTCTGCATACTATGTTTGGAGGGGTATCGAGGGAAAAGAGAAAAAGATGTCGTCACTCCATGCCATCCGTCCCATGTTGCCGTAGTCCGACGGGACCCTGACCATGCGTCGACCAATACAAATCTTGGTAGAAGTAAAGCACAATAATAAGAAGCATAGCTTAGCCGCCCTGGCCGTGAGCTCGGGTGGGAGAACCCGGGAGAATGCTTCATGACCAAGTGTTTCAGGCCATTGCCGCTGCTGCATCGGCAAATGTACCGACTAGGGGCTTGTCCAACTCGGTCTTGACTGCTGGTACGCCGTGTCGCATTTCGATCGTGTCATCTTCCTGAGGAAGCCAATCCACTTGGACACCAGTTGGGGCGTCGTCCTTGGACGCCAACTTTGAAAGGAGGTGTTGGTACCGCACTATGCGGGCTTCTTGCCCTGCATACGCAAATGTAGTCGGCGCAGGGCGATGTGCGTGATCCTGCGGGGCAATCTCGAAGATGTCGACCATGTTGCTAGGAAGACCGATGTTAGCACTCCCGGTCCTGACATGAGAGCAAGCCCGGCGTCCCGGAGCTTGGGTCGAGAGTCAGTACGTACTCGGACGTTTTCGCTACAACTCGCTGCAGAGCCTCAGTCTCTCGCTGCACCTCCATCGGGTCCTCTTGTCCATTGACGCTCTGCTCTCCGAAGCTGCCGTAGTGCACGCTGTTGGGATCGTCGTAGAGGAGTCGCGATTCTTCGTCCTGGAAGTCTGTCAGCCGCTGCATGCTACGCTGCAAGTGCGCCAGCCCGCAACGTCACCCACCTCGTCATAGACGTCCTTGCTCCCCCGCCCGAGGCATGACGCACAAATGCCCATCGCGAATCGAGAAATCGGCGGTCCCTGGTCGTGCGATGCGCTGTACTCGGCAGATTTCGTTCCCCGCGCAAGTCGAAGGGGGGTGGGAAGTCTCAGAAATAGAATGGCATAAAAGAGTGGACGGAGCTTTGCTACCAAGTAGTATTCGGCAAAGCGATGGCGTGAAGGACTGATTGATCGAGCGTGTTTGGATCATGATGCTGCTGGCAGAAAGCGCAAGATTGCGACGATGGAATGACGTTCTCATTTCGGCAGGCGGTCGGGTCTCGGTCGAGGAATATCAATTCATCCGCCAGAAACTCCACAGCGGGACGGGACGGCCAGGCCCGAGCTCCACGCAGCGTTTCTGTTGTTTGGGACGAAAAAAATGCTGGAGGACCCGGCAGTGTGTTCGAAACCTGGACCTTGCACCGACCCGACCTGGTGGTTTCCTCACTTAATTCTAGCAACGGACAATCGCCGAACACCAAAGCGGGCAATTCACTACGTCGCAGTTGCGATGCGTCCTGCTCGACATCTCTGCGGCGTCCCCACCTCATAATGCACGGCATCCATTGGCTTTATCTTTTGACTCGCGCAAGGCACACCTTCGGCGGATTATCTTGTCAGCGAAAGGGTTGAAGTTGAGAACTCTCCCTTGGGACACAGACATCAATATTGAGCCCTGTGTCACTCCTTTCCCTCTTCGCATCTCCCTGGTCCCTGAGAACGGTCTCAAACACACACACTATTGACTTGTGGAGACCCCCTTCATCGCCAAATGTGGCCTGACTACAGTCCATTTTGGGTTGAAGACTATTCGAGTGGAAGACGGCTTCATGACGGTGGAAAATGGTATACAATCTGGGACCCCCTCCAATGATTTGCAGAGGGACTTAGCTCCGGTTTTCTGTACCCACGGCCAGCTCTATTGTTCTTCGGGGAGCAATAGGTCGCAATACAGGGAAACAACATTCCTTCGTCGGCGGCACCAGGTGAAGTTCACCGTAACCCTCGTAGTAGATCGTCACGTAGTGTAGATGACGAACATATAACTCCATCTTCTTTCCAGACAAGTTCCTGCCTTTCTTGATCACCAGCTTCAACTGCCTTACTCATATCATCCAGCCGCAGCCTGCAATCATCGTGCAAGCCTCTTTAGTTCTCGCATTCTCGAACTGCCTGTTCCAGCCCTATCGAACCACCGCCACAATGGTCTACCAACGCAGCTTCCTGACTATGTCAGTCCTCTCCTTGGCCTCAATCGCCGCCGCTCGCCCCGATAACCTGAGAGGACGAACACCTCCGAACCCCAACACCTGCCCCTGCTTACCGGAAGGCACACCGAGCGTCATTACCAAGACCGAGACTGCCCGTGAGACAGTCTATGAGACCGCTTCCGCTTCTTTCGTCCAGCAGACCATCACCGCTACCCTCACAGTTACGCGCTCACCAGTGACCGAGACCGAGACCCGGACTGTTCGCGTCACCACGACTGCCGAGGAGCAGGAGCAAGTCACGGTCACCTGCACCGAAATCGTCAGCGAAGGCCCCGATGGCTCGGTAACGACCAAGACCAAGCCTCCCGGGGGGCATGGACACACCAAGACGAAGACGCGCACTGGCCATGGCAGCTCCCAGACAAGCGCGCCGGGCCACGACGAAGATGACCAAGCCACGCAGACGAACTCTGCTTCCGCGTCCGCAACGGCAACCCGTACCGGCTCAGACGATGGCCAGCCGACCAACAAACCTCCCCATGGGGATGACGGCGGCGATGATGATGACAACGGCGATGGCTCCAAGCCGACCTCAGCCCACCACTGCAACCACTGGAACGGCACCAAGTGCGTCAAGCCGACCGATGTCCCCAGCGACTCCGCCGTTACTCTCACAGCCACAACAACCGCGACGGCGCCGGGCACGACAACTGGCAACGCTCTCCCGACTTACTCGGTCTGCTCCGTCTCTGTGGCTGTTGTCACAGTCTACAACACAGTCACCGCGACTGTCTACCAGAGCGAGACCGCTCCTGTACACAAGCCTCGCGCGCCAACCGCATTAGTCGCCTGGTAGTTCGATCGCCTGCATGATTTCTAGTTGTGATATATGGATGGAGGTGTCCGGGGACGACATATTTATCCCTTTGGTAAGGATGGTAATGGTGCAAAAGTAATGTCTACTGTACTTAGTAGTTAGGAAGGATTTCCAATAATATCAAGTTGTTCACATCAAGCTCCAAAATGTGTAAATGACTGTAGGGGATACCTGGGGACGTTGAATTTACTAACAAGAAGTGAAAATGTAAGTTACAGTATTTATACAACACCAAAAACGTCTCAGTTACCCACGGAAAATATATTCAGATGGCAGGGATTGAAGACCAAAGGCAGCAGACAGGGCAGATTGTCATGAACGGTATCGAAAGCCCATGAAATCGTCCTCGTCCTCGTCGTCTTCGTCATCATCTTCCTCGTCGCCATTCACTTCCACATTTTCTTTGCCGCTGGCTCCGGTCGGCTTTTCGATAGGCGCAGTCGTGCCCGTAAAGCTCTGCTTCCTCAAAGCTTCCCGCTTTTCCTTCAATCTCCGAACCCTGGCCTCGAGCTCCTCCATATCCTCAAACTCCGTTTCCAGTGCTCGAGTAGCCTCCTCCTTCTCATCGAGTAGGTCTTTCTCCGCGAGCAGTCGTCTCTTTTCTTGTTCCTCCTCCTCCGTTTTTGCTGCCGCCGCAGTTTCCTCGGCTGTCATGGCTGGTGCAGCAATGACAGCATCCTCCGAATATGGCGCTGTTGCCGCAGCGATGTCCGCCTCAAACGCTGCCCATTCATCTTCGTCCACAATTCCTCCGCCCTGGACAGGCTTCGCAGCTAAGCCATTTTGCTGCGTTGTCGGGCCAGCAACATTCGGCTTCGTTGGCAGCTCCTCTTGTGGGATCAATGGCGATGGGCCGACGGGTTGCACAATGGGGGTGGAATTTGAAGATGTCGCATCCCTATGCGCAGGCGTGTGCGGGCGCGACGGAATCTGGATCTCAACACCCTGAACTGGTGTTGTGGATGTGCGGCGGTTCAATGAAGGTGGCGTGAGTGTGACGTCCTTGAGATCACGGTCTGACTCGCCGGCGGACAAACGAGCCGGAGTGCTCATATTGGTCTTGCTTCGCTTCTTCCGCACCGCTTCGGCCGTGTCCTCGTCTTCTATATCTTCATCCGAGTCGTGTTTCCGCTTGTTCGACGACACTCCGTCTGCGGCCGCCGTTCCGCTTGCGCTTGTGGATGCTTGTTGTGCCGCGGTGACCTTCGCCGCGTGCCCGGATCCACGGACATGGCTGTCCCAGAGAGATTCTGACTTGACCGCCTCGTGGCAAAGGGTACAGAGGAGCTTGCCCGCGTCCGAGTAGGCGGCATGAGGATGTTCGATTCGTCGAGCAGCACGTTGCTGACGGAGGAGGGATCGTACGTCGGCCATGGTCGGTGTGAACGCGTCTTGACGACACCTCAATGTGCGCAGATGCTACGCACACTCGTATGAAGTGAGGGCTCCGCTCAATGGCTCGTGGGTGTTGAAGGTCAGCAAGAGAGGTGAGCTTGTAATCGGGCTAAGAGTTGCAGCAACGCAAGCGATGTAGCGTACGAAGCTTGATTCTGGCTTGGGGAGTGGAGGTGGCAGGGTGCAGGCGCCAGGTGGAGAAGAATGGCACCAGTCCCAATCAAGCACAGCGGGGTGAGCCCAGATACCTTAGCTTTGTCGGTTCTAAGGTACCTACGTAGTAAACAGAACGCGCTGACGAGAGCCTAATCTTGTCTGCAGCTTCAGGGTCGCCTACATCCATGCGATTCGCAGTCGCATTAAACTGTCGCCCACATTCCTCCATTTCAACGCTATCAAGACAAACACGCCCAAGGCAATTCTCACGCGAAAACGAATGGGGAATGAGCGCAACCCATAGCCGACCTACGACTATCCAGTGCTTCTCAGTGATCACTTTGCTGACACCGACGGCAAGAACATGGCCGACAACCCGGAAGAGCCATCGCAAAATGCGCTGGCCTCAACATTCCCTAACCCGCCGCCTTTCTGGAGGGACTTCACGCCCGAGAAATTAGCCCGCATAGGAGAGCTGCGCAAGGCACAAGCAGAGAAGGACGGCGTTGCTATCAAGGACTTGCCAGCTCGCATACCAGACATCCCCGAAGGTCTCATAAATCTTCAACCACCGGCCGAGCCGCCAGCGGGAACTTGGAAAGTCTTGGGCGGGAACTATACCGTAAGTTTTGTCGACTCGTGACGATAGGACCAGTTACGGGGGCGCTGATACTCTGCGTAGCTCGATGACAAGCTTCCTTCTCTCGAAGAAGGCGAAATCAGGCGATTGGTGCCGGCGCATTCAGAGGAGAAGGACGGAAAGCATCTCGATCGAGCATTCGAGCTCAAAAAGATGACCAAGTCTCTTCTCTTGAACTTTCTCGAGCTCGTTGCCGTCATGGCTACGGTGCCGGACGACGTAAGTCCATGGTCACCTCCACCCCAAGAGTCTCCCAGACTAACCAATTCCAGGCTGCCACGAAAATCGAAGACTTGCGCACCCTCTTCATCAACTTTCATCACGTCCTCAACGAATACCGACCCCATCAAGCACGCGAATCGGCAATCGCACTGATGCAATCCAATCTCGATCGTACAAGGGCAGAGACGGCAGCGATTCGAGCACAGGTGGATAAGGCCAAGCGGGTTCTCGAGGGATTGGGAAGCCTTGACACTCCAAAGGTTCCAGAAATTGTCAGCTCAGTCGTTGATGGCGAGCTGACCCATACGGAGGCGGAGACTTTTGCCAAGACGAGAGAACAAGAAGTATGGGGAGAGGCGGATGCCCTGTTTCTCTAGCAAGGAGATGAAGTGCCAGATGCTTCGAAGGAAGATAGTGACGTGATGATGTCTCCAATCAGACAGGCGTCTTCCGGGATACGGATGATCGCATCGAAATTGGAAGGGTGGTGTTGGTGATGAAAAGCGGCTCGTAGTGTTTTTGGCAAGCATTGATACCCAATTCCATACCTAACTAAAGACGAGCCGGGAATATTGGCGCCGGTGAGACATGGCAATGTATCAGGGAACGGTACCGCAACGTCAGATTAGGACGGACGACCACATGGAAGCTGTTCATGGGATCGCAAGAATACAAGCGGTTGTGGAGTGAATGACTGGGACGATAGAATAGCCACGAAGGCAAATCATAAATTCACGCTCGACTGGCTTAGTGCTGGCGTCGTTTAAACCAAAAGCAGCAAACGGTATCAATCATCCACAGCGTCGCTAATCGCCCCGGCCCCAAGAGCCCAGATCCAAACGGAACTAAACTTTGCGCTGCCACAGAATTCCATTACATGACGGTGCAGGGAATGGGGATGCAGCAGCACTCGTATCCGTCGCACTCGATGCACTTGGTCTTGCCGCCTGTGGCCTCGGCGGGCTTGACGATGCTGTCGATGATGGAGGTAGCGGCGCTGCCAGGGCCGTTGCGATTGACGAGGCCGGAAGACGCTGAGCCGCAAGCCATTGTGGAGTGAAGGTGGTATTGGTGTTGGCAAGGTTATGTAGATGGAAAGTCTGCGACGTTGTTAGCTGCTAGTGTTCTTTGGCATTTCCCAAGGTACATCAAGGTAGGTTAAGGTACCTACGTAGTAGGCAGGGAGGTACCTAAAGGTAGGTGACGTTACGGCCGGGCCTTGTTGACTTACAGACGACTGGCAATTAAAGCGGCTGTCGACTTGGATGAGTCGTTGGGAATCGCAGATGTCGCTAAAAGGTCAAATCGTTGAAGATGTAGCAGTCTCAAGTGAATCAATCGTGTCTACCGTCCAGACCTAGGTAGTTTAAGTCAGCCTTAAATAAAATGCAATCCCGCGTGGCCCCCTCAACTCAATGCTTGAATCCCCAAGGCCCCGTGTTTCTAAATCCAGCAACGTTGTCGTCATGGCGTGGTGGGGCAAGGCATAAACCTGGCAGCCAATGTGGCTGACCCGTCTTCGATTCGTCGACTCTGCTCAGCCAACCAGTGGCCCTTTGAACCGGCTCCGGGGCCGGGGTGCACCGTCCATTTGACTCTTGAGAGCTGTTCGTCCGTGTCCCTGGCCCGCGGGGAGCACCCGACTGTGAGAGATCCACCGGGCGGGAGATGTGGGTTGGTGCCTGGCGAAAAGCAAGTGCTGTCTTTGAGTTATCGCCCGTTGGTTTTCTTCTGTTTCAGCCCTTTAATGAGTCGCAGAGGATGACAGGCCAGGTTGTTGACTCGCGACAGGCCCGGAGCTGGATATGACCGAGATGAGAGACCTTTGGCGAGCTTGAGTCTGGGGAGGAGGCATCACTATGGCGGGAATCAATCACAAGGCCAACAAGGACGTAAATGCTGTGTTCTGGCAGACTTGATCTTCCAGTCAATCAGTCATCACATTTGAACATGCCATGGCGTCGAAAACCATCCCATTACATCACAACACAGCAGCACACGAGAATCGAGAGCACAGCTTTGATTATGCCCTAATTCGATACAGCTAGATAATGAACTCCATAGCAAAACCTATTTAGCAAAGGCCCAAAAACCCCCTCACGAGGGAGCGGTATCTCCGTCTCTCAGTCCCAATACCTGGCGTGAAACCCAATAAACTGCTAGCTATGTACCGCGAATCAGAGGGTATATGCTTTTGCAAACCTCCTTGGTTTGTTCACCGAACAACAATTTAAGATTATGCCGACGGCGCAACCCCTTGGGCGCCTTGAGGCGCCGCGGGAGGAACATCACCACCTTTAGCAGCTGGTGGCTGCTTCTCCAAAAGTTGACTCAGATAGTTCAGGTCATCCCGTGCGCGTGGATCTCTCTCCAATATGCCGCGAATGACCTCCCACTCTGTTCGCGACATCTGGAAGGCTTGAGGCAACAGAAACTTCATCGTAGGACTGCTGATCAAAGGACCGAGAACCTCCTGAGCCAATGCGTGGCCCTGTTGTTGGCGTTGTTGCTTTTCGGCCTCGGAGCCACGAGCGGCCGCGTAGCTTGCAGGGGGCTGATTCGGCGGCACAACCTGGTGCGCTCCTTGTGTTGGGTGCTCCTTCACAGCGTGACCGTTGTTACCGCCAGAATATTGGCCTGGCTGTTGGAAGGGACCCTGAGCCACCGTTGGAGAGAATGCCGGGCCAGATATCGAGGGGTGTCTTGGGGGGAAGCCACTCTGTGTGGGAGTTGGCGCATTGGTGACGGGCGACTGAGCAGCTGCACCACTCAGTTGAGGCTGTCGGGGAGTATTGCGGTATACGAAGACGGCCAATAGCATCGGCTCCGTCCTCTTTTGAGGCACAAGGTTATCTGAAAAGTTGAGCATGAACTCTGGCATGTTGCCGTCTCCAGGCAGGACAGGCACCAGATAGGTGTCCCTCACATTGCCTACACCCTTGTCCCCGACGACAGCATACCGCTTTTTGGAGACAAAGTAATCAATGAGGGCTTGGAACTCCCGTCTTGAGACTTCGGAGGCCGGCGTTATAGCCACGACAACGATATCAGTCTGGTCAGCGTAACGCAGGCCACAAAGATACTCTATGGCCTTTTGTTCGTCGATTCGTCCGGCCACGGTGAGCTTCTTGGGGATGAGATTCGTCCAAGGCAACCCTATCGTGTTGAAGAGGTTGGCACCACCAACGAACCTGGCGGTGGCCGGGAAGTCAGCAATCGAGCTCATCACCAAGTGGCCACGCCAAACAACCTCAGGATCTGTCTCGTCCGTTGGCGAATAAGGCGGCGAGTCTGTCTCTTCCTGAAGAAGTCTATCCACGTCGGCGTCGACACCAGGTCCATGAATTGGCGCCGATGGCCGGCGGTTATGTGTGCCCGTTGGAGACTTGACAGTCGCATAGACCATGTTGATATCAAAGTCGGGATGCTTGGGGGAGTGCCGGGCTCCACGGGTATCGATAAGAAGACCAGTGTGGGCAGGAAGCTCCACGGAGTTCTCGTAATGCGATTCTCCATCAGATTTGATGCCGGACTGTCCCTCCCGACCGCTTGGCCGTCTAATGAAAGACCTTCCCTCGTCGTTTTGATGGAAGGAGTCATTCTCAACAATCTCCTCGCCCTTGTGCGTTTTCCTCATACGGGGACCATCTTCGGTAATAAGGATCGACTGCTTCTCAGAGATAGCCTTCAGCTGAGCGTTGGCCTCCTGCCTCTCCTTCGTAGCCAGCTCGTCGGCAGACATTATGGCTAACATTGTTGGCGACAGAGTGCGCTTTAGCAGGCGTTTGGTCAAGTCGCCGTTCAACTTCATATTCGCATACAAGCTTCGTGCCTGCATCGCGTACTGGCTCCGATCCGGGTGCGCATCATGAACTGCGCGTTCAATCTCAAGTGCCATGCGTTCCGCTTTACCTGCAACCGTAGTATCTTTCGGTAGGCTAATGGTCTTATCCTTGACACTCGCGGAGAGGATGCCGGCAATGGCCTTTTGTAGCAGTTGAGCAGGACCCTTGCGATCTTCGTGGAGATCCGTGACCTTCGCGTCTAAGTCGGCTGGTGCAGTATAGTTGACGGCGGGGGCTGCCTCTGGCTCCGAGACTTTGCGCTGCTTCGGCGCAGGCGTCTGAGTTTGGTGGGTTAGCAGTGACCTTCATGCGTTTCTGGCAGGGAGGAGCTTACCTTTGCTTCCTTTTCACCCGTCTCTTCTCGCACCTTGCGCTTGCCAGTAGCAACCTTGGATGCACCATCCTTCTTATCCTTCTTTTCCTTGGCGGGTTCCGAGGGAGCGGGCGAATCCTCGGCCTTGTTGCTCCTCGTGTCTTGCGACAAATCTTCTTTGGGGTCGCTGGCGCGCTTTCCGGCTCTGCCGCCCTTCTTTTTCTTCTTTTTCTTCTCGTTCTGTTCGTCCTCGTAGGCCTTCCGTCGTGACTCCCACGGGCGCTCACCCTGTCCCATTAGGGACAAGAGCTCCTTATGATCTTGAGGAGCACATTGTTCGCAGTAATAATTCTTAGGGAGGTCTTCAGTGAAGACACTCATACCCATGCAGACATTGTGCTGCCATGCGGTGCACTTGTCGCAAGCGATCCAAGGCTCCTCCGAGTCGCCGTCTTGCTCCGTTGCACCGCAGACACAACGGATAATCTCTTCCTCTGGTTCCTCCTCCTGTTTCTTCTTCCTCCCTCGTTTCTTGGGCGGTTCGATGGGTTGGTCGTCGAAGGCTTTGGTATGTTGGCCCTTGGTCGCGCGCACAGAGCGGCGAGGTTCTAGTTCTCCTGTACGACCCATGCTGATTAGATCTTGCTGAAAAACAATACGGTAAAGTGTGCATGTGCTTGTGTGGGTGTTTTGGGGGAAAGACGAGCGCGGTGGCTGGCTGCGGGGCAGCGCAAAGGTGGTTGCGATACTTACCAGACATAATGGCTTTGTTGCCGGCGGCGGCGGCGACGGCGGCAGGTGGAAGCGTTCAAACGTCTCCCTTTGTTGGGTAGGGGCGCGAAGGTATACCTTGGGGTAAGGGTATGGGATCTACTCCAGGCGTTGATGCAGAAAGGCTGGTGTTCTCTGTCTCTCTCAAGCATGCATTGGTTTTTATGGCAGAGCAAAAAAAGACTAAGATATGTGACCCGTCCAAGGTACGCGCGCGACGCAGGGTTCGATGCGAAGAGCGCAGACCGCGCGGGAACCCTTCCAATTGTCCGTCACGAAAGTTTTCCAGCACTGGTAGGGGATACGGCGTCGCGCGACACAATTTGCGACAACGAAATCAAGGCGGATGGTGGGTGCAGCGGTGTTCGCGTGTCGCTTTTTGGGTTGTGTGGGAGAGGAGCAGAAGGGAGCTTGCGCAAAGGTGGAGGTGATGTGAGTGGGTTGCGGTGCGCTGCGATAAAACGGCGCGAGGTTGGAGGCAAAATGCCGAACCGCCGCCACTTCCTATCATTATGTAAGCGTAGGAGACCACGATCTTGGGCCCATCGCTCGGTGAGATGTGCACGGGTGCCGGGGAGGCGGGGGTGCATTCTTGTGGCCTTGATGCCTTAGTTTTCGGTGAGAAGGTGGGAGCAGGCGAGCGTGTGAGAATGGAATTGGAAGGCAGCGGTGGAGCGATGAGGTAAGAGCGTCCCCGGCAAAAGCTCGGACCATACTTACCTCAGCCCTCCCCGGCGGCAGTCCAGGCTGGCGGCTGGCTGGTAGCGCAATGAGCTAACGCGTGCGTCGATTGCCTGGAGCTTCATCGAGCTACACCCAAAATCGTAGCCTTCCCTGCAGACGACCAACAACCATTCCGCCGCACCTTCACAAATCTCCGATCGTCGGCTTCACAAACGAGATTGACATTGCAATCGACTCCTCAGCTCAAGCCAAGTGACATCCGGTTGCTTGCCCACCATGTCTCGCAGATACGATTCCCGCGTAAGGCCCCTCCCCGCTCTTCCCTTGCTCTGCGTCCCCTCCATCCTAGCAGGGCAGCAAGCTCACATCTCATATTAGACAACGATCTTCTCGCCTGAGGGCCGTCTCTACCAGGTCGAATATGCCCTTGAAGCCATCTCTCATGCTGGAACTGCTATTGGAATTCTTGCCAAAGATGGTATCGTCCTGGCCGCCGAGCGCAAGGTGACTTCGAAGCTGTTGGAGCAAGACACTTCGGCCGAGAAGCTGTACATCGTCAACGAGTAGGTATTGCTGTTCTCACAAGTAAATTCCTCGATTCTGACAACGTCACCTTCTAGTAACATGCTTGCTGCCGTTGCAGGTATGACGGCCGACGCCAACATTCTCATCAACTACGCCCGCCAGGCTGCCCAAAGATACCTCCTCACCTACAACGAAGACATTCCATGCGAGCAGCTCGTCCGACGACTATGCGATTTGAAGCAAGGATACACACAACATGGTGGTCTGAGACCTTTCGGTGTCTCCTTCATCTACGCCGGCTGGGACCCTCGCAGACAATTCCAGCTGTACCAGAGCAACCCTTCAGGCAACTACGGCGGATGGAAGGCGACAGCTGTTGGTGCCAACAGAGCTAGCGCAGAGAGTTTGTTGAAGCAGGACTACAAGGAAGACTGCACCCTCAAGGAGGCTTGCGGTATGGCGGTCAAGGTTCTTAGCAAGACCATGGACTCAACGAAGCTCAGCGCGGAGAAGCGTACGTTATGCAACGACCAACAAATTCAGTGTACTATATACTAATGCTGCCAAACAGTCGAGTTCGCCACGGTTGGCCAGACGAGCGACGGCAAGATCTACCACAGACTCTGGACCGCAGAGGAGATCAAGGAACTGCTGAAGGAGCATGACCTGGCGAAGGACGAGTCCACGGAGGACAAATAATGGCATGGATGAATTCAAAAACATAGATGGGGCATGACGATTGCCCCCAACCCTGATGTACCAATAGAAGAATTGATGCCCCCATATGTTCCGGACCCCAGACCCCTGAACCCCGAACTGGCTGCTGCCATGATGTAAATGCGATGCCATGGTATCCCGAGGTAAACAATGAAATGACATGTATTGCAGAAGTATTACACCAAGTGGGGGGTCAAGCATGGTAAAGCAAGGCAAGAATGCAGGAAACACGAGAAACAAGGCAATGCTTAGTCTTACGGGTGTAGATGACTATGTCGACGGCTGCTTTGTTGCATTCGCATTCTACGAAGAACCCTGCTGATAGTGATTAGTATCTCTGACTATTTAGCTGGGTCATCTCAAAGCCTACGTCGGGTCGCGAGTCCCCAGCTTCCTCTTCGTCTCGCAGTCGGTTCCACCCGGTCTTCGGGTCTGATCCGGGATAGGGATGGGGTTCATGGCATTCCTTGGCAGTCAACTTCGGCCAGTGTCGCCGGTAGCTCCAGTATGCAACCACATAACCTAGCAAAGAACCCACGGAAACATCATACACATCGTGTCTGTAGTCCTCACAGCGGCTGATGGCAATCAGTGCAGCCCCCAGCAGTGGCAAAAGGCAAATGAGTGCGCGACTGAGGTCTCGGCCTCCACTGTTGTGCCGGAAGATGTGCAGCTGGCCAGCCAAGAACAAGCTCAGGAAGCCAAGTCCAGAAAAGGAGAATGACGAATGGCCCGAGGGGAACGACCGCCAACCATCGTGAAGGAGGTGATGTGCAGTCTCGGTGCAAACGTCGATGGTAACAAGCACATCAGGCTTCGTGCCAGCCGCCGGCTTGCATCTGGCCAATAAGTCAGGCCGCGGTCGGCCGACAGTGTTCTTGACGAGGTCCGTGAGAAAGGTGCCCATGATGATAGCGATAGCAAAGGACAGATAAGTGACCTCGTGCTTGTGAGGTGATGCTTTTGTGACAACATTGTACGCAACCAACACGCCCAGGGGGATGAAAAGGGCGTATACGAAGTTCATGTCTACACGACTTGTCAGTCATACTCTGGACGTAAAATCCAGACGTTCACCAATGCACCTACAAACAGGCACCCGCTCAACTTCGGCATGAGGGTATGATATATGCAGATCGTTGATGAAGAACATGCGGTGGAAAGGCTCGATGAACAAGAGCATCTCAAGAAGTAATCAGCGCTTGGAACCGTTTCATAGGCAGGCAGGCACCATGGAAGACCTACCACGATCCATCCAGCAAGGAGAATCGAAAATCCGAGGTAGTCTGGCGCATGAGTTCTCTGTACTTAGTCAGATGATCTGGCAGCCTTGCGTGTTTGTGAGAGATGAACACGAGCGACTACGCTACCTTCCAAAACCTGGAGAATGCGGATGCAACAGCATTGCCGCTTGAGCCACTATCCCGGCGGCCTGGTGCCATCTTGAGCAGTCACCGTCTTCGAGTTGCACGAAAGGCCGTCCGGAACATCGACAACTCCTTGCTGCGGCGATGGATCTTGACTGAGAGCGCTGCAGCAGTGGAAATGCAAGAGCCTTGGTCAATGAGCCAACGTGGGCCAAGTCTGTAAGAACAAAAGGAGCGACGTGAGACAACGGAACTTTGAGCAAGCGTAGAAGACTAGCAGCAGTCACTTGATCAATTTGCAGATCCCCCAGCCAATTCTCCCTAAGGTAAGGTAGGGCGAGCTGTCCAGCTTGAGTGAGCTCGAAGGGGGTCGTACTGCGGTGTATGTGGCGTTTTGATTGGGGGATGTGAGCTCGTGAGCTGTGACGCTTCCCCGGGGCCAGCGGCAGGGGTACCTACGAACTCGGTGTCTGTTATCTTATCGCATTCCCGAAGATTCTCCGCCACGATCCGTCCCTCGTACCTATCTAGACCTCTAAAAAACAACAACTTATTTGCGATCATGACCTGAAGGCTAGCATCACAAACACCACGAGTGCGCCGTTCCGCCTTACTCAGTATGCTCAGGTCGACATACAAGCCATCCGCAAACACTGCGGTGCCCCCGCCCCTTCTCCCCGGATGGACAGAGCACACTGCGCCGAGTGGACATAAGTACTACCACAACGCCGAGACACAAGAATCGACATACACGAGACCTAGTGCTCCGGACGCTGCTTCCGCACCGTCGGCGGCTTCGACGAGCTTCTTCCAATATCAGACCATTCCCCAGCTTTCCGATCCCCACATTGCAAACGCATATCTTGCACAGTACAATGCGCAAAACCAACCGCCACCACAGCAGGGAGGTTTTGGTCACGGAGGCAAAGCAGGGAGGGACGGACGCCCGCGCCCCGAACCACTGGACAAACCGAGATCCAAAGTCGCGATTCCCGGATGCGAGCCTTGGCTTCTAGTCGACACAAAGTACGGGCGCCGTTTCGTCTATAATCCTGAGAAGAATGCTAGCTACTGGCGCATACCAGACAAGCTCACAGCTGGTATCTTGGAGGTGGACAAGGCCAGAATTCGCGAGAAAGCGGGGATCAAAAGCACCGCAGAGACAGCCACGGAGGGACCACCGACAGCCCAACCCCGGCCAGCCCCAGTTGCTACGGAATTCCCGACCTATGACGTCAATAATGACAGCTCAGAGTACGAGGAAGTCGAGGTTACAGATGACGAAGGTGAGGACGAAGATGGAGAGGACGGGCCTGCCTCCAAGCGTCAGCGCACAGAAGATCCGGCCGATGACGCACCTGTGGAATTCAGTGAAGCGGATATCGCATTTCAACTGCAAGCAATGGGCGATGCATACGGACTGGACCCCGGAGAATATGACGACGGCAATATGGACGAGTGGCCTGAAGGCGCAGAGGGAGTAGAATTTTCGCAAGAAGATGCCGCTGCGCTTTTCAGAGATTTACTGGAAGATTTCAACATCAGCCCCTACAGCACGTGGGAGAAGCTGATTGAGGATGGGCACATCGTCGAGGACCCGAGATACACTATTCTCAATACGATGAAAGCACGGAAGGAAACCTGGTCAGAGTGGACCAAGGACAAGATTAAGGAAATCAAGGAACGTCGGGCCAAAGAAGAGAAGAAGGATCCGCGGATACCGTACATGACGCTACTGCAGGAGAAAGCGTCGCCCAAGCTCTTCTGGCAAGAGTTCAAGAGAAAACATCGGAAGGAACCGGCCATGACGGACCCCTATGTAAAGGATAAGGACCGTGAGAAGTGGTATCGCGAGCATATCAACCGTCTCAAGATACCCCAAGCCACGCTGAAAGCAGACCTGGTCACGCTGCTGAAGTCACTGCCACTTTCTGCACTGAACAACAAGACGAATATGTCACATCTTCCGCCACAGCTACTCGTCGACATCAGATACATTTCTGTGCAGCCACAAGCGCGGGATCCTATGATCGAGGCGTACATACAGAGTCTGGGACCACCTCCAGAGGGTGATGCAGCCGAGCAAGAGGACGAAGCAACGCGCAAGGCTCGGGAGGCCAGAGATCGGAGAGAAAAGGCACTGCGAGAGCACGAGGAAAAGGTTGCAGAGCGAAAGAGGAGACAGCAGCGGAACCTCGATTTGGGCAAGACCCGACTCCGAGAGGAAGAGCGCGAAATCGAACGAGCGATGCAGGTTGGCAAGCGTGGTCTGCAGAGCCAGTTGGCGAGTGCCCAGAAGAACGATCAGCCTGATGCATAAATTACTGTGGCTGGGCTGATTGACAATAGACAGAATTGCAATTTCAGCAAACCAGACGGCGTCTCATCAAAACCAACGTCCATCTTTCGGCGCCTGCTGTGATAGGTTGGTCTCGCCCCAGGCCGGGCTTGGCACTAACAACGCAGCCAACCCGTTGATATTTCACTCCGCCGACTGCTGCAGGAACCGGGTTTCAAGCACGGCCACAATGATGTCTTTCTCACCACCCAAGCCTCTCATGAGTCTCATCACATCAACTTGACTCGCAGACGCGTCATACAAGCCAGACCAACAACCTTTGGCGGAACGCTCGTCCAACTGTTGAGTTGAAACTTTTCGCTCCTTCACAGCCCTGATGCTTTCAAACACAGTCAGCGCAGTCATCATACGAACGCGCTGCCTGCGGTTGAAACAATAGACTAGTTGCTCCTCCTCCCCTCCCAGCCACATCCAGCGTCATTCCCTGCTCTTCCGTCCCTTTTGATCATGAGAAGAAACATACTTTGATGCATGAGAAGGATCAGTTCGGATTGACACCTCTTGCTGTTCCTGCCAGGGCACTAATGACACCATCTGGTGTCCTCGTGCACAGGATCGACTGAAAATCGGCGGCCCACCCATTGGCTCGTCGGCCACGTCGGTCATCTCGGTCACAGCACACGCTGACCGTGCTCGCACATCCCCAAGCGCACTCCGTAGTCAGACGAAGTACCAAGTGATGGAGCATTTTGCCATGTCAATTAGTGTCATGTATGACAGCCGCACTTGCTTTTTTTTCTGGAGAGCCCGACCTCGTGTCTTTTAGTATAAGCTGTTCCTCTGTTCATTTGGTAAATTTTGTTACATTGAACCTCTGCTTTGCAACTCAAAACAAGAGGGCAACTACACACAATGGGCGCAACAACATTCACAGTATTTGGCCTCGTGGCCTTGGGTAGGGTTCAATGTCCATCTATCAATCTGAACACGACTGACATGCGAACCAGCTTCGGTAGTAGTAGCACAACAGTTCCCAGGGAACTTTCCCGGCAGTGGGAATGGCAATGGATTCGGGAATGGAAACGGCAATGGTGGCAATGGCTTCGGGGGAAACTTCAACAACTTTGTTGGCTTTAATATCCAGGAAGCGATGCATACGCGAAGGATTCACGGCATATTAGGGACAATCGCATTCGTCATCGTCTTTCCCATCGGCTCGATCGCCATGAGAATTATTCCCGGACGCTTCAGTTGGCTTATCCACGCCCTGATTCAGATGGCCGGTTTCGTCCTTTATATCGCGGCTGCTGCTCTGGGTATCAAGTTGACCCAAGAAGTTACATTTGGTGGAACAAGTCTGGTGAGTCTCTCGTTTGCCCTCTTTGACACTTTCGCGGCCCCATCCTGATAACATTCTTGGATAGTACGAGATAAGCACCATCAACTTCCACCCAATCATCGGCCTCGTGCTCCTGGCCATCTTCTTCTTCCAACCCATCTTTGGCTACATCCATCACGTGCAATTCAAGAAATACGGTGTCCGCCAGATCTGGTCACATATCCATCTGATCATCGGCCGCCTTCTTATTCCCCTAGGCATTATCAACGGTGGTCTCGGCTTATACATCTCCAACTCTCCCAAGGAGTTCAAGATCGCCTATGCAATCCTCGCTGCCGTCTTCGGCGTTGCCTGGATCTTTATCTCAGTCATCAGCGAGAGCCGCCGTAGTCGCCAACCGGCGGTTGTGGTCGTCGAGGAGCACAAACTCAGGAAACGATCTCGTGGTCTCAACAGCGGAAGCCGGGGTTCCTCCGATTCGGATCCGAAGATTTGAGGCTTTGGGATGGTGGACTATAAGTCACGAAGAGTCTTCTTCACGAGGGGATCCTACCTTGCCTTCATGGATGGGAGGCTGCGGGCGATTGAGGTATGATGGAGATAAGATACGACGAATAAGTTCCTTGGCGAAGCAGAATATTTGAAGTTGGCGAATAAGGTCTTATGCCTATTATGCTGGATGCGGCGTTTATTTCTTTACGACAGAGAGCCAAAACATTATTTAAACTACTCTCGACAAGAGTGCTTCGCAACTTCACTGCTAGTGATCATCAGTTTTGCAACATGTAAGAGGACTTGAGACCTGTCTTTTGAGTCTTTCTTCCAGGTTCAAGTAGCACCCGCCCCATGAAAAAGACTTTTGGGAGAGACATATTTCAATACTGGCTTACTCTCGAGACAAAACCCTGCTTTTCAGCTACAGCGAGTGCCAGCAGTAATGGCTCAGCACACTATCTCAAACACAGTTCCATTGCTTCACACATGGTGACTCCATTACTCTCCCAAGTGTTGCAGCTGGAGACACGTCAAGTAGCTTGCCTTGTGTGTTAAGTCAAATGAAACTTTGATATCATTCGAGGTTGACTTGGACCTAACAAGATCCCGGCCTCGCAGATGATAACTCCTCTGAAAGGTAAAATTTTTTTCACAATTCGGCAAACATGTTGATGGTTCCAGGATGGAATCCCTACCTATCTCAGTTGAGCCAGGGCCGACCTAAGGAGAAAGATTTCAAAGAACACGGGAACTTGTTGCAATTGCTATGCCGCAGCGTTTAATGGTAGCTAGCCGGCTCAACTCTCATTCTTGGCCCAATGCTCTCTGCGATACAGGAATCGGGAATTGCGATGATTCAAGTTCTTCGAAAGACTTAAAGTATTTACTGTATGACTAGAAGCTCTAGCTCACGAGTGGAGAAGCGCAGGCTGTGAAATAATTCAAGAGGTCGAAAAATCACTCCCGTGAAAATCTTCTTGCCCAACGCCATCGCAGACTCACGACAAGAAAAGCTTCGTAGGAATAGTTTACAACTGAGAAATCAGAATATGATTCAAGATCATCGACAGATATTACCCAAGCATCAGAGAGCCAGGAAAGACGGTGTCTGTTCGGTGTCTGTTGTGGCTCTTGGCTACTTTGTGTACGGGCTGTTGACTGAATCACATCCGCCAATATCGAGCTAAATCTGAGCAACTTGAAGCTAAGATAAGGTATTCAGGACAACTAGAAACCTGACACCGTCTGAACGTTTGGAGATACCATCCCTTTTAACCCTTGAAGACACTGTAGAGTCTGTCATCAAGATAGGACAACAAACTTACAAAATTCGCTGAATTTGCCGCCTTGGACAGAATTGATCACCCATCCACCTTCACTATACTAGTAGTCTTGCAGTCCTCAGTGGTCGGGATGGCCCAGCCTATTACGTTAGGCAAAGGTCGAAGTCTAGCATCGGACTCGCTTTCGGGACCAGCTTTAGAACATAAGGGACGAATGAGAGCTTCGCATCGATAAAAATAAAGAGGACCAGTTCGAAATTTTTCTTTGGAGGAAAAGAGAGAGAAGTTTTTCTCTAGAGTCACTTGCTTATGACGAGAACCTCGACGCATTTTGAATACTACATTGCAACGCCAGGGGAAGAGCTTACATGGAAAGTGGGACAAAAACACAACAATGTTCGTGCCCTGCTGCTAATTTGGCGCAAGCCCATGAGTCAACACAGGACACTTTTCCTTCCTCCGGGCTAGAATGATGAGGAGACAGCAAGCCAGGATGTGTTGCTATCTAGAGACACTGAAAAACATAGTCAATCGACATAATTGGGATTCTGTATTGATGAGACGCTTCTTTCGAAATCTACTGTCACTGGACAGGATACCACAGCTCATGACAATCATTTTCCCGGGCCGGCATCTTCAACGCTTTTGCGGTGATGGGTAACAAGTTGGGGCAAGTTTCCAAGTAAACACACGGCTGCTATTAGCTCTGCCAGGAAAAGGTCTCGTGCAGATATTGATGTGAAGCTGTTGTGGCACAGCGGAGAGAAGGGGTGATGCACCGCAGGTTCCGAGTCGTCGGACATGGCCCTCGTCCTTTGAGTCTGTAGACTTTCACCGCCTCCATACGGTAGCCAAAATCGGAGTTCAAACAGATGGCTAGTTCTCTGTGGTTCTCCTTCCAGGGCATCAAGAAAAATTTCTGAAAATAAAAAGATGAGCAATGATCACATCAATGGGAAACCATCGAAGGCTTTTGGGAAGCCGATGGAGCTGCCCAAGACAGCGCGCGGACTTGTGAACAAGTCACGGGGTTCGTACCCCAATTCGGTCCGGAAAGTGCTTTCACGATCCGCGAACAGCAACCAGACGCGAATTACCGAGCAGCGTAGCTCATAGTATCGCCGTCTTGTTCCAGGGCTACATTGTGCCCAAGGCAAGTTTCTGTGTCTTGGAAGAAATATGGTTGAGTTTGGGAGTCCTCCAGGAGCATCAGTAACCTCATTGATCCGCCGAAATTGTAGACAGAGTGGGCTGATTGCGAATGGTACACTAAGGAAAGGACAATGACGGGAACAGGAGGCGTTTCGACTTCGTTGTGGCCTGCGAAACTTGGATACATGACGTGAGGAAATAGGTCGCCGTTCAGAGGAAGAAATTTTGGTATTTGCATGCCATGACCGAACAAACATGAGATTATCGTGAGGGCCATACGTTGCGCAGAGGATCAGACTAGGAAAATATTGTACTTGCAGATTCATGAATCATAACATACAATTGGAGTCATCTGTTCTTTGTTGAAGTAACCAAGCACTACATCGCGTCAATGTACATGAAAGGTCGATAGGAACCACTTCTGTATCTGCCATTCTGCCAAAAAGGGATGGTGTTTCCGTGATGTCAGGGTATCGGAACAACCCCGACATTCCGGTGTGTTCTGGAGGTCCAGATTACGCGGTCCCAACGGCTCCAACCAACAAGACCCGTTCTTCCGAAAATGGGCCCTTTCGTTTCTGAGGACAAGGTAAAGATTCCATTTAAGGCCAGAAGCGACATCGGTCCGCAGAATGCTATTCGAGGAGGGATCCATACATATACTGCGTGGATCGTCGACTGGGGGGGGGTCTCCATGACACGTGTATTACTCAACCAACGCGACACAAAAGATGGATCGTACCACTTCGCATGAAAGGGCAGCAATGATCATCTGGTTAAATAGAAAATGAGGGAATGAACCAAAATTGTAGGAGCTTGGGAAATCACATTGTTTAAAACAAGACTCTTCCTCACTCCCTTGGTCCACCTCAACGCGGGAGCTCGACTCTTTGGCCACTGTCTTGCGTTGGTCTGGGCAAAAGAACGCAGGGCGTTTGGGCGAGACTTGTCAAACGAAATTCGGGGGCGGCCACCGCGGCTACTTCCATAGGTGAGCTGAAAGACTCCCCTATAGTCCCGTCTTAATACTCCGCAACGCATGTGCGTCGTGGGTTAGGTGCTGCAGATCGGGGTCCAAGGCAATCTATGAAATAACGAACCGTGTTGATCCCAGACGCTCGAGTTCCCAAGCATTCCAATCTTCCATAACTCGAGTTCACCGTGAAATGTCCACCAACCACGCCTACGTGATGAGAACGAAGACAGCTTTAACCCGGAAGAGACAATGCACTGCTTGGCCGCTATCTAAGATCTTGAGCTAGACAATGTCACCAAGCCTAGGAAAGAAAAGTGAGACACGCCAAAGCAGCGCCAATCGACAAGCTGGGATCTCGAACAAAAAACAGGGTTGACAGTCTCTGTGCGACATCACGCCAACTCCCTCCAGTCCCAGGCTCCCGGTGCTGCAATCGATCTTGCGCTGCATATTAGTACTGTCACCTCTCGGTGTGGATTGGGTCAGCTTGCCTAGGCATGCATGCAGATGATACCACCTGACTTCTCGTACCCATGCATCGAGTTGTGACCTGGAAAGCTTTCCATATCCCGAGCAAGTCCACTGGAACCAACAACAATGAGCCCCTGTTTATGACGGCTACATGCGGAACATCGTTCCCTCAGAAACAATTTATCGATCGAGGCAACCCCGCTCCCCCTCCCCTATCCCTAATCTCAACCACTCGAACTTTGAGTTGTTGAACCAAGAGACTCCCGCTGTGTCCCTTCAGTCCCCTGATCCATGAGTGCCAAATGTCGAACCAAAGTGCTCCTCCACTTCCCAAGTTTCCGTCATTGCCTCTTCCCAGTTTCCCTCGTTCCACTATGCCCAGAACGGCCTGGGCCTAGCCCATTGAGAGACCGAAGTGTAAACAGCGTGTGAAGCTTATGCCCCCTTCGGAGTTCCAGTCCACACCAAGTGCCGCTGGGGGGCAAAAAGGCGCTCGACCACTTCGCGCAAGAGCCAATATTGTTAGTAGGTCAGAGGTTCCAGATCCGAAGAGATGGGTGGGACGGCACGTACTATGTCGTCGATAAAGAGGGCCATCCTGGCCCATCAACTTTGGAAGTGGGCAAGGACTGACGCGATGGGGAGGACCGGGCCCCAGGTTAGCAAAAGTGGCGGACAGAAAAACCCCATTCCACTCACCGAAGTTCAAATTCCCTCCACTCAAAGACAATGGAAAAATAAGATAACGTCAACGCCAACGGCATACACTGACCTGGCCTACTCTCTCTCACATCAATTTCATCATCTACCCTTTGTTATCCGTGTATTTACTTGTTAGCCCAGCTCATTGGCCCCTAAGCAACGCCTGAGGAGAAGTTATGACTGCAGCTGATGCATGTGTCTAGTACCATGACACCCGATCATCGCTCGATAACACCAGAACAGATTAATCAGGCTGAAAACCTACTAACCTAGCCTCACTGTGCCAAACCGGTACTTTTATCGGCTGGACTGTCGATGAGTCGTCTCACTATAAGAAACCCGAAGTGTAATGACGGAGGCCGGGGGAGTTTCGAAGACCAGTTGCTAGGCTGCTTCCACCCGAAGACGAGAACCAACACGCCGCGGAAAACCCGAGATGAAAAGAAAAATGAAAACCAACCGCCAATCGCAGAGCGCCGAAACTGAGGGGGCCGCCTCCAGATCTTCCTTCTCAGTGACTAAGCCTTTACGAGACGACGAAGGAAATGATGACGTCCACAGCGTTGATGAGGCTGCGATGAACCGACGAGTGAACAGAAAATTGGACCTAGCTCTTCTGCCACTGCTGTCTCTTTTGTACCTATTCAATGGTCTGGATAGGGGCAATGTGGGAAATGCTCAAACTCAAGGTGACAAACACCCTTGGCCTGCTCTGTGCCTCAGTTTGTTGAGGTTGTGCGTTACTAACAATTGAAACAGGATTTACTAACGACATTGGTGCCGCGCCGGACGATCTGAATCTCGCTGTGTCTCTATTTTTCATCACTTTTGTTCTGTTTCAGCCTCCCTCCGCGGCTGTTGGCCGATGGCTCGGGGCCAAACACTGGATCCCGATCATGATGGTAAGGGGCTTCGTCCAAGCGCCACGCCAACAAGATGATTGAATCCGTGCTAACTTGCGTAAAGCTCGGTTGGGGCTTTGTGACTATATGCCAGGCCTTCATCAAGGGCCGAGGTCCGCTCTCTTCTGTCGCGAAAAAAATAAGGCTTTTGCTCTAATCTTAACTTGGCATCTAGGTTCTCTCATCGCCACCCGCCTCTTAATTGGCGCTTTCGAGGCTGGCTTCTACCCAACTGCAGTCGCTTATCTTTCGTTCTTCTACTGCCGATATGATCTAGCCGTAAGGGTTGGCCTGTTCTACGGACAATATGCGGTTGCAGGCGCTTTTTCAGGGGCAATTGGTATGCTCAAAGAATAATCTCATAATCTTTCATACCCCAAAATGAATGCTGATAGGGAAACAGCCTTTGGTGTATTTCATCTGAAAGATGGACCTCTCAAGAATTGGCAGTACCTATTCGTCATCGAGGGAACCCTGACGATTTTTTTCGGCCTCATCGCCTGGGTCTTTCTTCCGGCAGGTCCTGGCACAGCATGGTTTTTGACACTAGAAGAACGACGCTTTGCTGCGGATAGGATCAAAGCGGACAGTGTTTTGTTTACTGAGCATGCCTACGATGCTCATGGTGTAGAGACAGATCGCCTGACCAAGCGGGACTTTGTTGAAACTGCTAGAGACTGGAAGTTTTGGTATGTTCTGCTGTTCAACATTTGCGCCAGCGTCCCCGGTCAGGCGTTCTCAGTCTTTATCCCGCTGGTCGTTCAGGGTTTAGGATATTCGTCGATTCAGGCAAACTTGGTAAGAAGGGGAGTAGAACCGAAAAGCAAAGGTGGACAGAAGGACTGACAAAGACTCTATAGATGTCCGTTCCTCCATATGTGTGCGGCGCGATCGGATTATACTTCTTCACCCTTAGTTCTGATTATCAGTAGGTCTTTGGAAGTATCAATGGGACCTTCTCCGAACCTGACGTTTTTGAAGCAAAGAACGAGGCTATCATATCCTTGGGGGCATCGTAATTGCTCTCATAGGTCTGATTGCGACTGTCACGGTCGGATCTAACGGCGGAAAATACGCGGCGCTGTGCGTTCTCCTCCTCGGTAGCTACGTTGCTGCGCCGTTAACAGTTGCGTGGCTGAGCGGAAACACCCCAGGTGAGGAAACTGAGGCGACCAGACGATATGGAGCGAGCGGGAGATCAAGAAACATTACTAAACTGCTTCAAACGACAGAACCCGGCAAACGGTCTCTCATCCTTGGTCTCAACGGTTTCGGGAATCTATCTGGCGTCATCGGTGCCCAGCTATATCGCGATCGGTACAAGCCTGACTACAAGATCCCCTTCTACGTAACGTTGGGATTTGTAGCACTTTCTTTACTTGGATACCTTTCATACAAATTGACTCTCGCCGGGGTCAACAGGAGAAAGTTGGAAATCATGAGACATAAAACTCAGGATGAGATCGAGAGAGAGCGGCTCGATAGCACACGATACGCTGATAAGAAGTGGACGTTCATCTATGGTCTCTGATAATGTTGGTCTGCGGGATGGCCCCGTTGTCCTTAAACATCAGAGAAGAAAGCGTCTGCTTCGCGGCGTATCCGCTCGGCGATGTCCGAAATATCAGTCGAGCTCTTCTGCCCGTCCTCGAACATGTATCCGTCAATGAGACTGGTGGGTACCCATTCAAAGTACACATTTCTGACATTCACCTTCACCCTGTTCTCTCCAGGACCTACCCCTTGAGAGCTACCGATAGACTTCGAGGCGGCCTTTTGTACAGAGCTGTTGTGTTTCCATGACGCGATGACCTCTTCAACATCATTCTCTTCGAATCCAGGCGGGTCATACGGCAGGATTTTCTCGCTCTCAGCCAGAACAAATACCTTGGCTTGAGGTGAGCAGTGCTTGGCAGAGAGGATTGCTGGGAGTGAACCAGTCTTGTTGCTCGTCGCTCCATCCCCGGCAATGATATCCGCACCGATGAGGACGATGTCCACTTCCTTGCTCGCGATTGCGGCGGCAGCATCCGTGTAAATTGAGACGTCGACCTTCTTCTGTCTCTGCCCTGATTCTCGTAGGTGATTGACCAGCCTAGACGCCATCGAAACTCCCTCGAACAAGGGACGAGACTCAAGCACGCGGATGTCAAACTCCGAGTCCAGGCTTGCGATGCCCCTTTGTAGGCACTCTAGGATGGTGGAGCTTGATGATAATGTAAGAATGCGAATAGCCCGACCAGAGCCGTGATTGTGTCGCAAGAAAGTCTCAAAGGACTTCCAGATGCCGTCGATAGAAGAGTCCCTCGATATTGTGAACTCGGATACCTTCTGTGTAACAGAGTCCAAGAAAGATTGGGATACCTTGACGTCCATGGCCTGCTGCACCTCCTTTTCTATGATGGCCAGCAATCGGACAATGTTGTTCAGGATGGCGGCTCCCATGCTCTCCCTCCCATTCTTCCAGATATGCCATGCTGCAAGCCGGGCATTGCGCCACCACTTTTCCACGGAGCCATCCCTTTCTGCGCTGGCTTTTTCTTCAATCACGGAAAGAAGAACTTGAAGCGCCTTGCCTGCCAGCTGCCGCGCGCCGCTTTCGTGATCCCTCTGCAGTGCGAGCAGCCCCTCACTCAAAATCTTCCCTCTGCTCTCGCCGAGTTCGATCTCGAACCAGATGCGTCTGAGACTCTCGGCCAGTCGCGGTACGCCGCCAAACTCATCGACGTCGCGGACCTCGTGGGGATCGAACCACTGGAATCCCTGATGCTCCCAGTCGATCTGGATGCGAGACTCATCGTCGTGCGACTTGAGACGGAAGGCAAAGGGATGGATCGTCCACTCGCGGCCAATCTTCTCGTCGGCAAAGACATAGTCTTTTCCTTGGCGGAGCAATGTCAACGTTGCAGGCGTAAGCGTTGTTTCTTCGCGGATCTCTCTCCAGGCAGCATCTAGGGGCGAAGGGTCGTCGGACTCTATACTCCCCGATACAGGCGCAAGGTGATTGCTAGAGGATGTCAGTCAGCAGTGTAGGAAACAAGCACAACGGAAATGTGAGGCTGTAAAGACGGAGTATGAGCTCACGGGTAAGTCCGCACGCTGTCGCTTCGCCGGAACAGGGCTACTTGTGGCCCCCGATTGGGTGGGAACTTGAAGATGAAGGATGAGACGACTGCGCGACGGGTCATTGTCTTGTTCGTCGATTCCATCAGTTGAAATCTAGCTTATCGAAGAGAATCTGCTTCATAGGGGGCCTTGCGTGGCTGTTGCGAACCTCGCGTGAAGCTCACACCGGATGGTTACGATTATGAGGTCATCATGAGCAGGAAAGCGGGACTTGGCTCACAGCTGGCTGCAGCTGGTGCAATCACTCCTGCCTTCGTTGGGATTCAAGCACATGCACATCTAGCTTTCTTCGAGAATTAATCTTCGGTCTTCCTGCATCGGTGATGAGTGATGTGATATGTATGTATACAGAGAGAGAAGAACAGAGCAGTATCATAGTGCCAATTGGCCGACCAGATCTCTTGTTGCTCAGCACGAACTCATCGAACAGCACACTCACTCACGCGACACCTCGCTTGGCAGAGATCTCGATGTCAGCTTACCTAGATCATACGAGTTTGCAGACTTTCCCTCGATAGTTGCAACAGTCGCAGCTCTCCATTGATTCATATTAGTTTCATAGCATCATGATATTTAGAGGCAAAGGTGGTGGCCGGACCGTGAAGCCGGGCTCGGCCGTGAGAGACGGGTAAGACGTGTTTGGGGCAGGCTACATGACACCCCGGCGATGGTCATTTAAAAATCACGGACCTAGCCAGGAAGTTTATTTATAGGGCGACAGACGGTCGTCAGGAATGCGGCCTCAGCATCGCTGACGAGCGCTGACTCCAGGGCGTTCGTCTCAATGGGACCTTTAGAGACTGCTCCCGTCGTTGACAGAACCTATGACACCAAATTGGTTGTGAGTGGGAAAATTGATACAACTTTGAGAGTCGGCGGTGTTCAATCCCACTATGTTATTACTGATGAACGTTATGATCTTTTGCCTCGGACATAACCTGGCCGGCTGCACGAACAGCAGAAAAAAGTAGGTTCCAGGCCCGATGAGAGTCCCAATGGCCGCCAAACACCATATCACCTGAAAAAATGTGATTGAAATCAAAGGACTCAAATTTCTGAAACGTCGCTCAAGGCGGGAATATGAGTAAACGGCCGACAATTGAGGTAGATCGTGGGGGCTTCGCATCCGGTTAGGCCGCGACCGCCACTTCTGGCTTTGCTCATGTAAACAACGGTACCGAGACGACTGGATCTGGCGTCCAGCCTTTCAGAGCCGCATGCTGCGACATGGATTCTCACATAGCTCTCCGTGTCTGTGGATGTCTTCGCATCAAGCGCCAGCTTCGATGCATTGGCATGACGGTCAAGGCGTTCATCACTCAGCGACGAGGCGGCGGACTTTGCCTTCTGCTAATGAACGCGGTCGCCACCTCATTGGACCTAAGTTTAATACAGAGTAAAAGCCTCACCAATATATCTGAGGAAGTTGTGACGCCGCAATTGCAAATGGCGGACACTCTCGTGATGTGAGTCGATCGTCTCAAATCTGGTAAAGGGGCAGATCAGCAAAGAGGGGGGTAACGACTAGATAGGCAGCTAGCTATCGAGAAAGAACAATCGCTGGGAGGTCATTAATCAGTCTGAGTTACCCGTACGTAACATGTCAGAGCAAAGTCTTCATACAAATGCCTGTGACACCCTTTCCCTCCGAAAGATCGGATTTTTGCCGAAGGGCTTGCCGACCGTGGCTTCTCTCGCAAATGATCAATTTCGTCAAACTTCCTGATGAACAAGGTGATATTAGGCCACCAGAGGACGTGATTCCATCTCTCAGCAACGCTTTACGAGCGTGCCGGTGCCGGATATGGCCGGACCAGGGTCTTCCGCAACCAAGGAGAAAGGATTCCATGGTTCGCAATACGAGCAGGTTGGTTTCTGAGACGCTGGTCGAACGTGAGCTAGCGCTGAACAAGGCGATATTAATCGAATAGCACCATGCAGTGTCGTCGGATTTGCGCGTGCCTGAGGGCAGAGGCAAATGTCCGAAGGTGACGCGTAAAGAAAGCTCAGGCTCAGTCGCGATGGTGTTCGTGGGCGCTGCAGCGTAGCCAATCGTGACTGTGCCACAGGGAGAAGTTGCAAACCAACTGGCTGTCCTTTTGGGCCTCGACTTCTTCGTGAGGGCGCTAAACGGCAGGGAGGGCCTGCTCTATGGCTTTGTTGGGGCATGCGAAGCGACCTTCCCGCCGGTTGGAAGCCATCGCCGATCTGCGGGTTGGTAGTGTGTGGGATAAGTCTATCCGTAATGAAGTTTGAAACATGATATTCTAAGCGACGATTTGAACCATTGGGCTCCAAAACCCTTCAAAACAAGAGGCAACGAAATGGCATGAGTGGCTGGCGTGAGGAATAGGCCCAGGACCAGGAACACAGGGGATGAAGCGCCAAGACGAGCCGTTCCGCAGTGAGTTAGGTACCCCGGCGCGTGGATAAACTTGAAGGCAAGAGCTCATAGTAGTGTAATGTAGCTCCTTGTCAGTTTGTGTATATTTCTCCTCTTTCATTGCGTGCTGTGCGAGACCAAGTAAGTGAGACTGGCAGGTATGGAATGGTCGCAGCGACAATCATCGCGTTGTGCCGGGAGTACAGTGGGTATTCTTCTCCACCGACCCGAAAGCAATCGGCCGAGGACAAGTTGGCCGTCTGACAGGCCATTCTAGTGGTATTTTCGTGCCTAAGCGAGCATTCCTGGCAACTTTGTCGGGGTATGGTAGCCGCTGAGTATCTGCAGCTGCATGTTTCTGTGAGGCAGGGTATGCGACGTGGATACGGGTATGTAGATGAGATGTGAGATGATTTATGAACATCGGATGAGCATGTAGCGAATATCTTTGAAGAGACGAGGAACTGACGGGAGTTGATCTGGCCATCGGCGGATAGTTGCCCAAAGCTCATCCCGCCTCCCGCCTCCCGTCTCCCGCGTGGGCCGTGTGTAGAGTCAAGGGCAATGTACCTTACTATGTAAGACGGGACGTTAGTAGTGGCGTCCTCCTAAGCCGTTTCTGGGGCTTCCGAACCATGTCACGGGCGGTTGGCCCTGGGGTACTGTTCGTACTCAAGCGCAACGTTTGGGTCTTCATTGCATACCTACAGTAGCATCTAGCTGCGAGGGATTGGGAATTTGCGTGAGTAAGGCAAGACAAGGCATGGACATGAGGTGCCTTTTTCTGTCGAGGCAGGGCAAGCTAGGGCCTCGGGTACGTTAGGCACACAGCCCAGGCCGGTCGCCAGGGGTTTGAATCAATGATCAACGGTCCCCGAATGCCTTGGGGTCGAAACATGACCGGGGTGGGAGGAGGGGAAGAGACGCTCCGTCGACGCGCGCGTGTGTAGTAGCATTTCAATCACTTGCGACTTAATTTGTGATCTAGCCATGTAGGCTTGTAGCTTGTAGCGCTCTTCACAACAACGTTTGAGGGCCTTGGGGGCCGGGGGAGTGTGCCTCTACTTAGATTTTGCTTCTACATCTCAATGGGTGAGGTGAGGATGAGGGAGAGCAAGGGCGCGAGAGTGAAAGTGAGTGTGAGTAAAAGTGAGTGAAGCGTGAGAGACTCGCCAAGGAAGGAAGGCAATTATTATTTACCCGCCAGGTTGGTTTGGTCGGTGTTTGCTTGGCCAGGTCGGGTAGGCCCCTCGGGGAGTTCTAGGGGCGCTGGGAAAGATGCTGTTAAGGGAGTAGGCATCGTCACATGTAACTGACTAACACGGAGCCACTTCCGGCCCCCGAAATGCCACCCCCCCTCCTCCTCCCTTCCCGGACCACCGCTGAACCCTTTCTCTCGCCTCGCAACAAGAACGCTGTTCAAAAATCTCCATTCTCCACGCCATGTCCGTGTCAACATCCTTCTGGGACCCTTTCCAAGCGAGCAAATCTGGCGTCCCTCACATCAATCAGGTTCAACAGCCTCTAAGCGCCAACCTGTCATCCGCGCTGGAAAGGGACGCCCGAAGACGAAGAGCCGTCGAAATAGTGCCGTCGCCTTCATCCGCACACACACTTCGGATACACCCGTCCACTATCAACCATCCACTAGACCGATATTAAGTCTCACCCACCCAAGCGTCAATTCACCTCCAAGGCCCTGGTGTCCAACGTCCAATCCCACCGGCCGTCTTGAACACGGACGGGACACCGCCGCGGCTGCCTAGCTACCGATCCCCGGGGTACATTGGGCCATCAACCGACCCAGATCCATCGCCGCGTCCGTCCC